TCGGACTACGATGTATGTCTGGTATGTCTGTTATAAATATTCGTATGCCGCTTTGAAATATTCTTATGTCGGTTACGACACTCTGTATGTGGTCTACTATGCTCTGTACGCCGTTTGCGGTACTCCGTATGCTGCCTGTAATAAATGTTGGTATGTCGCTTATAATGATTTTCTGTCTGCCGCTTAGAAATATTTGTACGCCGCTTCGAAATATTTGTATGTCGGTTACGTCACTCTGTATGTGGTCTACTATGCTCCGTACGTCATTTAATGGTACTCTGTATGCTGCCTATAATAAACGTCCGTATGTCGCTTATGACGGTTTTTTGTATGCCGCTTATAAATATTCGTATGCCATCTATGGTTGTTTGTATGTTGCCTACGACACTCGATATGTGGCCTAGAAATGATCATATGTAGTTGACAGTATTACGTCGTTTATTATACTCGCTCAGACGATGGTGTGCAATTCAGATAACAGTCGACTAACAGTCAGTGTCGCTTGGAAACATTCGTATCTCGCTTACGACACTCCGTATGTGGTCTACTATGCTCCGTATGCCATTCACGGTACTCTGTATGCTGCCCGTAATAAGCGTTCGTATGTCGCTTAGAAGTATTTTTTGTATGCCGCTTAGAAGTATTTGTATGCCATGCACGAACGTTTGTATGTCGCCTACGACGCTCGGCATGTGGTCTACGACGCTTCGTATGTGGTCTACGAATGTCGGCACGTGGTCTATAAATGTTTGTATGTGGTTTACGACGCTCTGTACGCGGTCCACGGTATTCTGTATGCGGTCTATAGTACTCTGTATGCGGTCTACAACGTGCGGTCGATTTTTATTAAAGCGTGATAAAAGCGTGATATGTATGTCGCCTTCGATGCTCTGTATGCGGTCTACGCATGTCGGTACGTGGCCTATGGTACTCTGTATGCTGCCTATAACAAACGTTCGTATGTCGCTTATGACGATTTTTTGTATGACCCTCAGAAATATTTGTATGTCATCTACCAACATTCGTATGTTGCCTACGACGCTCTGTATGCGGTCTACAAATGTCGGTACGCGGTCTACGGTACTCTGTATGCGGTCTACGACGTACGGTCGATTTTTATGAAAGCCTGATAAATGCGTGATACAATACATCGATACGAAATGATAACGTTCCTCACCGAACCACTAACCGAAACACTAAACCTCACCTAATCCTCACTCTAATCCTCACCTAATCTGACTATAACCGAAACTATAACCGAAACACTAATACCTCTAACGTGGTGTGACTCTAATCTAACCCTCTAACGGATACTCGAAATCACGTCGTCCTCGGACTACGATGTATGTCTGGTATGTCTGTTATAAATATTCGTATGCCGCTTTGAAATATTCTTATGTCGGTTACGACACTCTGTATGTGGTCTACTATGCTCTGTACGCCGTTTGCGGTACTCCGTATGCTGCCTGTAATAAATGTTGGTATGTCGCTTATAATGATTTTCTGTCTGCCGCTTAGAAATATTTGTACGCCGCTTCGAAATATTTGTATGTCGGTTACGTCACTCTGTATGTGGTCTACTATGCTCCGTACGTCATTTAATGGTACTCTGTATGCTGCCTATAATAAACGTCCGTATGTCGCTTATGACGGTTTTTTGTATGCCGCTTATAAATATTCGTATGCCATCTATGGTTGTTTGTATGTTGCCTACGACACTCGATATGTGGCCTAGAAATGATCATATGTAGTTGACAGTATTACGTCGTTTATTATACTCGCTCAGACGATGGTGTGCAATTCAGATAACAGTCGACTAACAGTCAGTGTCGCTTGGAAACATTCGTATCTCGCTTACGACACTCCGTATGTGGTCTACTATGCTCCGTATGCCATTCACGGTACTCTGTATGCTGCCCGTAATAAGCGTTCGTATGTCGCTTAGAAGTATTTTTTGTATGCCGCTTAGAAGTATTTGTATGCCATGCACGAACGTTTGTATGTCGCCTACGACGCTCGGCATGTGGTCTACGACGCTTCGTATGTGGTCTACGAATGTCGGCACGTGGTCTATAAATGTTTGTATGTGGTTTACGACGCTCTGTACGCGGTCCACGGTATTCTGTATGCGGTCTATAGTACTCTGTATGCGGTCTACAACGTGCGGTCGATTTTTATTAAAGCGTGATAAAAGCGTGATATGTATGTCGCCTTCGATGCTCTGTATGCGGTCTACGCATGTCGGTACGTGGCCTATGGTACTCTGTATGCTGCCTATAACAAACGTTCGTATGTCGCTTATGACGATTTTTTGTATGACCCTCAGAAATATTTGTATGTCATCTACCAACATTCGTATGTTGCCTACGACGCTCTGTATGCGGTCTACAAATGTCGGTACGCGGTCTACGGTACTCTGTATGCGGTCTACGACGTACGGTCGATTTTTATGAAAGCCTGATAAATGCGTGATACAATACATCGATACGAAATGATAACGTTCCTCACCGAACCACTAACCGAAACACTAAACCTCACCTAATCCTCACTCTAATCCTCACCTAATCTGACTATAACCGAAACTATAACCGAAACACTAATACCTCTAACGTGGTGTGACTCTAATCTAACCCTCTAACGGATACTCGAAATCACGTCGTCCTCGGACTACGATGTATGTCTGGTATGTCTGTTATAAATATTCGTATGCCGCTTTGAAATATTCTTATGTCGGTTACGACACTCTGTATGTGGTCTACTATGCTCTGTACGCCGTTTGCGGTACTCCGTATGCTGCCTGTAATAAATGTTGGTATGTCGCTTATAATGATTTTCTGTCTGCCGCTTAGAAATATTTGTACGCCGCTTCGAAATATTTGTATGTCGGTTACGTCACTCTGTATGTGGTCTACTATGCTCCGTACGTCATTTAATGGTACTCTGTATGCTGCCTATAATAAACGTCCGTATGTCGCTTATGACGGTTTTTTGTATGCCGCTTATAAATATTCGTATGCCATCTATGGTTGTTTGTATGTTGCCTACGACACTCGATATGTGGCCTAGAAATGATCATATGTAGTTGACAGTATTACGTCGTTTATTATACTCGCTCAGACGATGGTGTGCAATTCAGATAACAGTCGACTAACAGTCAGTGTCGCTTGGAAACATTCGTATCTCGCTTACGACACTCCGTATGTGGTCTACTATGCTCCGTATGCCATTCACGGTACTCTGTATGCTGCCCGTAATAAGCGTTCGTATGTCGCTTAGAAGTATTTTTTGTATGCCGCTTAGAAGTATTTGTATGCCATGCACGAACGTTTGTATGTCGCCTACGACGCTCGGCATGTGGTCTACGACGCTTCGTATGTGGTCTACGAATGTCGGCACGTGGTCTATAAATGTTTGTATGTGGTTTACGACGCTCTGTACGCGGTCCACGGTATTCTGTATGCGGTCTATAGTACTCTGTATGCGGTCTACAACGTGCGGTCGATTTTTATTAAAGCGTGATAAAAGCGTGATATGTATGTCGCCTTCGATGCTCTGTATGCGGTCTACGCATGTCGGTACGTGGCCTATGGTACTCTGTATGCTGCCTATAACAAACGTTCGTATGTCGCTTATGACGATTTTTTGTATGACCCTCAGAAATATTTGTATGTCATCTACCAACATTCGTATGTTGCCTACGACGCTCTGTATGCGGTCTACAAATGTCGGTACGCGGTCTACGGTACTCTGTATGCGGTCTACGACGTACGGTCGATTTTTATGAAAGCCTGATAAATGCGTGATACAATACATCGATACGAAATGATAACGTTCCTCACCGAACCACTAACCGAAACACTAAACCTCACCTAATCCTCACTCTAATCCTCACCTAATCTGACTATAACCGAAACTATAACCGAAACACTAATACCTCTAACGTGGTGTGACTCTAATCTAACCCTCTAACGGATACTCGAAATCACGTCGTCCTCGGACTACGATGTATGTCTGGTATGTCTGTTATAAATATTCGTATGCCGCTTTGAAATATTCTTATGTCGGTTACGACACTCTGTATGTGGTCTACTATGCTCTGTACGCCGTTTGCGGTACTCCGTATGCTGCCTGTAATAAATGTTGGTATGTCGCTTATAATGATTTTCTGTCTGCCGCTTAGAAATATTTGTACGCCGCTTCGAAATATTTGTATGTCGGTTACGTCACTCTGTATGTGGTCTACTATGCTCCGTACGTCATTTAATGGTACTCTGTATGCTGCCTATAATAAACGTCCGTATGTCGCTTATGACGGTTTTTTGTATGCCGCTTATAAATATTCGTATGCCATCTATGGTTGTTTGTATGTTGCCTACGACACTCGATATGTGGCCTAGAAATGATCATATGTAGTTGACAGTATTACGTCGTTTATTATACTCGCTCAGACGATGGTGTGCAATTCAGATAACAGTCAACTAACAGTCAGATACGGCTCAGTCAGTGTAATGTCCAGACAGATAACACACAGTCAGCATAACAGTCAGCCTAATGTTCGGATAACACTGAGTCAGTGTAATGTTCATATAATGCTCATTCATTCAGCCTAATGTTCAGATAATGCTCATTCAGCCTAACGTTCAGATAACATTCAGGTAACGCTGAGATAGCTACTACTGAGATGACGGCACTTGGTGTTGGTGGAAGTAAAAAGGTGCACAGGCAGACAGTTGGGTGGCCTAACGGTAGGACGAAGCAATATATATATATATATATGTATTGGCTACTGTGCGCTATGGATAGTACTACATGATACGAACCGCGAGTGAGACAGTGGAAATGGCACGTGCTCGCCATGCTGTCATGTTCTGTGTATATACTGGCATCGCGCGAACGAGGACGGCGGTGCGTTGTGCAAACACAGCGGCGTTCGAGGGGACTGGGACGGCGGGCTTGCGTGCCCGCACGCTGTTGCTGCGCATTCCGCGCATGTGGCTGAGTCACGCGGATGAGGATGGTGGAGAATTGTGCAGATCCGCGCGGTTCGAGCGGACTAAGACGGCGGGGTTCGAGAGGAGTGGGACAATGGCGTTCGAGGGGAGTCGGATGGCGGGGTTCGAGAGGAGACGGCGAATTTGCGTGCCCGTTGACTTAGCATGCCCGTGCGCTGTTGTGGCGGTTTCCGCATGTGTGGGTCGTGCAGACAAGGATGGCAGTATGTTGAGCAGACATGGTGGCATTTGAGGGGAACAGGTTGGCAGCGTTCGAGGAGAGTCGGACGGCGGCACTCGAGGGGAACAGGACAGCAAGGTTCTAGGGGAGTCGGACAGCGGACGGTCGACCTAGGGTCCCCGCACGCTGTTGCTCCGCGTTGCGAGTGTTTGGCTGGGTCGCGTGGACGAGGACCGAGGTGCGTTGTGCGGAGATCACGGCGTTGGAGGGGAAAGGGACAGTGGCGTTGGAGTAGAGTCGGACGGTGGCATTTGAGTGGAGTCGGACCAGGGGGTTGGAGAGGAGCGGGGCGGCAGATGTGCGTGCGCGTCGACCTAGCATGCGCTGTTGCTTTGCGTTCCGCGTGTCTCGCTGGGTCGCGCGGACTAGGACCGCGGTGCATTGTGCGGAGATCGCGGCGTTCGAGGGAGAGGGGGCGGTGGCACTGGAAGGGAGCTGGACGGTGGCGTTCGAGAGGAGTGGGACAGCCGGGTTCGAGGGGAGTCGGATGAGGCGTTCGAGGGGACTCGCACGGCGACATTCGAGGGGACTGGGACGGCGGCGTTCGATGGGACTGGGGCGGCGAGGTTCGAGGGGACAGGGACGGCGGACGTGCATGCCGGCCCGTCGTTGCTGCGCGTTCCGCGTGTGCGCCTGGATCGCGCGGACGAAGGCGGCGGTGCGTGGTGTAGAGACGGCGGCGTTCGAGGGGACAGGGACGGCGAGGTTCGAGGGGACAGGGACGGCGGACGTGCGTGCCCGTCGACGCACGATGGCAGGCCGTTGTTGCTGCGCATTCCGCGTCTGTGGCTGGCCCGCGCGGATGAGGACAGCAGGCTTTGAGTGGAATAGGATGGAGGTATGTGGCTCGGCCTACGCGCCGTCGGGTCGTCGCTCCTCATTCCCTGCGTCGGCGTCGGGTCTTCTAGAGGTGGTTAACACCTTTAAAAAAACCGAAAACAATTTTTTTACTCACCTTGATGACCCGACCGCTACTGGGTAAACGCGCGCTCAAACGTGTTACGTTTGAGTGCGCCAGAGACATCGAGCCGCAGGCCGGCGCTCGATGTTTGACGGGAGGTCCGGGGCGCGGTCGTTCGCCGCAGAGGGCGAACTCGCATCGACGACGGTAGGGCGAGGGTGCTGAGAGGCGACGAGGGCCCGCGTCGGGGGATGGAGGCCGCGAGGAGGGGGCTAAGCGCCGTTGTGGCATCGCGGGGTCCGGCGTGACGACCGGGGCCCGGTCGTTCGCCACAGCGGGCGAACGCGATTCGAGGAGGCTTGGCCGAGGGTGCTATGAGGTGACGCGGGCCAGCGTCGGGGCATGGAGACCGCCAGGTGGGAGGTCGGCGCAGTTGTTGCACCGTGGTGGCCGGCTGGACGACGGGGGAGCAGTCGTTCACCACAGGGGGCGAACGCAGGTCGAGGAAGGTGAGATGATGGTGCTGGGAGGTGACGCGGGCTAGCGTCGGGGCCTGGAGACCGCGAGGAGGGAGATCGGCACCGTCGTTCCTCCGCGGTGGCCGATGTGACCACTGCGGTGCCGTCGTTCGCCGTGATGTGCCTGAGCACGTCGAAGAGGGTTGAGGGAGGCTGCGGGGAGGTGGGGTGGGGTGTGGCGAGGCTTCGAGGGGCCTCCGCGACCGCGAGGAGGGGGCAGCACGCCGCTGCGGTGGCTGGCGCGACAACGACGTGGCTGCAAAATATTAGCACGGTTGGATACGGACAAAAAGGCATTTTTTACTCACCTGGCATGCCCTTCGACCTTCGAGAATAAACGTGCCGAACGTTTGCGTTCGACGGCCTGGGGGAGCGCGAGGCGGAGGGTGGAGGCCGGTGTGACGACCGGTGCGCCGTCGTTCATCGTGGTGGGCCTGCGCGCGAAGGAGACGGTCGACGGAGGGTGCAGGGAGGTGGAGTTGGGTGGGTTGAGGCTTCGAGGGGCCTCGGCGACCGCGAGAAGGGGGCAACGCGCTCCTGTCGCACCGCGGTGGCTGGCGCGACAACGAAGGGGCTGCAAAATGTTAGCACGGCGGGATAGGGAGAGAAGTTTTTTTTGGACTCACCTGGAATACCCTTCGACCTCCGAAAGCAAACGTGCCGCCGAACGGTGGCGTTCGACGGCCTGGGGGAGCGCGAGGTGGAGGAAGAAGGTGTCGCCAAGGTTAACGGCGGGCTGCATCCAGTCGACCTCGAGCGGCCGCGCGATGCTGCATCGCCGTCCGCGTGTCAGCTGCCCGCGCGAACGGGCGAGGAGGGTGGAGAGGTGAGGTGCGAGGGGAGGGGCGAGGGAAGCCCAGGGCGGGCTTTGGCGACCATGTGGCAGGGGCTTCGCGCCGTCGTTGAACCGTGGTGGCCGACTCGACCATCACGCCGCCGTCGTTCGCCTCCGTGGGCCTGCGCGGGTGGAAGAGGGCCGAGGGAGGGTGCGGGTTAGTGGAGAGGCTGCCCGGGGCCTTGGCAGACTTGTGGCGGGGCCGTCGTTGCATCGCGTGGCCATCGTTCGTCGCTGTGGGCCTGCGCGGGTTGAAAGGGACCGAGGGAGGTGCGGGGAGAAGGAGAGAGGTCGCCCGGGCCTTGGCAAACTTGTCGTGCGGCGTCGTTGCACCACGCCGCCGTCGTTCGCCTCCGCGGGCCTGCGCGGGTCGAAGACGGCCGAGGGAGGGTGCAGGGAGGTGGAGAAAGGCCGCCCGAGGCCTTGGCAGACTTGTGGCGGGGCCATCGTTGCACCGCGTGGCTGTCGTTCGCCGCCGTGGGCCTGCGCGGGTCGAAGACAGCTGAGGGAGGGTGCGGGGAGGTGGAGAGGCTGCCCGGGGCCCCGCGGGGCCTTGGCAACGCTGTAGTTGGGGCTGAGAGCCTTCGTCTCACCGCGGTGGCCGACGCGCCCACCGCGTCGCCGTCGTTCGCCGCCGTGGGCCTGCGCGGGTCGAAGAGGGCCGAGGGAGGGTGCGGGGAGGTGGAGAGAGGCTTCGAGGGGCCTCCGCGACCGCGAGGAGGGGCTGCAGGCCGCTGTTGCACCGCGGTGGCTGGCGCGACAACGGCGTGGCTGTAAAAAGTTAGCACGGCGCAATAGGGACAAAACATTTTTTTCTACTCACCTGAGCTGCCCTTCGACCTCCGAAAGCAAACGCACCGCCGAATGTTTGCGTTCGACGGTCTGGGGGAGCGCGAGGCGGAAGGTGGAGGCCGATGTGATGACCGGGGCGCCGTTGTTCGCTGCGGCGGGCCTGCGAGGGTCGAGGAGGGTCGAGGGAAGGCACGGGGAGATGGAGTGCAGCATCGCGGGGCCAGGATGACCGCGAAGACGACGCTGTGCGCCGCTGTTGCACCGAGGTGGGCGGTACGAGAACGACGCGGCTGCAAAAAGTTAGTACGGCGCGATACATACAGAAGTTTTTCGGACTCACCTGGACTGCCTCTAGTTCTCCGAAAACAAACGCGCCGCCGAACGTTTGCGTTCGACGGCCTGGGGGAGCGCGAGGTGGAGGGAGAAGGTGTCGCCAAGGGAACGCGGTGCTGACGCGCCGCGTTCGAGAGCAAACCGGAACGCGGGCGACGGACGGAAGCAGGAGAAGAATAAATAAAAGCAGAGCAACGCCGAGGAGAGCCTCCTCGGCGTTGTGGAAGGGTGTCGCGGCAGTGAGCCAAGCAGGAGGAGCGCGAAGCTAAGTCCAACCGGCGCTTGTTGGGCGGCGGCTTTCCCACGCCCCGCCAGCCGTTATGCTTAATCGCGGGGCCGTTATGCTGAGGGGCGGCCGTTATGCTGAGGGGAGGCCGTTATGCTTAGTCGCGGGGCCGTTATGTTTAGTCGCGGGGCCGTTAGGCTTATTAGCGGGCCAGCGACGGCAGTAGAAGCTGCATTTGTAGCAGTTTCCGCCTGTGTGAACTCCGCGCGGCCCTCATTTTCCTCCAGCACTTCAGGTTCGGTAGGGTCAATGTATATGTCCAATAATGAGGAAATAGCGATCGCAGAGGCGACGCAAACGACGGGTGTGAGTGTAAGCATCAGACGGACCATAACACCCGCAAAGTAGCTGGCGACAACGGCATAGATGATCACGAAGACATGCTCATCACGGAGCTCACGGAAACACAATACGTCGGGGCCTGGAGACCGTGGGGGGGAGGTCGGCGTGGTCGTTGGATCGCGGCGGCCCGCGTGAGGACCGCAGCGCCGTCGTTCGCTGCGGAGGGCCTCTGCAGGTCGAGGAGGATCGGGGGATGGTGCTGGGAGGTGATGCGAGCCAGCGTCGGAGTCTGGAGACCGCGAGGAGGGAGCCGGGCACAGTCGTTGCAGCACGGTGGCCGACGCGATGACAACTACACTATAGGAGATTAGCATGGATAAAAACAAACAATGTGTGTCTGTTTGACTCACCTGGGCCATCTGCAACCTTCCAGAACGAACACGCGGTCGAACGTTTCCGTTTGACGACGCAGGAGACCGCGATCCTCAGGTTCGCCCCCCCGAAGGTAAATGCGTGTTAACGAGGCTAGGAGGTGGATGCGAGGGGGTGTCGTAGGCATTCGTCGGGCCTTAGGAACGGGCCTTAGGAACCCCCAGGAGGTCGCGAGGAGGGGGCGGGATGGCCTCATCGCACTGCGCTGGCCGGGGCGACGACCGGGGCACCGTCGTTCGCCCCTGAGGCCTTGCATGTGTCGAGGAGGCTCGAAGGAGAGTGCAGGGAGGTGGAGTGGGGTTTCGCGGGGCCTCGCGAGGCCTTGGTGACAGCGAAGAGGGGGCTGCGAGCCGCTGTTGCATTGTGGTGGCCCGCGCGACGACAACTATGCTGTGAAAGATTAGCACGGCTGAAAACGAACAAGAACAGTTTGCTTGACTCACCTGGGCCCTCTCAAATGCTCCAGAGTGAACGCGCACTCGAACGTTTCCGGTCGAGGGTGCAAGGGACCGCGAGCCTCAGGCTGAGGTAGAGGTCGTGTCGCCACGGAAATGCGACACTGACGTGCTGCGTTGGACGAGAAATCAGACAGGCAGGCAGAAACGAGCTGCCTACGACCCGTTGTACGGTTCGCAAGCAGCTTCGAGCCCCCTCGATGGGCGAATGGAAGAGCATTGAGTGTGGGTCGGCTTACCTCGTTCCCGCTGGTGCGCGCCCTCCCACTTCCTTCCCCTGTATCTTCACAACGACCTCGTCATTCTTCCCGAGCGGGGTCTCGTCTTGTAGCCACGACCTTCGTCTACCTGGACGCTATCGCGTTCGAGGGAATTGAGTTAGCGCAACGTCGGAAACGAAGGGAGAGAACTCACCAAGGGCGCGCCGGCGCGCACCCCGCCACTTCGCCCGGCTGTATCGTCGACCAAACTCTTGAACCCCTCCCGAAATCGGTAGTATCTTGAAGCCAGATGGCCAGGCTATCGGACGATATACAATATGAGGCCAGGGGTAGAGGGTGAGGACGAGAAAAAATCGAGGAGTCGAAGACGTGCGAGGTGGGAAAGTCGGCTGATTGCCGCCGGTGGCCACGGCGACCCAGATCTCCGTCGAACTGTATCTTCGGGTAGTTGGTAGATTCGATGTCGGGCGATCTTTTGAGATAGCCGAGGGACCGAAACGAGGGAGGAAGGAAGGGATACAGGGGCGGAAAGTCGGGCGGCCTAACGTAGCGTTAGGCCTGCGGCCTATAGATAGGTAACCTAAGCTTTACCTAAGGTACCTAACTCACGTGACACGAACACGTGACACCGCTGGATCCCGTGCTTAAGTGCACGGCAGCACCGTCACGTGACTCGGCGGCATCTCGGCACACCAGTTTGGAAGTGCCTGGGCCTTGGTCACGTGATTATGGTCTAGACCACATCACGTGCGGAGCACGTGACTGTTCTATAATTGCTATCTCATACTGAGCATACCACCTACCGACTTATCGCGAGACGGACCGGACCTACGTACAAGACGCCCTGAGCGTCTTTCTTGCGTCCCTTCTGGGCCTTCGGCCCGGATGTGTGTCTTAGAGTAGCGCCTGTCGGACGTGTGACGTCCTCTTATCAGGGATTCAGCCCCAAGCGAGCTGGTGCCTTCTCCAAGATGAAAGAGCGCTGTAAGTGCAACCTTGCCTCCGGGACTCTGATTATGACGTCGGGCGGCACCCGGGACGATCATTTCCCCGGGATGTTATGACCGTCAGCGGCTGTATGTTACTGTAGCAAGCGCCCGGGACTTCGGTCTCGGATCGCGCTGGAGCCCCTGAGAAGCCACCACCCTCCCATCTCGCCCTAACCCGGCTGAGTAGTTGGTCACTGGTGACGATGCACAGACTCCACGACAGCGTGAGAAGTAAAAATGAACAGGTGGCCGTCTTCCGAGGAAACTCCGAAGATGTTCACACGGAAAGACCCGAGCCGAGCTGCCGCTCGGAACATCCTCGATGCGTGCTTTGTTTGTCTAATTGAGTCAAGCGCGCCATCTTTCGAACGTGCGATAACTGACCCCGACGGCGAAACCTCGGGTCAGATGACCAGGCGTTGGGCCGGGTAAACTCGGTAAGTGATTATGGATCATATGCTAAATCCGTCCCTTGGACGAATGTGCGCTAGTCGACTGGCTAGTCGGAAGAACTTCGGTTCGGAATAGGTGCCGATTGGTGATACTCCTGCGGAGCCTCTCACGGTCGGAGTTGCCTGGACCCGGGCTGGAGCCTGGCCATGACGCCACCTAACGCACGTTCCCCTCGGCTACACGGTGCGCGCGGAGCTACCGCGCGAGCAACCAAACACGGCCAAATGGTCCGTGCGCGGTTTCCCAGAAGATAAAAGCAGGTGGCGAGAGCACTGAAGAGGCATCAGCCGAAACGTGCCCGTCAAGAAGCGATTCTTGACCTCGTCTGCACTTTTAAGCCGCCTCTTGAGATTTGTTGTTGAAATCCAACCTAACCTAACTAACCTAACCCTAAGCTTCTCGTCTATTCTCCTGGCGCCTATCTCCCCCTCGTATGTTAAAACCTTGATGATTCCGATCGCGCACGGCAGATATGAAAGACGACAATACTGTAGTGGAAGTAGGCTCGGCACCATCGGAATATATCTGTGCGTGTTCTTCTGCAATGTGCGTGCATGATACGCGCTCTATTGAACTTCAGCATCTCAGCGTGGCCCTTGCCCATCTGTCTCATCCTCACAGCCTTCCGGTGTGAATACGGTGGTGCTGCATTCAGTCCTGTGAACAAGATGCAATGTTTAGATCTTGGACGGTGCCGCACCTGATGTCATTTGCCCGGGGATGGTACGGTATGTAGCACTGAAGTGCTAATATTCACCGTGCTACTAGCGCTCTGCTTAGCGGCACCACACCTGCGTGAGTCCCCATCAGTTCCTTTCTTATCCCCCTCTCCTTAAGGCATGCGAACGAGGGGTGAGAGATGCAGTGGAGTGTCGAGGGTTCCTGCGCCGCAGAGCTGGACTCGTTGCGTCAGACACTGCAGGCGTCCTATTGTGACTTCGCCCATGTAATAGACACCATAGTTGTCTAAGTCGACAATCTCATTGACACTCCAACTTTATTTTGCAGCCTCTCCAAGTCTGTCGACCGCATCTTGCCTTCTGGAAACGTAGTATCCGGATCTCGACTATCTCGCCGTATAGATCTGGTGAGTCGCGCTGACATCGCGGCTACTATGCGAGTACTTCAAATATATGCGCTCCACTGCATCAAGACACCAGTTCGTAATAGTTATTGGATGGAGACAAGAAGATTCAAGTTCAGTGATCCGACCGAAGGGGACTCACTCTGTGCTTGATAGACATAGACGCGACGGTCAAGAGATCTCTAGCAAGAAGCACGCAAAGCTCTCCTTTTCCACTCGGAGGCACGTCAATTCAACTACATGTATCTGCTCATAACGCCCACGGTCAGATATCTCCACGACGAGATGCAGGGACGTGTCTACATAGGTAAGCATGCCGGACTCGAGGAGGATCGCAATTGCGACCTCTGCCCGAGTACCTACTTGCACGTATATCCAAAATGCACCGGCGCTGGGACCTCTTGCTCCTCACTCAGGGTAGTGCAGAGTTTGCACATATGTGCGCGGTCCTGACGACAGACAGATGGATATGGAGCGCTGCACCCGACCTCAGTGCGGTCGCCTCTCAGACTGCAACAGCCGCGCTGGTGCTTCCTCTGCCCGAACAGCGAGACTGTCGCTGTGTTCCCCCTGCAGATGCTACTACACAACAGTGAATCGGACAGATTTACACGCCCAGACATGCGCGCGCTCGCAAGCTCAACAAAGTGCGCCAATCCTCTCTCGATGAATAACGCTCTCCCAATATGAACCCGATCGGCCAATCTCGCCAGAGACTGCGAACAGATTCCAAGAATAAGTCCAAAGGAACGTCTTGCCTCCAACATAAAGTGCATTGAAATCGAGGCAAAGGCTTGTAAGGAATGAACGGTGACCGTGACCATCAATATTTCATCATCACTCAGTACTCAAATCTCGGCGGGTAATAGAGCAGGTTGAGCGCAAACGACATCGACGGTGCGCTTGTGCAGATCCGCTGCGAACGCTCGTGGTGAGCCCGGTCACTCGGTCGATGGGTCGGTCGCCGCGTCCCCAGCAGATGCTACTACGCAACATATTCAGATGCCCACACGCGCGCGCAGGCAAGCTCAACCACCATGAAGAAAGACATGCGATGCACCGACTCTCATCCTCTAGCGAAAGTGGTCTTCACGCACTAATCCTCTCTCGATGAACTTAGCACAATCTGGCACCGCTACCAATGCTCTCCCAATACGAGCGTGATCGGGCACCCAAAAGCGGTCGACGAGCAAACGAACGCACAACAAATCTCTTGCCTTTGCAACGCAATACCTAGTCTGCGTCTATAGCACACTGTAAGCATCTAGCACCAGTCCGCGCTCCGCACTATACACTATCCAAGCACCAGCACGACACGGCCGTCAGATCCCCCGCCACGCTAATAGACTATTGCAACAAACCATCACGTCCTCGCCGCACGAGACTCAGAACTTGAACACCTGCGCACGCGTGTCAGCGCCCAGAGAGGGCGAACGACGAGACTAGGCAAACGCACCTGGTTCTCGGTGTATCTGAGCTCCTTGAGGACGCCGCCCAGCGCGCCTTGCTGCATCCCGTCCTTTTTGCCCGCGAGCGAGGCGACTTGGCCGGGGGGACCTGTGTGGGCGCGCAGTTACGGTCGACGTGCGAGATGGTCGTGGAGAGGTACAGCGCGGGGAATGGAGTGTGAAGAACCAGCGGCGCGTTGCCGAGATGAGACGGATTCGCGGGGGACACGAGAGTGAGGATGCGAAGGGAGCAGCAAGAGTGCGAGAGCGCGACGCACCGCAGATGAAGACCTTGACCTTGTCCCCGAGGCTCGCGGGGGCGATATGCTTCGTGATCAGCTCACGGTTCACATAGCCCTTAGCACCTACAGCGCACGTCAGCGTCAGCGCACCAGCCCCCATGCGCAGGATGACAAGGGACGGCGCACCTGTCCAGCCGGCGTCCGGCTTGTCGAGCGCGTACACGACGCTGAAGGTGTTGGGGTGCGCCTTCTGGAGCGCGTCGAACTGCTCGCGGTAGAGGATGTCGCGCTCGGCGACGTTCGCGAAGATGAGCGTGAACTTGGTCTTGTTCGCCGGGTCGCGCAGCGCGTGCTGGAGGACTTGGTACATCGGCGTGCTGCGTGGGAGTTAGCGGTAGCCGGGCGGAGGGAAGGGGAGGGCAGGGGACGTACATGCCGCTGCCGCCTGCGATCATGCCGATTTGGTCGAACTCGTTGGCTGGGGAGACATTGTGACATTAGTAAGGCACATGAGCGAGGACATGGTAAAGAGACATCGAGCTGGGAGCTTCGAGAATAAGCCGTGCACGATATGATCTTCGGTATCTTTATGGGGTCGTGGCACTCAACCCTATGTATGCGCACAAACGTTCACGCACATCTCCGAGGCAGTCTGCGAGGGATCGTGCACGCAAGAAAACGTGGGACGCACCTTTGTACGGAATTTTCATGATGGGGCCCTTGATCGCGAGCTTGTCGCCAGGCTTGAGGTCATGTATATGCTTGGACATCTTGCCCTCCTCATACCGCTTGACGAGCAGCGTGAACACGCCCGGCGCGTCAGACGGGGACACGGGTGTGTACGGGCGGTGGACCGGCTGGCCCTTGTTATCCTGGATCGCGAGGCCGTCGCCGGCGGTCTGGACGAGCACGCAGGAGGCGACGGGGAGGAGCGAGGCCTGGTTATCCGGGAGCGCGAAGTCGAAGTGCGCGGTGTTGTGGTTGTACGGGCGGATGGCCTTGAGCTCGAGGTCGATGTAGCGCTCGGGGTCGAGCGGGGTCTTGGTCTGTGTCTGCGCGGGCGTCGCTGCTGCGGCCTTGGAGCCGGATTGGAGGTAGAGGTAGCCGGCGAGACCCGCGATGCCTGCGCCGCCGAGGTAGAGCGGGAGGTTGGACGACTTGCTGGCGCCGCTGGGGGCGGTGGAGTAGCGGCGGGTGGACGAGAGCTGGCGCAGGCGTGAGGCAGGGTGGGGCGCATTGAGGGGGTATGCTCACCAGGGTGCGTGCAGCTCTTGGGAAGGACATGGCGGGAGAGAGCAAGACGCGTGAGAGACGCGTAAGGCGACCTGCGCGTGCTCGGCTTCCTCGATCGCGACTTGGCCGAGAAGTGCGCACGGCGGCCGGATATATCCTCGGCCACCGCCGCGGCCGAGCCGTCCGAGCCGAAGTCCAGTCCCTCTCTAATAGTGCGCCATGGCCTAAGTACTCGACAAGCTATTGGCTGAAGCGCCGCCCGCTGCGCAACGAACAGCGCATCTAAGGCGTTACAGGTCTAATCTGCGCGAGGGATCCGCGCCGAGTATACCCACTGGCTTGAGCGGATGGGAAACGACGATCGCGGCGAGCTCGATACATCGATGATACGACGGCATAAATAAATATATTGGATGAACTCAGGCGCAGGTGGAGCCACTCAGACTCGAATGGGTTTTAGCTACAGACAGCGCGAAGGGCGCGCACGGGACAGACCTAATAGACAGCCCCGGCCAACAATGGCATGTCCATTCAGATGAACGGGCTCTCTGAGGCAGTCACAGCGCAAGAGGGAGTTACAAGCTTAGCCTTGCGATTCACTCTCACGCCATGACTGCGTCATGCTCACAATTAACAGTTCACCTTGCACGAATGGATCCACAAGGCAGGCTCCGGAGGATAAGTATCAGTAATGCTGATGATCTGTTCTACCTCGAGGCTCGACGTGGATCAGATCGTGAGCATTACCGTAAGGTGTCATCCAGAGCGTGAGCGTGAGCGGTGGCAGGCGAGCTCTGGTGGGGTGAAGGGAGCACGAAAGGCCAGGTTGTGGTGCATTGCTAACGTTGGCTGCCTGAGGGTGCGGAGGCCCGTCCAAGGTCCAAGGTGCGGGCGTTTGCGACCGCTACGGGTCGACGGTGACGCAATGGTGATGCTGGAGGTGCAGCAGGAGGGACCGAAAGGGAGAGCAACGACAACGGCGAGCGGGCGAGATCAAGCGCGATTAGCACGAAACAAAGTAAAGAAAACCATTAAACCATTTTTGACTCACCTCATGATGTCGAAGCCCACCAAAAAACCTTTGCCGTCCGCCGTAGTTGCAAGCGTTCGACGGCGTGATGAAGCGCCGGCTGGAGGTTGAACATTTGAACGTTGAAACGTTGAAATGTCGCGAACGCTGCAGGTCGTTAGAATGGCGAAAAACAGGCCCCCCCGGCTCCCATGTGTCCGATCCTAATTCTTATGTCCACATCTTTTCGGCCCAAATACCGGCCCAAAGGATCGGCCCGTCGGCCCATTTATACCCGCATGGCCAATGTAACCTCTAGAAAAATAGCCAGAATGATAAAAAAATGCGTAAGAATCTCTAGGACCGTCCAGTGCAGATCCAAATAATATCCTCATCCTTCGCATGCAAGACATGTCTCGGGGTGTCAGCCCACGTATCAATGGAAGTTAATGATATGGGCGTTCACCTGGTAGGGGCGGTAGCGTCAGCGGCCGTCGAGAAATGGCCCCAACCTGGATCAGACATGGTCTGTGACAGTCCAGCTATATCCGCATAGTGGATCGGACGGAGTGCCAGAACACTTCAGAGGGTCGCTTCTACCTGCATCCGGATCGGACATACGCCTTGAAAAACCCATCGAGAGTTGGTAATTCTTATCCGTGTGGTGCCCGAGCACCAGACAGCGAACGGAGGTTCTCAAGGCCGAGTTTGAGGGCAGACGTCGAGGCGAGGTGTCACGAGATGGGTGTCACGACGGCGATGCGAGCAACGACGACAGAAGCTCTGAGCCAAACGCCCGACAGCGAATTGCAACCGGCGATCATGGAGGTGTACGCATGTAAAACGGAACAGACTCGGAAGGCAGGCGGAGTAGCTCGGGAAAAGAGAGTTGCAAGGCGTCATCGAGCATGCGTGGAAATCGCTGAGACGATGAGATAGAAGCCAAAGTCAGACCACTTGAAGTATATACTCCGGCAGATGGGATCAGACAGTCTGGAGTAATGAATTGCGGTCGAGGGTGAACGTACGGTATGAGTGCGCGCAAGTATGTGTCATGACTCACCGCAGTGACCCTTATACGTATGCGTTAGAGAGCTTGGATCGAGGCTCAAAAGCTTAAAGCGGCATGAACTAGCGGGACTCGGTACTTGAAACTATAGTCAGAAAGCGGCAAACATCGCCTGATGAGTGCTGAAAGTGTCGCCCAGTCGCGTGGATGACAAGAGCCGGGGCCAAACTCGCAAGGTGACGACAGCAGAGAGGAGGCCCGCGGCTGATAGTACAGGAACAAGTCAAAACGGCAGCTGTATACCCTGCGTCACGACGAACTTACGGGGAAGTTGGTGTCAGAAAGGCGCAGGAGCGGTGAGAAGAGTAGACGAGGAGACGTGAGAGAAGACGAGCCAGAAGGAGCTGTAGGATAGCCCAGGACAGCGGAGGTTGCGTACTATGACGCGTACGGCCTGGGTCCTTGGAGAGATTGACCTCGCGATTAGCACGAGGCAAGCAGACGCATGCGTCATAGCCAGCATCAGTGTCTTGTGAGTGTCTTGTGCACGCAGTTGGCGCAGAGACTTGGAATGACTGGCTGAATCGGGTAGATCGGGCCGTGATCTAGGGACCAGCGACGATGACGCAGGGGGCGCTTATATAATCGATGGACCAAGGACTCCAACGCGTTCTGCCCGTCGTCCTCGCGCTCTCGCCCACGCGTTCTGCTTGTCGCGACCACCGCCAGCAGCGCACCATGTCCTTTGTCAAGCTCAGCATATTCGGCACCTCCTTCGAGGTCTGTAACCTGTTGCGTTGTCGTCGCGCACGCGCTCACGCTCCACAGGTCACCACCCGCTATGTCGACCTCCAGCCCGTCGGTATGGGTCAGTCTCCACCTTCCTCTCCCCGCTCATCTCCCCTTGCTGACACCACCCTGCCCAGGCGCGTTCGGCCTCGTATGGTACGCACGACCCGCACGTCCGCGTGCCCCGCTGACTTCCCCCAGCTCCGCCAAGGACCAGCTCACCGGCTCCTCCGTCGCGATCAAGAAGATCATGAAGCCTTTCAGCACTCCAGTCCTCAGCAAGCGCACCTACCGCGAGCTCAAGCTCCTCAAGCATATCCAGCACGAAAATGTTCGTACCCCCGACTCCCCTTGCTCGTTCCCACCTCACCGCTCTGCAGATCATCAGCCTCAGCGACGTTTTCATCTCCCCCTTAGAAGACATGTGCGTCCACCTCCTTCTTCTTGTTGATTATTGCTCACAGCCTTCCAGTTATTTTGTCACGGACCTTCTCGGCACGGACCTCCACCGCCTCCTCACCTCCCGACCTCTAGAGAAGCAGTTCATCCAGTACTTCCTATACCAGATCCTTGTACGCGTCTCCCGTTCTTTCTATATATCCGTCTTCTCACATTCTGCAGCGCGGTCTCAAATACGTGCACTCCGCCGGCGTCGTCCACCGCGATCTCGTGCGTTCGTCCGTGACGCTCTACCGAAGCCCGAAACTCACACTATACGCAGAAACCGAGCAACATCCTCATAAACGAAAATTGTGACCTCAGGGTACGTCTTTTTCTTCTTCCTCGTGCTCGTGCGCTCACGGAACATATCTGCTTCATTTCCCTATTATGCCTTTCGTGGTCCGATTCACGGATCCTCTTTTCGTGCATCGTTCGATCTTTGACACGCATTCACGCACCTCTTCAACCCGGTGCCATCTACACGCAAACCATCGCGACGCCCGTTGTCGACTTGCGCATCTCGCCTCCGCTCGGCATCTGTATCCTTGTGCGGCTTGGTGCATCTCTCTTCCCTTTTTTTTCCTGCTCCTGCGCATTCCGCTGGCGCACTTGTGTCTATGCTTACTTTGGCTCTAACACGTGCTCCCGGCCCATGTCTCGCTTCGCCTTCCCTCCCGCACACAGATATGCGACTTTGGCCTCGCGCGGATCCAAGACCCGCAGATGACGGGCTACGTCTCGACGCGGTACTACCGCGCGCCGGAGATCATGCTCACGTGGCAAAAGTACGACGTCGCGGTCGACATCTGGTCCGCGGGCTGTATCTTTGCGGAGATGCTCGAGGGGAAGCCGCTCTTCCCCGGCAAGGACCGTGCGTACTCCTCTGTTGCTGATGGCGCGGATTAAGGATACTGATTGAGGCGGCGGCCTTTTTTTTTTTGGCGGCGGTTAGACGTGCACCAGTTCTCGATCATCACCGAGCTGCTGGGCACTCCGCCAGAGGACGTCATCCGGACGATCGCGAGCGAGAATGTGCGTGTGCCCCCGATTCTACCTGCGTCGTGAACGCTTATTTCTCTCACACACCCCGTGGCGCGTCTCTCCCGCAGACCCTGCGATTCGTGCAGAGCCTCCCGAAGCGCGAACGCGTGCCTTTCAGCGAAAAGCTGCATTGCAGCGACCCAGTCGGTACGTCATCATTCCCCGCCCGCTTCTTCTCGCGCTCCATCTCACCCTCCTCGTCCCGCCGCAGCGATCGACCTCCTGGAGAAGATGCTCGTGTTCGACCCGCACAAGCGGATCAACGCGACGGACTCACTCGCGCACGAGTACGTCGCGCCGTACCACGACCCGACGGACGAGCCGGAAGCGGCGGAGAAGTTCGACTGGAGCTTCAACGACGCGGAGCTCCCGGTCGATACGTGGAAGGTCATGATGTACTCTGAGATCCTCGGTGCGTCCCCCCTAGCGCGGATATTGAGAATTGAGAATTGAGGGCTGTTGGCTTCGCTCCAGATTTTCACCAGGTTGGAGATGCGCACCTTGGGGATGGTGTCCCGGAGGGCGCGCTCGCTGCGCCTGAAGACCCGCCGAGAGGTACGGATGCGCGTGCCGCGCCGGCGGTGGTGCCTGCTCCGGCAGTGGTGGTGGCAGCCGCAGCGGGAGTAGATTAGATTTTCACCCACGACACTCCATACATCCACCTCGTGTGCTAGGAGCGAACCCGGCCGCCATACGAGTTCACGCGCCGCACACGCGCGAATACCCCGCCTATCTATTGTATTGTCCGTCCGCCATCCTGTCCGTCTGTGTCGTGGAGTGTCCCTGCTTGTATCGTTGTACACCGTAGAGCCTGTCGAGCCAGGTGTCTTAGGTCTCGAGTCGTAGTCGTACCTGTATCCTCATGTAGTATTGTCCGCCCTCGTTTCTTACCCGTTCGTTCGGATCGTGCGACCACGCGCATCGATGGACGCCAGGCGTGAGTGCGTAAGTAATATCGTTTATGTATTCGTCTGTATCGAGCAGCTAGGCTCAGTTTATATACGTACCGGTAGAATCACGACGAATCGCGCAACGTCGACCAGCGAAAAATGTTCGCGTCGACACGCAACGCCGGCGAGGCGAACATGGTATTCCAACGTACAGCGCACAATACCTCACATCGACCCAGAATCAACCACTGCAACGCACTCACTGCGCCACCTCTTCCTCCTCATCCTCCTCAATATCCACCAGCTCCCGCCCCTCCTCGACCATCTCCCCCTTCACACACCCCACAGCCTTTACGACGCCCGCCGCACGCGCCCGCAACACCGTCTCCGTCTTCATGCTCTCCAACACGACCACCGCCTGGCCCTTCTCCACGCGCTCCCCAAGCGCAACGCGCACCTCGACGACGACGCTCGGCATCGGCGCGCGCAGCGCCCCCCGCGCCGCCCCGCGCGCGTCCGCCCCGAGCGACTGCAGCCACGCCGGCGCAGGAACGTGCAGCGCCGTGCGCCGCCCGCCGTGGAAGACGTGCACGCGCTCCGCCGTCGCGGGCGATGTGGGCGGCGGGCGCTGCGCGACGATCGTCGTGCGCAGCGCGGCCCCGCCGAGCGTCGTGTGCAGCGTCGTGGGCGCGTCCAGCCGTGCGGGGACGGCGCGGAAGACGTGCGGTGTGTCGATGCTGGGCGTGTGCACTGTGATGTCGAACAGCGCGGGGCCGATAGGCTTGACGTGGACTGTCAGAAGCGAGGAGGAAGACTGGGAGGAGGGATCGTCGTCGGATTGGAATGTGAGGGTGCGCTCGTGGGTGTCTCCGCCGAAGCGGCGCGAGGCGAGCGACGTCCACGGGGACGCGGATGTGGTGGTCACCGCTGGCTGGTCCCTGAGCACGAGGAAGAGCGCAGCCTGCGCGAGGACCTCTGGCGAAGGCTCCGAGATGGGAGGGAACAACGCGTGTCGGTGTTTCTGCCCACAGAAAAAAAGAACAGGCGGTCAGCATACAGAGGAGGGGGCCTAGCAAAGGGATCTGTTAACTGACCGGGATGAACCCCGTCTCGACTTGCCCCTCCACAAACGCCGTGTTCCCCGCGAGTGCGCGGAGAAACTCGACGTTGGTCGACACCCCTACAACCTTGTACTCCTCGAGCGCGCCGCGGAGCATGCGCAGCGCCTCGGTGCGATCACGCCCGTGGACGACGAGCTTGGCGATCATTGGGTCGTAGAACACACCGATCTGGGCGCCCTGCTCGAATCCCTGCTCAAGCCTGAGGGACGGCGCGACCGGAGAGGAGCTCAGTGTGGGCGTTAACGCAGATAGTGGGGACGCCGAGGGGACCGAAGGCGGTGGCAGAGTGACAGTGGGTGCAAAGGTGTGGGTTGGCGTTGGAGTGGAGAGGTAGAGGAGTTGCCCGGAGTCGGGCAGGAAGTCGTTGCGTGGGTTTTCGGCGTAGATACGCGCCTCGAATGCATGTCCGACGAGGGGAACGGCAGACTGGGCTAGAGGGAGTGGGTTTCCTGCTGCGACCTACCGCCTGCTTAATATCTCGCCAGCGACCCGCATGAATAATTTGGGTGCGCACCTCCAATTGCCATTCCACCAAGTCAAGTCCGGTGATCATCTCCGTCACAGGGTGTTCCACCTGTAACCTTGTATTCCTTAAGAAAAGTACGTGAGATTGTTTTCGACCGTTGTCTCGCAGGGAAAAGCTCACATTTCCATAAAGTAGAACCCCTGGGTATCATTGTCAAATATGAACTCGACCGTGCCAGCACCAACGTAATCCACAGCTTTCGCAGCCGCAATAGCCTTTGCACTCAGGTCCGCACGCAGTTCTTGGGATAGTCCAGGCGCAGGTGCCTAATATCAATACTCGGGTCAACAATCCACTGGACATTTAGCAATAAAAGTAACGGCACACCTCCTCGATTATCTTTTGGTTTCTGCGCTGCACAGAACAGTCGCGCTCCCACAGACTGACGCACTCGCCGAGCGTGTCCGCGAACACCTGCACCTCGACGTGCCGCGGGTGCACGATGTACTTCTCGACGAGGACGTCCGCGTTCCCGAACGACTTCGCCGCCTCGCGCTGTGCGGAGCCCAACGCTTCGTGAAACTCGCCCGGAGTGTGCACTACGCGCATGCCCTTTCCGCCGCCACCGTGGACGGCTTTGATAAGGACGGGGTAGCCTACGCAGATATTAGTACAGCGGGAAGGTAGAAAGATGGTCGGCAGAACCTATGCTGGCAGCCTCTTCAAAGAGGAGCTCTGGGTCTTGATTTGAGCCATGGTAGCCAGGCACAACGGGTACACCAGCAGCTGAGAGACAGTGAGTCGAGGCGTGAAGAATGAAGACACAACAAGCTCACCGGACATGATCGTCTTTGACTCGCTGGACGAAAATCAGGCGCGTGAGTTGTAGGCGTCGTTTAATCGAGCTTGAGACGAGTACCTCTTGGATCCCATACTGACGATTGCGCCAGCGGGCGGACCAATGAATACAATCCCTTCCTTCGCGAGATTCTCCGCAAACTTCGCATTCTCGCTAAGGAAGCCGTAACCGGGATGGACGGCCTGAACATTCTAAGCTTTCGGCTATTACAGTAAGAATATTTATGTACCTGTGCACCACTACGGCGACAGACCTCGATGATCTTGTCCATGCGGAGCTGTTCAACGCGTCGTCAAGCTGGATTGGAGATATGGAAGGCAAACTGCTTACATAGCTCTCTGACGAAGGTGCTGGACCTATGCAATATGCTTCGTCGGCCTGCGTAGAATAGTCAGCACCGTGCTGACTGCTGTATGTACCGTGACGGCGCCGCATGTGCGTCACAGGCTCAGTTGGAACAGAGTACGGTCTTCCAACGGTAGGATATCACGATATGCGCCATGTTCGTAGGTTACACCCCACGCACCCAGCATCGCAAAAAAGGACGTACCATCTGGACGTGAAGTGCATCCGCGTCGACATCGCTGTAGACAGCGACGGTCTTGATGCCTAGCTTCTTGGCAGTTCGGATGACGCGACATGCAATCTCTCCTCTGAGAGGCTTGAGCACCCTTCGAGCACGGTAAAAGAATAGTAACAAACCTATTGGCAATCAAGATCTTGTCAAAATGAGGCTTGCGAGCAGACTGCCCAAGCGGGGAGAACGACGGGTCTGCGAGAAACGCGTTCAATTTGCGTGTATGCTCAAGGACTCGGACGCGACCACGGACCCGCAGCCGATGCAAAGCCGCGCGCAGAGTGCGCTTGAGAGGCGGCTACGGTACCAGGATGGCGTATAAAGAGGGGTGTAGCATCCGTGACTGCATGGGAGACCAATGGAGGTGTCGGGGCGTAGGCGACGCGCGTACCAGGTGCGGTCTTGGCTATGTGGGGAAGAGTGCGCGCCAAGATGGAGCGCTGAGTCGAGGGCAGCATCGTTCACGTCGAGCGAAGGAGTCCCTACGAGCCCATCGAGAAAGAGTATCTGCATGCGTCGGCTATGGTGGTCGCCGGATGTCAGCTGCTCGTCGGCGCTTACTCTCGACTGTCGACATGCGGGGTTGGCGACTTGGACTCGTGCGCGTTATCCTTGCCAATGCATCCACTCCTCAACGACGACGTTCTACGACGAGTTTTTGACTTTCCTAAGCAGGCCCGTGACAATCCTACGCTTGTACGTTCAGCTCAGGTCAGCAGAGCATTTTCAGAGCCTGCGCTGGACGCGCTCTGGGATGTGACCGACTTGCTGCGTCTGGTTCGACTTTTGGACGTACTATCTACAGTCCATTCCGTACGCAACTACGGGCTACCCTTGACAAAATATGTGTGTCCCTGTTCGTGCGCATATCGCCGGCACTGACTTACCATACCCAGGTCGTCGAGAAAGAGCCGTCCCCGGAGCAATGGGAAAGATTCCACAGCTACGCTCGGCGCGTGCACAGCCTGTATATATCAATATCGTTGTTTGACTCCAAGGATCCATCAGCTGTCGCTGCTCTCATCATCGAGCGGTCGCGGATTCAGGTACTCTTCCCCTCTTTGCTCCATCTTTCATGGGAATCCGGTTCGCCTGCTCCAGAACTGCTACGTCTCGTCGGCTGTGTCGTGACACAGTCCGTCAGCTCTCTTCAATCTGTTAGATTGCAAGGCAGAGGTGGTGTGTCCATTCACGATCCCCAAGCACTCCAGCAATTCGAATCCATGCTTCACACGTTAACCACCAAGGCACCATTTCTCCATACACTTGAGCTGTACACACATTATCTCCTTTCGTTGCAGTCTCTGCCTCCTTGCCAGCGGCTTAGGCGTTTTGTGTGCCCGTGCACCACTCTGTCTGGTCTGTTGCAGTATTGTGGGCATATCGAGAGTCTCAGCTCGCTGGAAGTGGCGGGGATATACGGCGAGGAAGACGTTATTCCTGCTTGCATCGGTTTCCCGTCTTTGAGGACTCTCCGCCTCGTAGAGGGGCGCATCGTCAATTTCATCCCGCTCCTTAATGCCATAACATCACCTCATCTCGGGTCGGTCCAAATCTCCGCTTTTACAGTGGGCAGCTGGCGTGATTTTCGCGTCTGTTTCAATGTGCTACCACGTAATTTTTGTTCTTCCCTTCGAGTCCTCTGGTTGTGGGGCATACCGTACAAATTGGACAACGACAGCCCAAGCTTCGGATTTTTGATCGAGCCGCTGCTGCATTTGCATCAGCTGGAGGAACTCATACTCAATCTAGATATTCACCCAACCAATCCACCTTCATGCGTCCTGACCGACCGTGATACCCATGATATGGCATCCGCGTGGCCGAAGTTGACCCAGCTCTGGCTCTACCTGAGGCTAGCCGCTGCCCCATCCGTTTACTGCCTTGCTACATTCGCGCAGAAATGTCCCTTGTTAAAGAGGCTCGGGATCTTGTGTAATGGCATGCACGATACGCCGTACCCAGAGCTTCCCGAGACGCCCCATCCTTGCGATGCCCGGAACGTGCGACTCAGTTGGACGCAGCTCGTCATAACAGACAGCCCCCGACTTGCCCGCTTCATCATAGACTGGTTCCCCAATATTGACCTGCAGGATGTCAGAGACCGTCGTCAGATTAGTAGCGAGTTTTTGCAGCTTTTGGAAATGTTTCAAGCCGCAGCATCCTGATTTTATCCAAAACATGGCCGTAGTCAGTACATTTCATCTAACCTTCATGGAAGATCACTAGTACTCAATGTGAAAGTTTTTGCTATAACGTCCCGTCTCGTGTTATGTAGGTACGTTAACTATGGATTGACATTGTGAGTCCCAATAAATGCCGTATCGTGATGGTTTCTAAGGTTTGAGCCAAAACGTTACCGAACTTCGTAGTCGTTCCTACACCTGCGAGTGATAAATCGTAGGGAGAGACAAGAATATTTCTCGACGAACGGATAAATATTGTACCGACGTTTGAGCTGAGATACTACAAGAGCCTATACTGCCAGAACCAATCTAGTTGACCTTGCACGATCGTCACGATCTACGTTGGTTATCGCGCAAGGCACACCCATTGTCGGGAATATGACACGTCGAGCGGAGTTCTTCGGTGTCAAGTTTCACACCAGAAGATGCCTGGAGGTGTAAATAGACATGGCCAATGAACGGGCCCAGGATCAGTAGCATGCCCTTTGGTGGCCGTGTTCATTGGATTCTCGTTCTATACACAAAGCACAGCCACTCTTCGCGGTGGGCCATGCAGCGGCTTGGGCTCTACAGACGATTTCAACGAGCAAGCGCATACAGAACTTGCGCTGCGCGTAATAAAATGCAGGCATGTATAGCCTCTGGCACTGTACCCTGCCGCCCCTTGAAGATAGTGGAGGCTCTAGAGCTCTTTCATGTCCATCCCTTCAATATTCTCGAGATTACCGGGGCGGTGACGGATAGGAAGATCCCGGTTTGTAGAGAGGTACCGATGTGTTCGGGAGTGATGCCCCGCCCTTCCTGGACTAGGTGAAATGGCGAGGGGACCTATTGCCTGATAATTTGGACAAATGCAACCGAGAGAATGAAGTGCAAACGGCGAGATCGCAAACGTGCACCTAGACAGTGTAACGCTGCTTCAGAGCGAGCACTCATCTTTCAGCTTGTCCACAACGTCTCGCGATCAGAGTCGGCGAAAGTGAAGTCAGCGGAAGCAGCTCGCCGCCTCAATCGCCGACGGTCGGGGAAGTGGTCTTTCCTTTCCCCCAAGGTCGGACTGAAGCGGATCGCCTGGTTATGTCAGTAAAGCGCAGTGAGGAGGTTATGGCGTCCCTTCTCAAGGCGCACCAGAGCACAAAGGCGCTTAATATCGCATGAGATCCGTCTTCGGGTCTTCGACCCTTCGTCGAGTTAGACTTCGAAAGTAAAGAATCCTAGACGTGTCAGAGATGTTCATCCCAGAACATGACAATTAGGAGATACAGGTCCTGTATCAGCATTTACGACGCGAGTGCACGATGTTTCGTTCCAAGAACACGCTCAAACTTGGATGCATCTACCTGAATCGGGAATCTGCACAGCCACGGGATTAGATCTTCGTCTTCGAATTGTCAAAAGATTTTTATATCGACGATCCTGAACTGCCTAGCTACGGACACCTATCCTACAATTCATACACAACGATACATTGTACATTCCTTCTCATCGCAGCAAACGACATCGATGGGACAGTCGCACTCAATCCTTCGAGACCTTGATGACCACCTTCCCAATGTGCTTCTGGCTCTCGAGATACGCATACGCCTCCCGCGCTTGTTCGAACGGGAACACCTTGTTGACAACGGGCTTCAACCCAATGGCAGCAATGAAGCGATTCATTGCTTCAAACCTAAAAATGGGTCCAACGTACCACTGTCAACAACCCGCGACACAGAAGCAGATATATGCACGACACGTACTGGGAGCGCGAACCGACGATAAGCCCCCGCATCATGGCGCAGCGCCTGAGGAGCATGATGGGCACCGACGATACGTCCGCTCTCTGCAAGCAGGCCGGTGAGAATGGATCTGTTAGACACCATCGACATGAACTTACTCCAGCGAGCAACCCAATGAGGTCGATGCTCCCGCCGGACGCGATGCACTGTGCGGATTTTACCATCGTTCCTTCGCCCCCAACTTCGATGATGTGGTTGACACCCTCGCCGTTCGTCTGCAAAACGGAAAGAGACATCGACATGAACCTCACAGTCAAGGGAGTTAACGGCACGTACGATCTTCAGGACCTCCTTTTCCCAGTCCGGTGTCTTTTTGTAGTTGATGAGATGCTTCGCACCGAGCTGGGCTGCGATCTTGAGCTTCTCGTCCGAGGATGAGGTCACAATGGCGGTTACGCCGGACGCAACGGCGAATTGCAGGCCAAAGATCGAGACACCGCCGGTGCCTTGGATGAGGACCGTGTCGCCACCCTTCACCGAGAAGCCGCCGAACAGAGCGTTGTACGCAGTAAGGCCGGCGCATCTGGGTTACAGTCACGTAGCGAACTTCAGAAGCAAGAGGATACCCACGGCAAGGTCGACGCCTCCTCATAGGACAGGTGCTCCGGGATTCGCACCAGCGACTAAACATATATCACGGCGGTTAGTATCGCTGCTTCACCGCGAGCGAACGGCCGACGAACGTGGGCGGGGAATAGCCTGTACTCCGTGAGGACGCCATCAATGGGTGCACCGAGCGCAGTCATCTGCGTGTCGATCGTGACGGGACCATACAGATGGTCGAGCGAGAAGTTGGCGCAGACGCGGTCGCCCACGTTCCACCCTTTGACTTCATCGCCGACGGCGAGGATCTCGCCGGCCATGTCGGAGCAGGGCACTACGTTCTCCTTGTGGGGGAACGAGTACTTGCCTGTCGAGAGCGCAAGGTCACGGTGCTGGCAGTGACAAGATCGTAAGTCATTCCAGCCTGCGCCATCTCGATGAATTACGGACCTGTAAGGAAACGGCATGGATCTTCACGAGTACCTCCGATGACTTGGGCGGGCGGACTGGAGCTTCCTGGATAACGAGACTCTGGAATGAATCCGTCTGCAGATAATCAGGACGGGTGAAGATGATGTGTACACGTAGACGTACCTTGTGGAGACGGTATTCGCGGGTTGTCGTAGGAATCGGCATTGCAGGTGCAGTGAATACGCATCCAATTGCTACAGCACACAGGACCGTGGAGACGGTGAAAAGCGATAAACATCCTACCCCTCCTCCAGCCAACGATGGATTCGTAAGACCCAGTCCCCACCAGGCCAGGCGTCGGTTGCAATGACGCAGCAGGACGTTTATGTAGTAAGATCGCTCGCAGATAAAGAGTCACGGAGCGTCAGTGAGTCATCCTCCACACATCATCGACTCGGTACAGTCCGCCGTTCGAGCTCGGAGAAAAGACGTAGGCCGCAGCGAAGAAGAGTACTACTGTAGGAACCCGGGCGTCCGAGGAGGACAATGGAAATAGACGTGAGAGCACAGAGTGGGAGGAGAAAGCGCAAGAGCCGGTGACCGGTTGCAACGCGGCACTGCGCTGATGGCGCACCTCTTTCGCGCGACCACGACGACGACGACGACGAGGAACAGCTCGACGGTGAGCCCGACATCGTGGACGACACTCATACCCTCCCATGTATACCCAGACACAGTCCCGCCCACCATCGACTTTTTCTCCCGACGCTGGTCTCCGCCGTCCTTCCCAGCTGGAATTGAGAGCGGAATCCCAGTACTCCCGCCCACCGTTCTCGTCCTCCCTCCCGCCCCCACCGCCCGACCAGTATGAGGACGGGCCCTTCGACCCGCCCACACCGCCCGACGCGGACGACTTCTACACATCCCAGGTCAACTTTCAAGAGCAACAGTACACGCCGTCCGTTACCACGCAGTCTCTGCGCGCGCCCTCACCCCCGCCAGGCCCCATTCTCGACCACTCCCACCTCCGCCCGGGCAACCAGGCCGCCCTGCTTTCCCACGAGCGCACTCTCGAGCTCTACCGTGCCAACGCGAAGAAGACGCAGGACCCGGACCTCCAATTCGAGTTCGCCGTCTTCATGATCGACGCCTCCAAGACGATGCCCATGCCCACCCCGACCCTGGGCAATGTCATGGACATCGAGAAGGCCATCCAGAAGCGCGAGGATCTCGTGCGCGAGGCGACTTCCATCCTCAAGCGTCTCGCAGACCGCGGACACATGCCCTCCCAGTACTTCCTCGCCGACTGCTACGCCAACGGGATCGGCACCCACAAGAACCGCCAGGACTTCGACCGCGCCTACCCCCTCTTCGTCCTCGCCGCCAAGCACGGCCACCCCGACGCCTCCTATCGCGCCGGCACTTGCTGCGAGAACGGCTGGGGCTGCAGGCGCGAGTCCGCCAAGGCCGTCCAGTTCTACAAGAAGGCCTCCGCCTCGCTCCATCCTGGCGCCATGTACCGCCTCGGCATCGCCGAGCTCAACGGCGAGCTCGGCTTCTCCAAGAGCCCGCGCGAGGGCGTCAAGTGGCTGAAGCGCTCCGCGGAGCACGCTACGGCCGAGTTCCCCCACGCGCTGCATGAGCTCGCCCTGCTTCACGAGCGCGGCATTGACAACGTGCTCTTTGCGGACAACGACTACGCGGCGGAGCTCCTTGCGCAGGCGGCGGAGCTCGGGTACGCCCCGAGCGCGTACCGTTTGGGCGAGTGCTACGAATACGGCAAGATGGGCTGCCCGCAGGACCCCGCGCTCTCAATACACTACTACGTGCGTACATGTCTCTACCGCCTCGCTGTGTTTTCTCATGTGTGCCGCTCGCAGAACATCGCGGCGCAGCAGGGTCACCGCGACGCGTGCTTCGCGCTCACAGCGTGGTACCTCGTCGGCTCGCCCGGGGTGCTCCCCCAGTCAGATACGGAAGCATTCTTGTGGGCGAAGAAGGCTGCAGACGCGGGGCTCGTCAAGGCGATGTACGCCGTCGGGTACTTCCTCGAAGTGGGCATCGGCACCGAGCCCGACTCTACAGAGTGCGTGCAGCACCCCTCTCTTCCGTCGAGTCGATGTACTGACTTCTCCTGTCGTACGGCACATTAGAGCGACGACGTGGTACAAAAAGGCTGCGGAGCAGGGCGACAAGCGCGCTGCAGCACGCTTGAGGACCGGCGCTCTGAGCAAACCCATGCCTGGCGGTCCTGGTGCAGTCCTCCATCGGGACAGCACCAGCAACAGCGACCTGTCCTCGGGAAAGGGTGCGAAGGACAAAGATTGTATCATCATGTAATCGCCCATGGAACAGCGCATCGATTATTAGCCTATGTAGAATCGGACAACGCTGGACACGTACGCTATCGACCGTTAATGCGCGTATACGGCTCGACGTCCCAGTTGTAGTTGCTTGCGGTTCGTGCTATATGCGGCTTCCCCCCGAGTAATTAGAGCACGCAACACACTAACTTATGCATATATGCGTCAGAACAAATTATTTACGCCAGATGGCGGAGGTACTGAGATATCGCGATGAAACGACTCACCGACGCTCGAAGCCCTCGATCGTAGTGAGCATGACAGTCGGCGTCCTCGTCTCCCCAGTCACCGTGTTCTTGGTCTCCAGCCCACCCGCACCGCTGAGCCTCTGCAAACTGATAATCTGCAACGAGTAACCATGAATTACCAGGATGGCAATTGTTGAAGCCTCAGACCTCAGAGCTCGCTCTGGAGTTTCAAGCTTCAGTACTCCGACAACTTGCCATCAAAGAATGCATCGCGTTCATTGCATATTTTAATGCGTAGTACAGAAAACCACAGAAGCACGTCCACCATCTCCACGCAGAACCCCTATGCAGCAAGCACCACCCACTGACTCCATACAGCCTTGGGTCACCTATGTGCATGTCTGATCAGTCATGAAATAGAGATAAAAACCAACTGTTCAACACTTACATTAGATCGCCGCAGTAGCCTCCGGCACATCAGAGCAGTGCGACGCACCTCCGGCGCCACTATAGTCACGGCGGGGGACCTCGTTGAGCGACTTGATGGCCTTGCAGAGCTCCTGCAGCAGGGACATAGTTATTGTCATCTTGCTCTCAAGGTTCTTAACCTGTGTCTCTATGGTTTTGATGAGCTGCAAGGCCTCGTCAGGAGGCTCAGAGGATGTGGAGGGCACAGAGGCCGCGGGAGTGTTCTCTGTAAACAGGGTTGATTGAAGTCAAAAGTCCATACTAACATTGCTTACGATGAACCATGAAGAGACGGTTTGAGTGGCGGATAACGGTATGCCTAGAGTGCAAGAAGAGGTTGGGAGACACGACAACGTACTATGGGAAGTTATCACTCACTCGGCAGAGGATGACCGTGGACAACTCGGGACGCTGAGCGCTGAGCCTCACCGATATGAAGACGCCCAACACGGATTGCACACGTAAATCGCGCTGCACCTCCCCACGACAGTCTCGGACGTAACTGTGCGTCACACAGGTCCCCCTGGCCAAGTCGCCTCGCTCGCGAGCAAAAAGGACGGGATGCAGCAAGGCGCGCTGGGCGGCGTCCTCAAAAGAGCTCGGATACATCAAGAACCAGGTGCGTTTGCCCCCTCTCGTCGTTCGCCCTCTCTGGGAGCTGACGCGCGCGCGCAGGTGTTCAAGTTCTGAGTCCCGTGCGGCGAGGATGTGACGGTTTGTTGCAACAGTCTATTAGCGTGGCGGGGGATCTGACGGCCGTGCCGTGCCGTGCTGGTGCTTGGATAGTGCGGAGTACAGACTGGCGCTAGATGCTTACAGTGTACTCTAGACGCAGACTACGTATCGTGTGGCGAAAGCAAGAGATTTATCGTGCGTCCGTTTGCTCGTCGACCGCTTTTGGGTGCCCGGTCGCGTTCGTGTCGGGAGAGCATTGGTGAGTTCTCCTCGTCCTCATCATTCGACACAAGCAACTCGACTCCATTTTACAGACAAGAACGGCAAGCACGAAATGCGACCCAAATCGCCCTAGATCTGCAGCTGGCAGTCCGTGCCAATCGAGAGGAATTGCCCCGATGACTGGAGCCTCCCAACATAAACGTGCCCAGGCAAGGTAGAGCACGTTTGCAGATGACTACACCGGCTTCCATCTCGTCGAGAAAGAAGATAGCATGACTGTGTGCAAGCGATGGACTTGGAGGAGGTAAAAGGCTGCAAGCCCAGTCAATTTTGCAAGGAACGCGTGATTTTGCACCGACCAGGTAACGTATGCGGTAGTAGGATCCCGCGCGCATCGTCGGTGAAGCTCTGGCATCAGCAAAGGCGAAGAATGAACGTTCGACCAGCCCTTGAAGCCATCATGCAGCGACCACACATCGTTTTCCGCAGTAGCTGGATCTCGTTTGCGTAGTCAGTGAAGATCTGGAAATGGTGGATTTTTCGATACACAGATGTGTGGAACAAGTGACGTGTCGTCCTTGGCGTCGTGGTTGTGGCTGTGGTTGTGTGAGCACCTCGTTGTGGTCACCGGCGTCTGTTTCCTCGATCGATCATCCGATTTCTGTGTACGTTGCTAGTACTGCACTGGCATGTAGTAAGCCTAGTATGCAAGCCCCTGCGCCCCTCCGCAACAAGGCAATCCTGCGACAAATCTTCCACTACGATAAAGTGAACAACCGCACTCTCGCACGCCTAGCGCGCACTTGCAAAGCGTTCTCCGAACCCGCTTTGGACGAGTTATGGTGGTTCCTGGACGACTTCACGCATCTGTTGACCTTGCTGCGCTTGCAGTGTTGTAAAGTCCCCGACAAAGCCAGGAAGAAATACGTGCGTGCGCACGTAGCCCGTCGTCGTACCGAAGGTCTCAATTATTTCAGGTCCTGCAAGAGGAGCCGTCGGCCGAGCGCTGGGCGCGATTTCACAGCTACGCGCGTCGGGTGCGCCGTGCCTTCATGCCGATGGCCTATATGGATATCCACCCTTCAGTGTACACCGCCCTCGCCGAGCGCTCGCACAAGCAGCCGCTCTTCCCGTCTTTGCGCGATTTATTATGGCCGTACGACACCTTCCCCGATTACGAACTGGTGGAACTCGTTATCTGCATCGCGGCGCAGTCCATCAAGTCCCTTCGGTGGGTCCGCGCGGTAGATTGCGGGCCGTATGACGACCAGGAGCCCGTTCGCGAGGATGACAGAGAGCCCTTCCAGCTCGAGGCGCTGTGTCGGATGCTGGCCAACGAAGCGCCCTCGCTTCAGACCTTGGAACTCGGTAGCCGGTTTTCACTGGTCTTGTTGCGCTTCCTCGCACCCTGCAAGCGGCTCACGAAGCTTCAGATCTCATTTTGCACCGTCTTCGACCTCCTGCAGTTTTGTGCGCCCATGGAATGTCTCGCCGAGCTGGACGCGTGCTTGGTGGAGACCTTCGGCGCAGATATCCCTCTTTGCGCCGGCTTTCCCGCCCTCGAGAAACTGACCCTCGGCGATGGCTGTGCGGCCCAGGTTGCCCGCCTCCTGCGAGCTATATCGTCGCCCGATGTTCGGTACGTCAAGATGGACAGTCTCGTCGCCGACAGTTGGATGGACGTGGGTGCGTGTCTCGACGCCCTCGACGCCCGAGTCGCTTCCTCGCTCCGGGTCTTTCATCTGGGCTGCGACCTGCGCAGCCCCGACAAGCCCACCACGCGACTGACGGTCATCCTCCAGCCGCTCTTCCGCTTCTACCAGCTCGAAGACATCTCCATCCGACTCTCCGTCCACTCCGACCTCAATTCGAAGATCCGGCTGAGCGATCGCGACATCTCCGAGCTCGCCTCGGCCTGGCCCAAGGTCACCAGCATCCGCCTCGACTACCCGCCAGCCGCCATGATGTCTGTATTCACCGCCCTCGCCACATTCGCGCAGCACTGCCCCAGCCTGTCCGAGCTCCGGCTCGGGATAGCGCTGGACGACTCGCCCTCTGCGCTCGTCCCGCCAACCCGCGTCGCCTCCGCGTGCAGGCCGCACGGCCTAACGAAGCTCCAGCTCGCGTGGGGCGAGCTCGACATCCGCGACCCCGTCCGCCTCGCGCGCTTCCTCTTCGGCACGTTCCCCGCTCTCGACCTCCCGTGGATGTGCGCGAACGGGCAGGTCGACCCGGCGCTGGTGCGCGCGCTGCGGAGCCGGCAGGTGCGCGAACGCAGGAGGGCGGAGAGGAGGGAGGCGAGGGAGGCGAAACGCCTGGGCCTGAAGCCGCTGCGCGCCGCTCCGCCTCCGGGCGCGCGGTGTGGCTGTCCGCGGCGGCTTGTGGTGGATCTGTGTTGACGCGTCCGATCGAAAGTGCCGTTTTTGGATCGTTCTGCTGCTATTTCGCTGTGCATCGTTGTTCGTTTCGCTCTCGCTATGGGTTGTCAGCGTGCGCTTGCTCGTGTTTGCTCTTTCCAGGAGAGCGCTTTTGTGTGATCTGATACTCGAGGTGAAGCGTGTGCTAGGCCCTTTGCCGACGATATCTGGAATTTCGCTGTAGCGGCCTGCGGATAGTGGCTTTGCTCACCGTCCGTGCCTTCCCATAGGATGTTCCTTGAATGCTGTCCGACTAGATGGCTATTCCTAGCCAGCGAGGCCTCACCGCAGTCATAAGTCTCTTCAGCTTCACACTGCAATTCGTCCTACAACCCCCAACCTGTGCGCCATCTATGCTTTACGAACATTCCCAAATCCAAATTGCAGGTCCCCCAGGTCGGCAATACCGGTATGAGTCGCATACGCTGTACAATTTGCGGCTTGTCAATATTATAGTGCCGCACAGTCCCGTACGGTACAGAACGTATCGACAAGCCACACCATGCGCCGCGCGCACTCGTACGATCGCTCCGAAAACCGTCTTGCAACGCCCACCAAGTCCTGCACGGCTACACTACACGTGCACGTCGCTGCCAGCCGGAAGACGGCAAGGTCTCACAAGCGACTCTCGCGGAACAAACAGATCAAGTATGCGTTATCGCGCATCATTCGCACGCCCCGATGCCTGTTTCACTCAGAGGACGGGGGGAGCACACGCACTTGCGCAACGCGCAACATCGCGATTTCGGCATCGGTCATCGTCCATCCATGGATCGGATCGTTGTGGGCGTCGACTGCCATGACAGAGGTCGTGCGCCGTAGCGGGTTGGATTTTTGGCTACGACGGAGCGAAGGGCGCGCAGGAGACAGGTTCCGGCAAGAACGAGGTGTCCGTTCAGGCGAAGCGAGCCGTGCAGTCACGGCGTAAGAAGAAGTTGCGGGTGTAGCAGCCACGACTCCTTGTTACGCCAGGGCTGGGCGAGTCGACGTCATCACTCACGGTGAGCGAATGGGTTAGCAAGAGGCTGAAGGCTTATGAAGCGGTGGGGGCGGGCCCTGGACACCCTAAGCAGTCGCCTAGAATAACCTGCAATGCAAGCTTGACAACGCCATTGAGATCGTGCACCAAGACGACGGGCGAATGATCACGCTGCCAGTTTTTGCGGCAAGCGAAGATGTGTCCGGTGAAGTCCATCATAAGAATACACGAACGCGAACAACGTTGAGCTACGGATACTGCGAAACCGAGTCAGAATCCAGTCAGTAATGCTGCGATGAGAGGCTGTACAGCACGATATGTGCAGTATCGCCCACGTCCTTCAGCGTTATGTCTTTGAGATAACAGAGATCTGTGAGTGCGTTTGCAAGGCGACTGTCCAAGAGGCCAAGAGGATGAGGTCGGCGTAAGACAGAACGATGCAGCATCTGTTTGGATCATCCAGTTTTACTTCTAGAGTGGCTTGGCGTATGGCGACGGAGTACAGACTACGGGCGGTCGCTGTGAGGCTGAGTGCGTCAGTCGTGGACAGGGGAGACGATGGCACCAAGAACGTCCAAGCAGTGAGGTCGACAAAGCTCATCGTTGGGGATATTGCAATCCGCGATATACCTTCGACGACACACCGAGTAGTCGTTCCCCATCTAGCACAGCTGGCTGCACAATTACCTGCATCGCCCAACCTGGACCCACCTCGCAGCGCGCCCGATGATTCCGGCGGAGTTGTGAGCCAGAGTGGAGGCGGCTTGCGAAGATGCGCGCTGGGGATGGGGGGACGTGCGGTAGGCGTGCGTCTTTTCCCTTTCGCTTTCTCTGTTTCCCCCGCTTTCCGTCCTTGATTATTTCCTTCTATTAGCCCATTTTCTAGTTTGGGCTCTGCGGCTTGCGGATGCCCGGTACGGTCTTCATCGGGCCCCAACGCTTCTTGTCACTGCGTATACCGTGCACGGTGAGTGCCTTTGCGCCGTCCCTGCGTTAGATTGCATATCTGGCCTGTTCGGTGGAGGTGATGGGTAAGACTCGCGTACGGACCTGTTCGAGGAGGTGCACTTTGTTGTTGGGAGTTGGAAATCGTTCTCTCTCTCGTTCTCGTTCTCGTTCTCGTTCTCGTTCTCATTCTACACGTGAGGAGCATCGTCAACATTGGGGTCCTGTGCACATGCGGGACCTCCGTGCCTGGGAGCGGCCCCTCGTAGTAGGACGTCGCCTGAGTGGCGGTATGTGGTGTGTGGTGTATGGTGAGACGTTACTGCACGATTATTGACGCTGGAGCTATCGACATCACCGACGCGTGGCGAAAACAGAACGGATTGTATTTATCTCGAATGTAGCGATGTCGACTTTAGTCTGTACACAAGTATCAGTGCACGGTGTAAGAAGTTTCAGAAATGTGACATATAATGAAAGGCTCACAGAGCAACGGGCAATCTACATCTAGAATAATCTTCATCGGCACGTTGCGGGCGAGATTCTCCTGTCAGGATCTTGCATGATGATGGGTTGCGATCACGGTGGGACGTCGGTGAGGGTTACGTTCAGGAAGACACGACGACCATTCATGTTCCGAGGCGCGTGGGCGAGCATTCTGCCTTCCTGGCGCTAGCTGTGTGCGGGAACCAGGTGCTGAGACAAGGAATTGTCATCAGATGACATGAAAATTTTCCTATGTCCATGGGCTCGTCGAGGGAGCTAACCCGGAGCTTCAACGTAACATGACGCACATCTGACTAATGAGCATCCTGTAGAACGGGGTTGACGCCAGAAGCACTTGGACTGGCAATCTCGGACCACCAACAAAATGTTGTTCTGACCTCAACGAACATCTCAGCTCGGGATTATGAATGCGGATTAGCATCTGAACGATTCGGACGTTTATACGATGTAAACTTGGTTACAGTGCAAGGATAAAATTACATCACCAAGTCGTTGAATGGCTTCGCGGCCACTGTGAAGTTGGGCTTTGCGGCAAAGTACACACACAAATGCGACACCGGTATTATATGAGGTTAGGGTATCTTCAACTATTGGAATGCGGTACGGTTCTGCAGAGGCGGGCGCGGATCTGATTTCGAGGACGAGCCCCCAACCACGTAGAGATGCAGTTCACTCTGTACTGAGGCTCTGCAAGGTGGAAAGCCGGGCTCCTCTCGTTCGTCAGCGTAAATATTTTTCTCCGGCATAGTTCGGGCGAGGGGCTTGGCTAGTCACTGCAAGAAGCGTAGCTGTCGGACTGCATTCTGCAGCAGTTGGTGTAGAGGGGCCCCAGTAGAGACAGGCTGTGCATGGCGAACGACGTCGAATATGCCAGCACCGGAACAGACCCCCGGTCGCCCTCGTGTCGGGCTATGGTCTAAAGGGACAAACTTGGAGCTGATTGCCGCAATGGCTTGAACCTGAGAGAAAAACTTCGAGCGTGACATTAGACAAACGATGACGCAGAAACGCCGCCACTGAAAAATGGAATAACAATACTATCGTTACCCCAGTAATGCAATTGCGATTGCATCTCTGTCACCGTTCCTTCAAATCGGGCCCGTCTTCCTTCAAACCTCTTTGGATCAAATATACAACATATAAGCTACCTTCTGTGTGACTGCCAATTTTTTTCCTGATGTTGTGCGACTCCAAGACCGAACGCAGTGAAGAGACTCATTTGCACGCAAGAGCGCCGAATCGGTCACAGATCATCACGCTTGCCGACGTGCCATTCCCTTGTTCTCCCTCTAGTCGGAGTTTTAAATGGCACATTTCACTGTCACGCCTGAGTCCTCCAAACTTGCAATTCAGAGACTTCGCACCCTTCCCCTCCGAGTTTGACTCCGAAGTTGCACAGCCAAGGTATTTGGGACTGTGCACATCTATTGCATTTTTTTTGTGATTTTTAGTGCAGCAAAATGCGGCAAAACGGCGAAATTGCATAACTAGACCAGATTGCAATACTGGGGTAACGATAGTAGAAAAATCGATAAAACGCACCTCAGTACGTCATCGACAGCGCAGCACCTTGGATAATGAGGAACACTGAATGGCGTGGAATACGTGTGGAACAATACACAGGTTGCGACGCATTCGAAGCCGCTGCAATGCCTCCAAGCACAGATCACGTGACAAACGCGTCGCGCTCCACTGGCCACGGCATCTTGCAAGCGCCCGCAGCCGGCCCAGCATATAAGAGAGCGACTTAGCAAGGCATTCCCCCAGTTCCTTCCACTACACCTACCACCACCACCACCACCACCACCAAATCTACCCCAATGCTCGTCGACATATCCCCACTGCACCTTCCGACCACTTGCCGGCCACGTCCCACGCCAAGATCGTGCCCGCCGTTCGGCCATGGCCCGATTAAACTTTGCCAACCGCACTTGGGCGCAGTTCACCGGTTGCCCCCGGAGTCCATTGCCGTGCCGCAGGAAAGTTTCAAGTCCCCTTACAGAGTTGTTATAGCCACTGACGATACTTCTGACTGACCAGCAGATGGCGAAATGCAGCGAGGCTGGACGGCCGCGATCAGGCATCTCCTGCACGCCACACGAGCCACAGAACAGTACACGTCCATTGGCCGGGGGACTGACAATGTCTTTCACGTCACGCCGCGTTTTCGTAAGGGGCACACATTACCCCTTGCCTGTTCCAGCCCTCGCCATTCTTCGTACACTTCAATCTACTCAGTCCGAGGCCAAGGGCGAGCTGGGAGAGAAGGGATACTCCCAGGCAGGCCGTCCAGACAGTGTATTTTGGGTTCGAGAGTGGTTCGGGCGTTCCACTAAACAATTATGCCTCCTACTCTCGTATGGAGGGGGCTCACGAGCACGTCCTGGAAGAGACGGGACTGTTAACGGTTCGTGCAGCCTGGATGGTACGTTTGCTCTATCTATCCCCCATCGCAAATGCGTCCTGACAGGAATCAACGACATTTGAAGTGGCTTGGTTGTGAACAGGTCGAAAGAGACACGGCCGTGGTGCATGGAGATTCCCACGTCACTCGCAAGCAGTCGGTCGGCAAAGTGTCGAAGCTGCTTGGGGATTTCTTTGCAGTACGTTCTCTGTCGTCCCGTGCTGTCTCCGTTATTTACCTTGTGGCCAAAGGTGAAAAGGGTCGGACATCCGGATGGCCTCCAGCTCGTTGCCTCGCATTACATGCAGGCAGATATCTTCGAAATCGAGCTTCATTGGATGGCCGAACCTTCCTAGAGCTGGTCTCTTGGCAATCCCTTTGGTCATAGCACATATCCCACCTTCATTTTTGCCTTCTCTACCACGTATCAACTCGAGCTTCATTGCAAGGCCGATCCTTCCTACTGCTGGTCTCTTGACACTCCCTTCAGTTGTATCACATATCCCACTTTCCCATTTGCACAACCCACCGGTGTACTTGTAGTGCACCCCCTTCCCACCCTTTCCCCCACGTCGGTGGCGGTCATGGCGAGAAGAGGGCGCACTACATGAGGGCCTCGTGAGTCGTTTTGGGGGGTTGCACGTCCCGCCCCGGGGTTTTGGCAGAAGGTGGGGAAGAGGCTGTCAGAACGAGACGAGAGACAGGCGTGCGGCATCCGTGGACGACGATGACGGCAAAAATGAGGAATCCAGATCCCCGACCGTGGAATGCGCGGCGCACCTCGGGTGAGTGGTATGGCTTATGCATCTTGTCGCTGAGCGCCCCATGTGTGTGCCTAGGCCTCTCTCGCCCTCTTTGTACCAGCGCCCCGCTGGGACGGCACCGGCGCCCTAGCGTTCCACCGCGTTCACCGCCGACCGATTCTTCCTCGACGACGGAGCAGCTTCCGAGCACCGTCCGCAACCACCGTCCCTGCGAGTGGCCCCTCAGGTGTCATGGTAGTTAGCGTGTTCGATGGGGACGAAGTCTCTGCGAGGCGCAGCGGAAGATGAAGAGGGTGCGTACAGGTTCGAGGAGCCGCGCGCGACGATGGGCCCAGTGCATCAAGGGGTCGCGAGAGCTTCGAGCGAGCAAGCGGCGCCTGTCTCTCCTGTGGCTAGTAGCGTATCCATCAACTGGCAGCATATCGTGTCGTTGTGTTGGGTGTTGCGCGTGCTGCGAAGACATCAGCACGCAATGACGCCGATACACGGCCAAGTTCACCGCCCACGTCCACCGCCGTGCCTCCTCCTGAACCTTTCGCCCAGCGGTCGAACGGCAACCCGACCTGTGCCCAGTGTGAATTCACTCATAGTTGTGCTCCGCCCGTGTTTTGTTCCAAAGTTCGCGCGCGCTGTATGGCTGCGACACACCGATGGTACAAAATGAAAAACGCACAGAATTTTCGGGTGCCATCTTTGGATGGGATCACCGCGTGGAGCGGTCGACGCCAAGACTTGCATACTCTCCGTGGTGATGACGCTGTGAGCAATGCGGCCCTAGAAAAACGACTCTATGGAGAAGAACACACACCGGACGGGGGGGTACTTTGTTCTCGTTCCTCCTTTCCAGAGCTTGACCGCCAGATCAACAATTCCGCATTTTGCCGCATGTTCATTCCTATCAGCGTGCTCTCGGGCGTATCCAGAACTGGGAACGGCGTATGTGGCTGCGGCCTCCACAACCGCTGTCGCATCGCTATCCCAATCGCACTGTGTGCCAGTGTCGTCATTCGCAACTTCAGCAGGGGAATCGTCAGCTTTTACGGACGAGAAAACAGGGCCTAGCGACGTACTTACTTCGACAGAAAACGATATCCTTGGGTCGAGCCGCGGTCCCATCTGTGAGTCACATTACGAGCGTGTGTGCCTTGTGGATTGTGAACAGCAAAGACAGAAAGTATCTGACAACGGCGCAGGGTTACTGCAAGTAGAGGGCTGGGCGAGTCGACGTCATTACTCACTGGATGTGTGCGCACTCGACAAAGACAACACTGCGGATATGTTCGGCCTGAGACCCCAGCTGCAGCGGCGTGATAGGCCGGTCGCCTTACATGGAAGGTGATCGCAGGTGGTGGTGGTGGTGGTGGTGTATTAATATTACCGGCATGGGTCCCAGTTCGGAACGCCGGGTTGTCGCTGTGATGAGTACAAGCAACGCCAGCAGCAAGGAGATGACGAAAAAACGGCAGGGGGAGGGAGGATTAAGCGCGGGCACGCTGTAAAGTGGGCAGCAGCACCTGGGCCTGCGCTGCGCAGAAAAACGGGTCTCCAAGAAGCTGTACTCGGAGGGAGGCGTTGTGCAGCAGCACACTGGCAAAAAATATAGGGAGGGACGTACGTCCTCAATATATGAGCCCGCCTGCGACACAGACGACACGCCACTCGCGCGGTACGCGATCCCGGTACCGCAGGCGCTCGACTGCTAACGAGCGATCAGAAAGGAGAAGACGTGTGAGCGCCTGGCGGTGTGTTGCGCGCAGGGGACAACGGGGGTTAGTGACGAAATATAGGAGAGGCCCGCGCTGCAGCAGTCGGCGGTTTTTTCTGTCATTTCCAGCCGACGATGGAGGGAGTTCGGCAACTTCACAGTGGAGTCGATGCGGGATCGAATATGGGACTCGAGAGCGTGCTGAAGGTCTCGAATATGCTGCTCAACACATACACGGCGCCCTGAGTGGGTTGCGGAATTCACAAGCGACTGGAGGATCGAAGTTTCCCAAAGCATGGTGGAGATCGGATAGCCAAGAGGGATGACGTGCCAGTGCCAATACGTGAGCTTCAGACAGTGCTAAAGCAGCAACGTGACCGGCAGGGAGGGAGAGGAGGTACCGGAGGTAGCGCAGGGTGAGGGAGGCCCGACGGTAAGGCAAGGGCCAGAGCTGCCTGTCTCCGAAAAGAGGACTATGCACATTGATCGTTGATTACGGTGTAGAAGGTGTCTTAAAAAGGTGTGTTGAACCGTGATCAATGGGAGGAGAAGACCGTCATCCACGTCGAGAGCAACCTCACAGCCAAAAATAAGGCGAGGATCAACTCGGCCCATATACAGACAAGGGCGGCAGATCTGCGAAGAGTCGCATTAGCCACAGCACGTGCAGAGGAAGCTTTTCGAGAACAATGGTGTGCAAAGATATTTCGGTGTGTAGAGGTAAATGTAATGCCGACGTAGGTGCATTCGTCGACGATGGACAGCGCAGACCCATATACTGAGAAGGTAGGAAGTTTGCGTGGAAGTGGCCCAAATATCATACATAATGTCTTGCCTACGTACATTGATAAGCATGAAATTTATGCGACACCAGTGGATAAGTTCATGAAGCGTGGCTTGGAGACCGACAGCGGAGGTAGAGAAGAGCGCAATATCCTCGGCTTGTTCACAGTGTGGCACTAAATAAAGACAAACCCATCTCTGCAATCCACCTCCGTTGCCTGGCGTGAGTCTTGCCAGAAGGGGTCGATCGCGAATCGCCGGGCCCGCTGCGACCTCAGCGCTCAGCGCTTAAGCATTCGCTCGCATCCATGACGTCACCCCAAGACTGCTCCCAGATAAGCTTCGTCGGAGTCGGCGACTATCTCCAGGCGAGCTCCCTCCAAGCTGCCCAACTTCAAGCTTCAAGCGCGAGTGACTCACGTGCGCCTCCAGGGCGAACTCGCTCCCGAGGGCTCGGAGAGGATGCTGCACTTATTATACGACAAGAGGTGCGCCTCTCCTTCTCCCTCTGCTTGGGTGCCTCGGTACGCTGCGCGGGATATGGAAACTATCGGATGTACATGTTCGGCAGGGGGATCCGATCCTGGGAAACAGCAACGTCCCGCGCTGGCTCCTAGGGCGGGAGCCCGCGCTGCTCCCCCTCGCGATAACCCGGTGTGTCCGTTCGCGAGGCGCGAGCGTTTCCCGCCAAGAACGAACAACCCCAACGGACGACCCCACCGCGCACGGGACACGCACACACCAAATCGGCGCCTCCGATCTAGACGGTCACATCGCCATCCCTGCGCTTTTGGGTACGTTTGCGCCGCTGTGCAGCCGCCCTTGGTTGTCCACCCCGGGGCCAGCAGTATAACACATACTACGCTCTCGCTCGCTGCGCCGGCCACGCCAGCGCTCGCGTATACACCGACGAAACCCCGCCTCTTCCGAGCGCGCTCTCCCGACCGGTCCTGGAAGCCCACTAGGCTCAGCGCGCTCCTCCGGCCACGCACTATCAGCAGCCACATACATATATATACATATATATCCTGCGCTCGCGTGCGTCCGTGTCCGCTACGCCCTCCGTCTTCGGCATGGACGACGACCGTGTCGGAGACGGCGGCCTGCGAGATGTGCACGCGCAACGGTTTGGAGCCGCGCCGCACGCGTGAAGAGATGGGGAGGTGGCGGCGGAGGGGACCTCGAGCGCGCGCGGGGGGGTAGAAGGCGACGGGGTACGAGCGCGCCATACCGTACGTCTTCCCACCCCCCCGCGGAGCCTCAGCGGACGCAGCCCCCGTCCGTCTCGATTCGTGCTGCGGGCATCTGTACACCCGTCTTCGACGCGCACCGTCACCGTCGTAATCTGGCCATGTTAACGACGACTCGAACGACGCAGGCCCGCGGCGACGCACCCGTCGAGGTGCGAGAATCGCCCGCGATTGACTGCGAGCATCGCCCGCGATCGCGGGCAGAGCGTTGCCGCTGCTCTGGACCTCGCATCGCACGCCCCGCCCCGTCTCCGCGCAGTGCGCAGCGCGAGCATACCTGGCGCAGACGCCCACCGACGCGGACGCCGTGGTTCCGCCCCTGTCGTGCAGACCGTACGCGAACCTCCCCCCGCCCCCCCGTCTGTCCTCGACCCTCGCGTGTGGTTCTGCGGAAACGGCGGGGAAGCCCGCTCTGCGCTCCTCTCCTCGTCCGGTCCCTGGATCCGCGCCGGGCGCACTCCGGCGAGGGACACGGCCCCTACAGACCTACGATTCGACGCTCCGTCCGCACGGTGTGCTGCGTCGCTGGTCAAGACGCCCATCCGCGCGCGAGCGCGAGCGCAGGGTGTCAAACGTGCCACCGCTCGCTTTGCTTCGCTGGAGAGCGCGCGCATTCGGACGATTGCTCGCGCGGTTTGCCTCACGCACGGCGGGGTGCTCTCGCCCAGCTGCAGGTCTGGCGGACGTTCGCTATTCGCTCTCGGCCGGACTGCGATATGTTTTTGCATTTTCGGGGGGCTGCGGTTCGAACACCGCCGCCAGATTTACCTACCCTCACAGGAGGCTCGGTCGGAACGTAACGTAACGTGGTCTGCGCGTCTCCGATCTCGCCATCTTGCGCTTTTTGGGTACGTTCGCTACCGCTGCGCTGCGCTGTGCTGTCCACCCCGGGGGCCGGCGGTATAGTATAACACGCGCTCGCTCGTCGTCCGCGGCCCCCCCCCCCCCCCCTCCCCCCGGTCTCCATCGATGGCGCTCGAGTATATACCAGCGGCCAGCAGGCGGAACCCGACCTCTCCTGCGCACGCTCTCCCGACCGGTCCTGGAAGCCCGCCAGCCGCGATGCACTATCGGCAGCAACATATATATATATAGATATGTATATCCTGCGCTCGGGTGCGTCCGTGCCCGCTACGCCGTCCGTCTCCGGCATGCACGACCGTGACGGAGACGGAGGCCTGCGAGGTGCTCAACGGCGAGCCGCGCCGCACCCGTGGAGAGGTGGTGGTGGTGGTTCATCGGTTGCTCCGGCGGAGTGGCTCGAGCGCGGGGGTAGAAGGGGTGCGTTTTCGCCGCGCCGTGTTTTTGACGGACGGACGGACGGACGGAGGCACGGAAGGGGTCCGTCGGGACTGCCACCGGGATACGTGCACGTCGTACCGTGCGTCTCCGCCCCGCCCCGCCGAGTCTCAGTGGGCGCAGCCCCGTCCGTCTCGATTCGTGCTGCGGACATCTGTACACCCATCTTCGACGCGCCGCCATCAGCGCTGAGCGCCGTTGACGACTCGCACGACGCAAGCCCGCGGCGACGCACCGGTCGAGGTGCGCACATCCCACTGCGCGAATCGCCCGCGATTGCGGGCAGAGTGCTGCTGCTGCTGCTGCTGCTGCTCTGGCCCTCGCAACGCAGCGCTGTGTTTCCGTCCCTTTCATATAGACTGCACGTGCGAACCTCCCCCACGGCGTCTGTCCTCCTCGAACCCGCTCCTGCTCCTCGCGCAAGCGCTCAACACAAACCCCGCTGCGTTCCCGCAGAAGCGGCGGGGAATCCTCTGCTCTCGTCGTCGTGCCACGCCCGGTCTCTGGATCCGCGCCCGGCGGACTCCGACGACACACCGACGACACGACCTCTTTCACCCCCCCCTTCCCCCCCCCCCCCCCATCCGCACGGTGTGCTGCGTCGCTGGTCAAGACGCCCATCCGAGCGCGAGCGCAGGGTGTCAAACGTGCCACCGCTCGCTTCGCTTTACTGGAGAGCGCGCATTCAGATGCTGCTGGGTTTGCCTCACGCACGGGGGTGCTCTCGCCCAGCTGCAGGTCTGACGGACGTTGGATATTCGCTCTCGGCCAGACTGCGATATGTTTCGCTTCGAGAGCTGCGATTCGAACGCTTGCCAGACCAGATTTACCTACCCTCACGGGAGGCGCGCGCACCTCACAATAAACGGGCACGTACTGTACCGCCGTTTCAGGACCGACAAGACGTTCGATTATTCGCCGGTGGAGTTCGCTGTCTCGGTCAGAACGTAACGCGGTCTGCTTGGCCCGAGAAAGGGGATTGAATATTGATCGGCAGCGTGCTCGAATTGAACGTTGCTGCTGCGCCGGTACGGTACCCCCATTTTCTTCGTCTGCGTGGATCTGGAACTCGATAACAGTTTGAATCCCAATGTTCATGGTTGCTTCCGCATCGCGTCTCCGCGGCCGTAGAAATTGAGACGAAGGGTACTAGTTGGTATAGCCCATGCGTATTGCGTGTCAGTTATCGTACTACCGCGCGCTTGCTCGGCGAAGCTACACTCGATCTCCCTTTTCACGGACGGGTTTAGGATGTGTCGAACGAGTTGTCCGCTTCGGAGGCGTCGTGCAATGCATACCCTCGTCACATCCTCCGATACCTGTCAGACCGCACACGAATGAAATAGACGTGATTTACTAGACCGCTATACCAGCTGTGCACTAAACATACGTAGAGGAGAAACATGACGACGAGACATGCGGTAAGACTAGACGTACAGCTACACTTGCAGTTAACAAAAGCCATGTCGAGAAACATCACGAGACGTGCGGTGAGGGAACGACGGGAACACATCACGATAGCATGCGATAGAGTGGTTGCGAGTGCGAGAAAAAGGGCGACGACGGGTCTAACTGGTTCCTCATGTGGTATCCACAGCCATCAACTCGATCTCCCCGTCCTCTTCAGGCGGAAGTTCCGGAAGAGGCGCCAGGACGGCATCAGGGTCCGGATTGAGCTGCACGGCAACAGGCCTCCGCACTGTCCCCCCGCTCGTTTCCCCTGGCACGAACGTCAGCATCTCTGAAACATACTCGCAGAACCATCTCACTCACGCGACACCGGCCACGCCGCAAAGTCCAGGACGTGCACCGTCGGAGAGCCCGCGCCGGCGACGCACAGGCGGCCAATCGTCTCGTCCCACGCGAGCGCAGCGACCGACTTTATATCCCTCACGCCGTCAGGAACATACGTCCGAGACACGACGTGCTTCTGAGACATGTCAACCCCTTCCGGGGGGTCCTCCCAGCGGCTCCACGGATCGAAGTAGCGATGGAATTTGACGATGGGCGGAGCGTCCGTCCGGTTACCGAGCGGTGTGGTGTACACGATCGAGCGATACGACCCCGCCAAAACGTGCGCTTCCTCCTCATAGCGCTTAAAGCTCCACCAATCGGGCTCTTTGTCAGCCTTCAGGGGATACGTATATGCTCCGTATGCCTGATCGTGGCTTAGAGGTCCAGAGGAGGGAGATGGAAGGGGTACGTCTTCGTCGCGCACAGGGAATATCGACAGGCGCAGGAGTTTTCGGCCGGCGCTCAGGTATATGAAGACGGAAATGGGACGCGGCGCATACGCTTCGGGACGGCCGTATAGAACCGGCACGACACTGTCGTCCTCCCTGGGAGGGATACCATGGTCGGAGATCTTCACCCACGTCGCATCCGCACCATAAATGATTATGCCGTTGGTGCAGCTGGCATGAACCTCGGCCTTCTCGTCGCCCGGAGGAATAACGTCGTAATATTCGACGGTGACAGTGGGGTCTCCCTGGCTGACCTTACGTACCACAAGAACCTTGTTTTCTACAGAGACGAGGCGGATTGCGGCAATAGAATGCTCCTAAATATAAGTGTGAGCGTTGTTTCACACTACGAGAATATACGTACCTCGATAGGACCGACGAAGGTCGGTTCGCAATGCAGCGTGGCAGCCGGGCCGCCGTCCAACTTCTTGAAAACAATCTTGTTGCGGTCCTTCGCGACCGCCAGATACGGTGAACCAAAGATCTCGTCAAGACACGGAATTCCGAGAGGACTCCGGGTCTGGACAGTGGCCAGGGGGCGGAACGGTCAGGCTGAGCCCTCGCATGTCGTAAGTACTCCTCCGAGCCGGGCACGATCCGCGAGTCTCCCAAAACCTCCAAAGAAGAGAGCGGTACATGAAGACAAACACATTCATACTTGATCGGCACTGGCGAATCGATCTCGTGGTCGGCGCTGTACTGAGATATATCTACCCTGCAGAAGAATCATTTCGTAAGTAGATGCACCATACGAATGTCACGCAGCCTAACCCGCTCTGCATATCCTCGAAGCGTCTGTAATTCCTGCGGATATACGCCACAACTATTCCGCGTTCGCCGCCAATGGTCATGTATTTCGCTTGTAAGTGGTAAGCTTTGGTGAACGTGTCAGTTCTTGCGACAACCCAGGCTCCTGCTAGGGTGGAGTCCATCACAAAGATGATGAGCGAATATCGACTTCGCGCATTGTCTGTGACGGAGGCAACGATATAATGTCCCCCAGGAAGCATAGCCATTGAGAGAATATGGTAGTGAGCGTAGAACTGCCAAGACTGCATGTAATTCAGGTCATTGTTCTTCCAGCGCTCTTCGAGAGAGACTCCGCGCAAAACTACACGTTCTGCCTCCAAGCCGTTGATGTTCTGAAGTGAGTAACGTGATGTCGGAGGTAAAGGAGGGAGAGGGACCTCGGCATTTCGCAAGAATCGTTTCCAGATTTGTGATGAGTGAGGTAATAGTAAAGCTTGTTGACCTGTAGCACAGATTCGACATCGGCGGACTTCGTGGAGGATGAGGTACTCACCAGTCGCAAGCGCAAGATGTCAAACACGTCCAGGTATATGAAGACTTGATCAACAAGCGTGTCGTGGGATAATTTCGAGATGTGACAAGGTCTACCATTTGGAGGAGAGGTGAGACGAGAAATGAGGAAGTCCAGCGACTTGAGATTTAAAGGAAAGTGCATTTCTCAATGTGGCCGGCACACGAAGTTCTGTAAGGAAGGGGAAGTTTGAGAGGAATCGCCAACTGGAAGCTGAACTTAAACTAGAAGAGTTTAGACGTCTCTGCCTAGTCGGCAACCATGTCCTTGTAATTTGGAACGTAAATGCACGCCCAAGCAATCTCCTCGCCTTGTAGTCTATGCAGGTCCGACATGAGCGACAGATAACGATTGCCTTATGTGGGACAAGCGCCCACAACGGGACACAATGAGTTTTCTGGATCCGCATCTGCGAAGTCGGGGACACTGGTCACACCAAAGATCATGGGCGTGACGTCGCGGGCTCGTTCGCCGTGATCGCGAAGAGCGCAGACTCTCCAATCGCGGATTCATTCCATTACCGGCGAGGTAGAACACGAAGAAACCAGCCGCCTTTACAACGCAGAGGCAGAGATTACGGTAAACGCACCTGGATAGATCATGTATTCTTCTGTAATCCGCATTTGATACAGCGGTCAGCAGGCTGTGCAGGAGGGAGGGTACGGACTGTCGTCCATGAGCTGCCACCCCAGCCATGATGGTCGCGTAGGAGACAGGGCCGCCTGAATCCACATCGTCAGTTTGGATCGCCAGAACATGAGCGGGGTATAGCCTAAGTTGTCCTCCTATATGTTCGATGAGAGGGATGAGCGTCAGATAGTTAGAATACATTGTTGGTGTGTGACAGTCAGTAGAAAGCGGTGACGCGCCTCAGTCACGTGTGACTGGACGCGTCTGGCGCGCCGACCAATAAGTCTGAAGTTATTTGCACGAAAGCTACGTTTTGCCAAACACCAATGCGCCAAATTACTAGATTCTACAATGGGCCTTAAAGGCACTACTGAGTAAGTACTACGCTCCAACATTTGGCAAGATTTGCATGCATCTCCGCTGTGCCTAGTATAATACGTTCACATCACCTTCTGAGCCGCCTTCGTCATCAAATATCACTGGCCGTACTGAACTGGAGTCTCTACCGTTTCGGATGTCTAAACTGGCTGTCTTGTAGCATCTTCGGATTCCCATCTCTCGGATTTGGGAGGCGTAGGTTGTTTCCACTGCAGCTTGCTGTCAAGCTTCTCGAACTCCCGATCGTCGAGTTGTTTGATGAGAAGAGGCTTGGACACCTTATTAAAAGTATCCACGAGATCCTTCGAGTAGATGATAGCAAGTCTAGCCAGGACACTGACAAACTGGAAGGCTCCCAACGCCGTAGAGATGTCCATGGTACGAGTCTGCCGCTCGAAAATTTCTATGAACTAACGATGGCAAGCCGATCAGCAAGTACAAAGCAATCAGACTGAATGCAGCTCACTCCATCATTACTCCAAGCAGCCGCAAGTGCTACTCTCGGGCCATCAGTAAGTCCACTGAAAACAGGCTTTTTGGTCAGCCCCAGCACATCAAGAAATGTCGCTGCCGACGCGCAAGCCAGCCTGTGCTGATTTTCTCCCTTGCCGATATCTGTATCCTGCTTCTTGTATTCCATCATAAACATGGGTAGTTCCAGAACTGCAGGATTCTTAATTTGCGCATTCTTTGTCTGTCCCGCCGTGAGCACCTTGGACATGGCCTCAAGATTCTCGTCGAGATATGCACGTGCCTCTGCATTTTTATACAGGCGGTCGGTATCACAGACGGAGCTCGCAGCAATGGCATAATCGCGAGTCGGTAGCAAGTCAATATTCGGTGAGTTTGCAGGAGGAGGAACTTTCCCGGTGGAGTGTGGAATACCCGGATTCGAAGGTAAAGCCTGGTCTGAGTCATCTACCTCCGGCACTGTTTCTAGGGCCGGAGCGGACGAATATAGTCGTTGCTGCAAGTGAATCGTCGGAGCTGCTCCAGATGAGGTACCATCAGGCATATCAAGGGATTCCTTGGATTCGTGCATGCCCACTATGTATGGGGCTTTTGGCGATCCTGTGGCCACCAACTGCACGGCCGCGAGAGACTCCCGCCTCACTGGAAGATCAATCGAGACCGTCCCGAGAGCGTCGCAAATGGCTCGATAAGGATCTTCTTTGAGACGCTCCAATACGTATCTATCCCAGTTTCGACGCTCCAGCCAATCGATCCCATGGTTCAGAAGCTGGAGGCGTGCCTTCCGCTCCAGGACGCGAGCTTCTCTAAGGAGATCTTCATTGCGTCCAATCCGTTGGCTTAGCATCTTCTCATAAGTTTCGCCAGGGTTGAGCCCACCACCGATGTGGAGATATAAGTCTTCCGCAGAACTTTCGTCCATACCAACGGCCTTGGGTAAATATATCATGCGCTCCGTTCTGTCCACTTCAATTAGATAGAGTGAAGGTCAATGATGACTAAAACCTACGACAGAATGACCCTGTTGTCCTCAGGGAGTTGAAGCCTTGGCGCATCACTTGACAGACTGCTCCGAGGATACAGGCTGATTGTTCCATTTAACGCATTGGCACGAGACATGGATTCCTTGTCTTCGTGTGCGCCCACTATGTATGGGGCTTTTGGCGATCCTGTGGCCACCAACTGCACGGCCGCGAGAGACTCCCGCCTCACTGGAAGATCAATCGAGACCGTCCCGAGAGCGTCGCAAATGGCTCGATAAGGATCTTCTTTGAGACGCTCCAATGCGTATCCATCCCAGTCTCGACGCTCCAGCCAATCGTTCCCATGGATTAGAAGCTGGAGGTGTGCCCTCCGCTCCAGGTCGCCAGCTTCTGTAAGGAGATCTTCATTGGGTCCGATCCGCTGCCTCAGCATCTCGTCGTAAGTTTCGCCGGAGCTGAGCCCATTACCGATGTGGAAAAATAAGTCTCCCGCAGACCTTTGGTCCATACCAATAGTCTTGGGTAAATATATCATGCGCTCTGTTCTGTCCACTTCAATTAGATGGAATGTAGGTCAATGATGACGAGAACCTACGATGGAATGACCCTGTCATCATCAGGAAGTTGAAGCTTTGGCGCGTCACTCGAGCAGCTGCTTGGAGAATACAGGCTGTTTGCTCCATTTAATGCATTAGTGAAGAAGTCAAAGATAAGAGAATCGAAATCGTGACGCCAAACAGACTCGGATGGAGGAATCACTGATCGGGCCTTTCCCTGAGCCCGTTTCGCCACAGCAAGAATCAGAGATAAGCTTCCCTCTAACAGCGGAAGGACCTCTACGGGTACGTCCCGCGGTGCTACAGCGCTGAGTTCATGATGTTGCTGTGCCTGTGCAAACAACTCTTGTCGGAACGGTTCAAGGGAGGGATCAACCGAGGGCATATCATCCTGTTGCTCATTAGCATGCTACAATGAGGACAAGGAAAGGAGTTGCTTACGAGTGTTTTCCAATGCAATGGCCATACATCTCCTGCATAAATTTCATACAATGAAAAAATGACGGGGTTGCAACATAGCGCAGAGAGTACGACGCGTCTATCGAATAGATAGTCATGCATAAGTGCACCCTTCCCCTTCTTAGCAGCTTCAGCGGCGAATCTAATGCTATCTGTGAGGACATAGCAGGAGCAGATGATATGTCGCTTACGAAGAAAATGACATCGGCTTGTACACTGATTTCTTTGAGCCTTGACTCTCGCCTTTCTGTCTACGTGCAGGTTAGTATCAAAAAACGATGGAGACTCTGATGCTCACTCCAACTCCACCTCTTCTGGAATTGCAATCATCCTATATTGCAATCAGACATCGATGCCACAAAAATTGATCAGAAACTCACGACAGACTCGAAGGCGTAGAATCTGTAGAATTGGTAGACCCTATCGAAGGAACAGACGAGTCCGAGGTCCCCTCCTTTCTGCAGAACGACGAGTAAACGTCAAGGGCAGCAAGAGTACGACATCCAATGTTCATACCTCGCTTTTCGTGCAGTCTTCTTAGAATCGATCATTGTGCTGGTGTATCAAATTCCACTTCAGAAGTGATGGATGGGAGGACTGGCAGGACGCACTTACGTTGCAGGGTATTTGTAGGCAAGACCTTCTGCCCACGCTTCAATCCTGTCATACTGGCCCTCAGGCGAGTCAACAGAATGAACACCTTCTCCCGTGTCCAGACGCCACATAGAAATAGAATCGTCCTGTATTTCCTCCGCAACCAGCGTGACCGCAGCTTCTGCAGCGGTGCATGTTCTCGCCACTAGCCCTTGCAAGGCCAACGCAGCACGACACAGTGCAAACGCCCCCTCAAGTGAGGCCAGATCTAGGGACCCATCTCGCCCTAAGGAGCCAATATGTACACGAGGCTGTGAAGAATCAAAAATGAGCAAAAAATATTGACACAGTTGAGTCATGTATATCCTCACTAACGAGCCCTCTTTGTCCACATTCTCATCCAACCATCCGATGTAGAAAGAAATGGAGGTATGATATTTGGAAAACCTGACACCGACGACAGGCTCGTGAATCTTCCACACATGTCGCTGGTAGAGAATCGCCATCATCACGAGAGGTAGATCATCTTCCTCCGCAACGCACAGAAACGGCAGAGGGCATCGCTTCGGCAGTTCTCTCGATGGCGGATACACGAGGATGTGTGCGTTCAACTCCGCCGGTGGAGGGGGGTCATACAGCGACTCCGAGTCACTATCGCTTTCCTCAATGAGAACGGGCTTCGCGCATAGGGAGAGAAATGTCGACATAGACATAGGTGAAGCGACCGAAACCGGCCGAGGAGGTTCCGATGGTTCACTAGATTCGTCCTCATGTTGCTCCGTGTCCGGGTTGGGCGACTCTGCCTCAGAGTCGGCCTCGTCAGTATCAGGATCGTTCGCCATTGCATCAGATCCGTCCGCATTGGAGTTATCGTCGGGGATCTCCGCGAAAACAGACATCAAAAGCGGTACCTGGATGGAATTCGACATGAATCTCGTAGGTACGTTCAGCCCGCCGCCACGATAGCGTGGTAAGGCGACTAAAACGTTTTCACTTCACAAAACACGATGATCAGTTGAAAGATAGCACACTGACAAGGGATGCTTACTCTATGGAAAAATCTGCTGTCACGGAGGACATCACATTGGATATCATGACAATCAGGAATGATTCCTTCGGATTGGCGCTGCCACAGAGACTATCGGATGAAATGACGTTTCGAAGTCTGGCGCAATCACTGAGAAGGGTCCCGAACATGCCCCGTAATTGCTGATCGAAGACCGCGTCCTCGAGTGAGCCAGCATGCGATTGGAACGTGTTTTGCAATTCCTCCAGCAGGGGTTCCGTTCGAGGATCAACGGCAGGATAGGGACCCTGTGGATGGAGCATTTAGAGCACAGAAAACCAGACGATATAGTAAGGATGTATTCACCGTCGTTACCCAGAGTGGAACCCGTCGAGCTGTGAGTAGTCCGCCACATAGCTCACGCACGCTGGACGGCCATTTCTGGCCATCGTCGACGAATTTGTGCCATGCAATATCTTCTTTCAGGATATGAAGATATTGCTTGAGGGGATCCATAGAGTCCAGAATGAGAAAAACCAGCTATCACCTATTGGTTTTCGCGATGAAAACGAACAGTTTCAATGCCATGGCGGCAACGGGCGCTACGTCGCCGCGCGATCGAGATCTGATGCAGCCACATAAAACAACAACTCGGAGGCGCTGGCCGCACCGCTCGTGCAAACGTAGCTACGGACATTGTGTAAAAACAAACAATTGTATAAAGCCCAAAGTTGTGAGTTCGACCCTGAAAACTGCAGAAATCCTAGTGATGCCAAAAAATCGAATATTGCAACACTAGCTCTCCAGATGAGCATAGTTAGAGATTGCTAATGCTTCCGGGAAGATGTTCGTCACGGCAAGCCGAGAAACGCTGTGATATGGAACAAGAGGGTGACTAGGGCCAGAGGTCATGAGACAGACATAACAAAAACAGGGGGGTGTTAGCACAGCAGATAACGGCCGCGCATCTGTTTCTCGGTCAGACGGCAAACTCAGGCAGATAATCTCGGCAAGGCAGACTTTTCTCCGTAGGAACGATGCTGAGGGATCAACACTAGCGACTAGCCGATAGCACCGATATGCAAGATCGACGGACGAACGTACGAAGGACTGTACTATGTGAGCCCGACGAGCCCGACGAGCACAGTAGCCATCAGTTCCTGAGCTTGCAGTACAGATGGTCCAGCACGAAGTTAGTGCAGACGAGGTCTCCCACGCGTCATCCCTCGACCTGATCACCCGCGGGGAGAATTTCCTCCGCTATGTCAGAGTAGTGAACAACGTGAAAGTTATCCTTCTGTCAATGGGACCTGCCTGATGCTATCGTAAGATCGCGGTACTGTGGTGTCGTTAGATGATGTGGCTCACCCCAGCAGAAGGAAGTCCAGGGAACTAGGCTATGGACATTGACGATAACGGTGAGGGTTTGGACTCCATCCACCTGAAGATCTTCACGAAAAGTAACGACGTCTAAGCACCGCACGTCGTGAACTTTGATTGTTTGGTGTCATTACTCGCTGAACGAAGGAGGTATATCCGATTTCGAGGCGGTCGCAGAGACCGAGGAGTCAAGCCCTCATGATGGGCCATCGGCAATCTCGTCCAGGAGCCACGCGCAAGGGTGGAACTCATTCGGACAAAAATCGGATGAATTCGCAGGAAAAACTGTACTCATGCGAGGACATATTGGTGCCATATCTGAAGGTTGGTAGATCCACACCGATAATATTGTCCCATATCAGACTGTCCCCCAGCAGAGTTCAGAAATTGTGGACAGAGCGGAGCCTCAGAGGTTGAAGCTTAGTCTTGGTAGTCATACTGTACTATTTCGACCACGGCGATTACGCGTAACACGCGCGTCATCCGCGAAGGAATTTGGTCAATGTTACACTGTCACGGGGCCCTTCGCCGCCTGACGGCGGCGATGTCACAGCCTTCTTGGCCGCGCTGGCCCTATTTTCCGGCGCCTGCGTCGGTGTGTCACACCTCTCTCAACCGTCCGCGCCGGACTTTTTTGGTCACATGTCACACCCGCGCCGAAGTGGTCGAAATAGTATCACACAATTCTCTCCAGCCAGTGGGAGCCCACACCACATATATGATACGAGGACCGGTCACCACCGGTCACCCCAATCCTCTCTCTCCAATGGATACCACCTTTCCTACACGAGGGCGTCCTGGAATTGCTTGACGTCCCAAGATAGGGAGCTCTAAAATAACGACTTTTGCGCCATGTCGTAGAAGTCGAAGTACCTCGAAGAGGCATTTCGACATCGACTTATTAATTTGGTGTCCACGGACAACGCACTCCGCTCTACATAGTATCACTATCTCCTCTCGGCCGTCGAGCTTGTTCAGCTCAGCACGATGTGCTCTGGAACCGAACCGGGCGAGACTGAGGCAGCTGATGAATCGATGACGTATCGTAGCCACTGACCGCCTGCGCAATCATTACAAAAGTATCATCTCTTGCTCCGGACGTTTGAGCCATCTCGCTTTCTAGGGTCTCCGTCGTACGAAAGGAAGTAAGTCGGTTTGCTTCCGGTGTATCGCTTCGGACGTTACATGGATTCGTGCACAGAATATGACTATCCTCATCACCGGAGCAGCAGGCAGTGTTGAAGTACATACATTGCGACACGGGCAGAGTAGTACGGTATTTACGCCACCACGTTACTTACGTAATCACGTAGGTAGTACTGGCGGACGTTCGGACGATGCACCTCAGTCACTCGTTTGCTATCGCACGAGACTGAGGTGAATACTTTCTTTACCTACTTTTTATCTCCTTACTGACCTGTAGTAGCTGCGCTTGGTCCCGCTCTAGGTTAGTATTAATACAGTCACTCGTTTGCTATCGCACGAGACTGAGCTGCGCTTGGTCCCGCTCTAGATCCGTTAGACATCCCCTGGACGCCTTCCCCCCTCGCCGCGTACTCGCGATAGGTTATGAGCCCCGCCTCCAACTGAATCTGACAGCATCGGAAATATCGAGAACTCAATCGCTCGTCATCACCTTCCTTTCCCACAACCTGCTTCTCTCGTTCACACCCCTGTCGAACCATGTCTCTATACCCGCCGATATCTCAGGCCAGCTCCAAAGCTGAGTCGAAGCGCCTCTACGATGTCCCGTTCCTCGAAAGCAATGGCGGAAACTTCCAGACGTGGAAGTACCGCACGACTACCATCCTCCGGTTGCGTGGTCTCTATTCGCTCATCGACGGCACCGAAGCCGACCCCGGAACAGTGGATACTATGAAGAAGGCGGAGTGGGATGTCCGGAACAATGAGGCTCTCGCGCAGATCACGTTGACGCTCAAGGACGAGCCGCTTAACGGTGTGATGTACTCGATGACGGCACAGGACGCTTGGGAGAAGTTGAACAGACGTTACGAGGGCAGAGGCAAGCAAACCTTAGCCTATCTCATCAGCGACCTTTTCCGCAGCACACTTAGTGACGAGTCGCCGCTAGAGCCGCAGCTCAACACGATGCAGCAGAAGGCCCACATCCTCGAGACACTCGGGCTAACGCTAGACGACACGCTCATCGCCATCGCTATGGCTATCTCCCTTCCTCCATCCTATTCAACCCTTCGCACTATCCTTATGGCCTCTGACTTGAAACTCACAGTCGAGAAGGTCGTCAATGAGGTCCTTAGCGAGGAGAAGCGACGTGGCGAGACGACCGCAGCATCTGCGCTCATTGCGAAGCATGCTGATACCAAGTCGAAGTCGAAGGGGAAGGACAAGGACAAGAAGAAGAAGGGCAAGTGCGCTTTCTGTGGCTACACTGGTCACACGAAGGACGACTGTCGGAAGTTCAAGGCGAGCCAGGTGGAGGGCGCCACAGCGAAGGGCGACAAGAAAGCTGAGAAGGCTGCTGATGCAAAGGAATCTGCGAAGATTGCCAGTGTCGGTGAGGCTGACTCCGAGACGCTCCGCCTCTTCGTTGCTGAGGAGTTGGCACGTGGTGATGACCTCCACCGCTGGATTGTTGATTCAGGAGCTTCCTCCCACATGACATCTCACCGCGAGTGGTTCGTAAACTACCGTGCCCTCGCTACACCCAAGCGTGTTTACCTCGGAGATGAGCGCTTTATCCTCGCCGTTGGTATCGGTCAGGTCACACTCCGTGCAGCAGTCGACCATGGCTCAACGAACACTGGCATTGTGCAGGAAGTTCTCCATGTCCCAGATCTCAATGGCAACCTGCTCTCTGTCTCGCAGTTTGACCGCAACAGCTACGATGTTAGGTTCGCTGATGGTACGTGTCGCATCAGCAATGCCCAGGGCCGACTTAGCGCCATTGGGTACATGCGGAGAAATCTCTATGTTCTCGACGTGACCACGCAGCTCCCCGAGCGTACCTACATCCTGCAGGCAAAAGATCTCCCTCCCTCTTACGATGACTCCATGGATGATCCCCCACTCCACGCTTTTGTTGCTAAGGAGACAACATCCAGTGCGAGTGCTCAGGTCTGGCATCGCCGCCTTGGTCACATCTCCGTAGACTCCGTGCTGAAGATGGTGCGAAAGGGAATGGTCAAGGGCATGTCGATCGTCGGAGAAAAGGTGAGTAACGTCACCTGCAAGCCCTGTCTCCATGGCAAGCAGACACGCCAGCCAATTCCGAAGGAGTCGGATGTCGAGAATCCCCGCGTTCTCCATCGCACCTACTCCGATGTCTGTGGTCCCATGCAGACTCAGACGCGGTCCGGCCACCGCTATTTCATCACGTTCATCGACGGACACACGCACCACCTTGTCGCCAACCTCATGAAGACGAAGGATGAAGCGCTTTCACACTTCAAAGCTTTTGTTGAACGAGCTGAGGTCGAGACCGGGCAGCGTGCCAATATCCTGCGGACTGATGGCGGCGGTGAGTACGAGTCGAAGGAATTCGAAGCGTACCTAAAGGAGAAGGGCATCCACCACGAAAAGACGAATGCCTACACTCCACAGGAGAATGGCGTTTCCGAGCGGATGAACCGCACCATCGAGGAGATGGCCAGGAGCATGCTCAATGACGCTGGACTGCCGAACACATACTGGGGTGATGCTGTGTTACATGCAGTACACATCCTTAACTCTGTTCCAACCCGCACTCTCCCTGACAACCTCACACCACACGAGGCCTACACCGGAAACAAGCCGAGCGTGGCGCACCTCCGCGTTTTCGGCTGCAAAGCCTATGTCCACGTTCCGAAGGAAAAACGTCAGAAACTCGACTCGAAAACGTTCGAGTGCACGCACCTGGGGTTTGCCGCAAATCGCAAGGCCTACCGTCTGGTTCACAGAGCGACCGGCCGCATCGTCGAATCCCGCGACGTGTATTTCGACGAAGGCACCGAAGTCGCACCCAGTCGCGTCACAATTGACGTCACACCTACGCAGGAGGCGCCCGACGCGCGGCCGCAGCTGCCGCCGTCTCCGCGCCCGCCAAGGCCCACTGTCGAAGATGTCCCAGATGAAGATGAGGACGCACCTGCACTCCTGGATGTGGACGACAGCGACGACGAGGATGACGATGACAACGCGGATGAGGACAGCGACGACGACGTTCCACTGCCCGAAATTAGGCGCCGGCGTCACGCCGCGCGCGCCGCGCAGCCACCACCACCTCCTCCCCCGGCTCCGGAACTGCGCCGTTCAGGTCGAACGCGCACGGCACCGGTAGCGGCCGATGATGACCGCTATTTCGTGTCCTCCTACACACGGAAACCGAAGGGCCAGGATGATGTGGGTGGAGTGGGCGCTGATGCCGCAGCGGCAGACTCGGAGAACGCAGAGGAAGTGGGCGATGCAGAGAATGCTCACAAAGCCACAAGCTGGGATGAACCACAGACCTACGAGGAGGCGATGTCACGCCCCGATGCTGCGCGCTGGAAGGCTGCGTGCGCAGAGGAGCTACACGCATTTGTCAAAGCGGAGCTCTACGACGAAGTGGAGCGCCCACGGAATCGCAAGGTCATAGACTGCAAGTGGGTCTTCAAGATTAAGCGTGGACCGGACGGTGAAATCGAGAAGTACAAGGCTCGACTTGTTGCCAAGGGCTTTACACAGGTTGAGGGCCTCGACTTCAATGAAACCTTTGCACCCGTCGCAAAGTTCGCTTCTGTCCGAACACTACTTGCTCTTGCTGCCAAGCTCGACCTCGAGATCCACCAGATGGACGTCAAATCGGCATTCCTGAATGGTGATCTTGATGAGGAGATCTACATGAAGGTTCCCCCTGGCTTCCACAGGTCCAACAGCCTCGTCTGGAAGCTGAACAAGGCCCTCTATGGTCTTAAGCAGGCTGGACGTGAGTGGTACAAGAAGATCCGTGCTGAGTTCGAGGCGCTTGGGTTCACCCGCTGCCACTCGGACCACAGCGTGTTCTACAAGAACGATGACGGTATTCTCCTCATTATCGCCATTTATGTCGATGACATGCTCATTCTTTCTGACAACCTCACTGCTGTCACCACCCTCAAGGAAGATCTCAAGTCTCGCTTCGAGATGACCGACCTTGGCGAAGCACGGTGGCTCCTCGGCATGGAAATCACTCGTGATCGTCCTCGCCGTGTCCTCGAGCTCTCGCAACACCAGTATGTCGAGAAGTGTCTCGCACAACATGGTATGGCCGATTGCCGCCCGGTCAGCACACCTATGGCACAGAACCAGAAGCTCGTCAAGCTCTCGGAGGCGGAGATCGACCCGAAGCCTTACCAGAGCGTGCTTGGCTCTCTCATGTATGCAATGATCGGGACTCGCCCCGACCTTGCGTTCACAGTGGGCGCGTTGAGCCAGCATGCTGCAACGCCAGGCAAGGAGCACTGGATTGCTCTTATGCGAGCCTATCGCTACCTGCGTGGGACAGCAGACAAGAAGCTTGTCTATTGTGGCACTACCAAGGAGAAGGAACCCCTTCTCGGATACGTGGATGCAGATTGGGCAGCGAACGTCAACGACCGTCGATCGGTCACAGGTTTTGTTTTCCTCATATCGGAAGGCGCTGTCAGCTGGTCTTCAAAGAGGCAGCACTCGACGGCGCAGTCCAGCACTGAAGCTGAGTATATGGCTGGAGCTCATGGTACAAAGGAAGCAGTCTGGCTTCGCGCTTTCCTCTCGGAGATTGGACAGGTTCAGAAGGGCCCTACTCCATTGCTCATCGACAATCAGTCCGCCATCGCGCTATCCAAAAATGCTGCTTTCCATGAACGCACCAAGCACATTGCCGTCCGCTACCACTTCATCCGCGAGAAGTATGACTCCGGCGAGATTGAACCTGAGTACGTTCCTACCGGAAATCAGGTTGCTGATGTCTTGACGAAGGGGCTTCCTCGTGAGAAGCATGAGAAGTTTTCAGCGGGGATGGGCTTGGCTTAAGTATTTTCATTTATATACTCTATTCCCTGTCACTCTGAGTGGGCGTGTTGAAGTACATACATTGCGACACGGGCAGAGTAGTACGGTATTTACGCCACCACGTTACTTACGTAATCACGTAGGTAGTACTGGCGGACGTTCGGACGATGCACCTCAGTCACTCGTTTGCTATCGCACGAGACTGAGGTGAATACTTTCTTTACCTACTTTTTATCTCCTTACTGACCTGTAGTAGCTGCGCTTGGTCCCGCTCTAGGTTAGTATTAATACAGTCACTCGTTTGCTATCGCACGAGACTGAGCTGCGCTTGGTCCCGCTCTAGATCCGTTAGACATCCCCTGGACGCCTTCCCCCCTCGCCGCGTACTCGCGATAGGCAGAACGTCTACTTTCGTCATCAGAGAGCTCTTGCAGAGTTCATCTGTCACTCCGCAGAATCTCCGCCTTCTCGTCCATTCTTCCAACGCTGTGGAGAAAGTGAGGGCGCAGTTTCCCCAGATCCCGGAGTCCTCCTTCGTCGTTGGGGATTATCTGGAAGCCAGCACCCTCCCGCCCGCATTTAAGGGTGTGGATATCGTCTTCCACAATGCACCAACGTTCCATCCCTTGGAGACGGCAATGGGTATTACAGTCATCAATGCAGCGAAGACGGCGGGCGTGCAGCACTTCGTGTACTGCAGCGTACTGTTCCCAATCTTGACGAAGCTACTGAATCACAAGGTCAAGGCGATCCGTTCCGCAACAATGCCGCTGAATGTTTCTTCCAGGATTTCGGTCAAACCTTCGCATAGGCATAGCCAGTCGATCTAAGGTCGGGCTCAGCCATATCCCTCCAATGTCACGTGCATTGCACTTATCTTGTAAATCTAACTGCATTGGAACAACTGGATGGACATCAAATCTTCAAACAATGAAAATTAGTTGCTAAGAATCTCGAAATTTCATCGTTTGTCGTTCTCTGAAACAGTGCCGGTCCGCGAAGTTTTTAGATTTTCAATGTAAGTCTTCTGCACGTGATATCGGATGGTTATGGCTGAGGGCTACACTGCGATACCAAGGAGCGACCAATATTGGTCCAGGATTGGTGCAAGACCAATCCGACCAATTTGAACCCTAACCCTAAGTGGCCGCGACCAATCTCGGGGAGCAAAGGTCGCGGGCGTCACGTGCTCTCCCCTACGCTCACCGCGAAGTCGAAATTTGCGCCATCGCGCGAGGATGCATGGCGGGAAAACATTAGGACATGTATTTTAGGGTACAGAAAATTAAAATGAACATAAGTGAGCTGAGCCTTAGAGGCCGAAACAGGGAAGAGCAAAAAAATCGGCAGAAAACTTGAATCTCCCAGTGGCTGCTCCCCGCATCAGACATCCCCGCTCCCCTGCGCGGCAGGGACAATGCTGCCGGGGACGTCCTCGGCATCTTTGAGATAGTTGATGTGCAGGTACTTGATGCCGTTGCGCTCGACGACGAAATTGGCCGCGCGCGCGGGGGATGCAATCTCCAAGGAGCTGTACAGCTCGAACAGGGCCATGCCGTCATTGTAGACCTTCAAGCGCTTGCACAGCAGTGTCGTGAACGCGGTGTACTCCATCGACAGCGCGCCACCGGTCCCCTTGCGAACAACCAGCTGTTTGTACATGTGTTCGACCGTCCTCAGGAACACGTCCGGATGGAAGTGCGTGCCGCTCGAGAAGATACCGCGCGGCTGTGGGAACTCGGGTGGGTCTTCTGTGATGGTTTCCGGTGTGCCATTCACAGTCCTTTCGACCTTCTTGGGCTTCTGCCTGACGCCGTCCATGCAGTAAGCTCTGTTGTGGTTCTCGCGCGAGCCCTTCGTGCCTGGATACATGATGGCCCAGCAGCGCAGGTATGCGTCTTTCGCTGTGTGAACGTTGGCGTCAGAGAACGCGCCTCAGCGCAGTGCTGGGGATCACTCACCGTCTTGCCATCACTGTTCTCGACCTTCATCAGTGTGACCGCGAGGCAGTGCTTCATCCAGAATGCCTCCGTGTTGGTACGCTTCGCTGATGGAGCAAGTAAGTGCCTGGCAGGGGCATCCACCGCGCTGCAAGAGAGAGCACAACTCACAGGTATAGTCTTTCGCAATGATGCGCGCCAGGATCTTCGGCTCAAGCTCGCCGAGTTTTTCCATGAGAGCACGGGGAGTCTTCCTTGCCATTGGGAGCCCCCGGGACTTGGTCAGCTCCTCAAGGCGAGCATTGTAGGCCTCTGCCGCGGCGACCCACTTGGCTGGAGTCATGTTGAACGAGGCCCACTTGCCCTCGGCCCTCATATCCATAAATAAGTAAAACTCCGAGTCGGCAGAAATACTAAGTGAGCTTGGGTTGATCCCAGTCACAACCGAGAAGAGCCGCTGCGAACGCGAGGGCCCGCTGATTTGCACGACCGGGAGCATGTGCGGCTCCTCTGGTACCAGTTCTGACTGCACCGAGGTGTTGACCGTGTGCGACACGAGAGCAGGGCCGGGGACTTTGGTGAGCAGTGTGGCAGACATAGCAGGCCTTTGTGACACAAAGAACGGGTGTATGGACTTATTTCCGGGCTGCATTCTGGCGGACTTTTTTTTGGTGTGATGCCATATTAGTCTACTTGTGTGCCGCAGAATGACTGGTGACATGAAAACTCACCGGAACATTTTTTGTGATTTTCCTTGATGTCTTCAGTCTCTTGCTCGACCCCGCACTGCTCGGTTGCAGCTGGTCGTACCGTTCCGCCACGTTTGCATCGCTAGCCTTGCGCTTCGATGGTGCATGCAGCGACTGGTCGGGTGAGTATCGGGCGTTCGTAACGGCTGTTGTGGTGTCTTTAAATGTATCCGATGTGAGAGCCTGTGCTTCCCGAGGTCCACTCAGTTGCTGATAGATGCCGGTGAGTCATTGCAGGCTCAATTACATGAGTGAACTGACCTTTTCTTTCCCCTTCCGTGTAACAGAGGGAGCGGCTCCTACAACTTCGATGTCGCTGTCCTCAGTAGGCTGAGTAGTCATCTCCGAGAAAGTGACAGTTATTTCGCTGGACTCGGCATCCAAGTCGATCACAGTCGGCATTACCGCGCGCGAAGCCGGCTCTGTGCACAGGGCTGTAGGCCTCAGGGCTTGATCATCAGGCAAAACAGAAGGAGCAGGAGGGCAGTCGCTTGTGCCCTCGATGAGCCCGATGGCAGGCTTGGTTGGAGGAGAATCGATGGGCAGCGGCTGCAGACGAAGTGCGGGGTCAATAGCAAGCTCTCGAAGGATAAGGTCAGCACTGGCATCGTCGTGCAGAGAGAGGTCCAGCAAGTCTTCATCGAGCTCGTCCTTGACTGTGCAGGTGAGGTGGTGGTACGTCGTCGCATACTCTGCCTTCACAAGCCTGAACTTCTCGCCGCTGTCGACAACCTGCATGGTGGGCAGGCGCGACAGCCCGCGGGACTTCACGATCTTCGCATCCTCGATCATGGAGTTCCACAGCCTCGCGATACCGTCGACAAGATGGATGTGATGTGAACCGTGTGTTGAAGCCAAAAACTTGTCGATCGAGTCATGGCCTGCATTGAAGACCACTCGGATGTTGCGCCGCAAGACGTGATCATGGCCGAGAGCAGTAAGAACTTCTAAACCGCTCGCGTGGGACCGCTGGAGGTTGTTCCAACCTTTGTGAGAGCCTTCGATCCGGCTCCCATCTGACACGACATCTTGATAGGCACGTACAAGGCAGCCCTTCTTCACATGCCCAAGTTGCTCCGCATGGACCTGTCACAAGTCAGCTGCATCTGAAGATAGGCTGGGAACCACCCTCACCTTTGGTGCGGCTGCACTCCAGACATCACCATGGTTTTGCCACTTCTCGTACACGCACACCACTCGTCTCTCTTGCTCTGCCCTGCTCCAGTAGACGACACGATTGTACTTGTCTGCCGTAGTCTTGAGGATCGCGCTGACCAAATCTCGTGCGACCGCCCCACGGAGCGAATTCTTGGTGCCGCCGATAATGCATGCAAGGTATCTTTCAAAGCAGTCTTAGCAATTTTTCTTGGCAGCACAGGCATAACAGAGGATAGTTACCTTCCGACAAAGTGCCAGACATCAAGCACGACATCTATTTCTGGCAGCGCCTTTTTGATGGACTTGCGCACATGGCAGCAGTTGTCGACCACCGCCAGCACAGGATCAGGGACCTGCAGCAACTCGCCGCGCCGCTTGAGACCTGCTAATACCTCTGCGATCTCAGACGTCGATTGCGACTGGCAGAAATGCTATGGCGGAAGAAGTCATCATCTGTTCATGGTATCAAGATCAAAAAAAAACCTCGGAGCAGGTACGTACCCAGGATATGATCTCATTGACCTCGTTGATGACGCTCAGAATTCCACCCTTCAACACCTTGATGCGGTTCTGCTTCTTCTCGACAACGGTCACCAAGCTCGCCTTTCCTGCCGCACGGAAGGTATTGTCGAGAGAGATGGATGTTGCTGTATAAGCAACAATTCAATCTCTGATGTGCATGGTGCATGGACGGCAACACTTACCGCTCAATGTATGAAGGTATGTCTCTGACTCTGGTTGCCGTGTTTTCTCACTGAATTTATTGAAGATATCAGTGATCAAGTCATCCGTGATCGAGCGATCACAGTAGCCCGCGACGATTTCGCCCGGCTTTGAGAACTTGCGCAGTGGCGGAGGATCGACCAGGCTCATGTTTTTCGTCTCCTGTCGCAACTGAAAGTATCGCAAGTACACGAGTCTCTCTCTGTGGTATTCAAGGAGGTGAAGCTCTGTGCAGTGCACACCGAGAGGTCATCATTGGTGTCGAGCAGTGACACGGTGTGGAAACTTACGTCTGACATTCTCGGCAAGCCCCGCAGATGTCGTTGAAGGACGCAGTTCAACGATGAGGTCAAATAACTCGCGCGTGACCGCGCAGCGCCTGAGGAAGTATGGGATGCTGGCTGGAGACAGTGCAGATCAAAAGGTAAGCCATTACATGCATGCCATGGCATTCCATGATGCTTACATGGTATTTCCCAGTGGTCCCGACGCTGCCAAAACAGGTGGCTTGTCGTCGTGAAGCAGTACGCTCCGTCGGAGTCTTCATTGGTACCACTTCGTTCCGCGGTGCGTTTCTCGCACTCCTTGCACCGCAACTGATACCCAATTGCAGTCTCCTCTCGGAACAGACCATGCACCTCGCGATGGCCGGTAGCAGCCCATTGGATCCATTTAACATCACCGGAATCACACTGCGGGCATTGTGTGATCTCGGGGAAGTAGAATGGATGGACAATGGTAACTGGCTTAAGGTACGTCATCTCCAGCGTGATTTCGGGTGTTGCGCTGCGCTTTGCTATATCCAGGTACGTCGGCGGTATGAAGCGCGGTCCGTAGAGTGGGAGATCTCTGCGAAGACTGCGCCCCGTTGCGAGCTTTGCATTTCCGTGGGCTTTTATGCGCTCGTGAACAAAGTTCACATATTCCACAACGTGAGCCTCCCACTCCAGCTGTTCTGCATACTGTGACTGCGAGACGCGCGCTCCCTTCCAGGCTTCGCACTGGCGTTCAACCTGCATAGGAGAGCAGGAATCCGTGAGCCCTCATCGTTCCTTCGTGTAATATATTTTTCAGACCTTTTTCGCCCATTCAGCTTCAAAGTTTCGCTTCTCAAGAGGTGCAAGCGAGCTCTTCAGCTGCGCGAGCACAGTCTTCGGATCGAATGATGACATGGCAGAGTGAAAGTGCAAGATGCTTGTTCAGGGGTACACCACTTACGTCTTGCTCAGATGTATGTCGGCAACTGCTATTTTAAATCTGCGAGGCTCGGCTAGCATAGATTACTCCTCACTACCTAATGCAACAAATGTATTGTAGTTATGTAGACATAGCAATACAAACGGAACAATATTCTGAGAGAAGTACAGTACAATCAGACCTCGGCAATGCTAATTAAGTGGGCATACAAATATTTCTCGCCGCACTGCTCAACAGAGTAAAGGGTGAACAGCACCTGTACGGGCTTCCCGAATGGCACTTCGGAGATAGAGGTCGGTGCAGTCTGCTTTCCCTTGCGATTGAAGAGTGGAAAGTCTGCTATCATGTCCTGCAAACGGTGTTCAGAAATATAATGCCTACCAGAGTGGACCTGAATGAAAAAATGCTCACCTCTGAAGCCCGAGGGCGCCATCCCACTTGGAGTTGCATGAAATCAATGCTGGGCGGATCCATGCGAACATGCCTGAGAAGATGGAGGAGAGACTCTGGCCCCATCTCCGCGATTTTCGTGATGGCTCGCATAGCCTTCCTCCAATCAGCACACGACAAGATGTCGGGTAAGGGCTCAATCCAGCATGAGATGGCTGGTGAACCATCACCAGGCTCGGGATAATGTTCCGAGTCTCCATAGGTGGTGAGGTAGCAGTCCTGAATGGCAATCTGGCCCATCACTTCAAAGAGTATTCCTGACGGGATCTTTTCAGATGTGCTCGGAGACTGCTCCAGCTGAAGATGGATGCAGCAAAGTGAATGTCCGCTTTTCACGGGACTAAATACAATATTCTTGAGGCGGTGGTTGTCGAAGTGGTCAGTGAGGTCGAAATAAACCTTCTCCTCGAGGACGTTGAAAAGTGGATGTGTCATCGTGTTTGTCAAATGAGGGAGAGTGCATGCAGTACGAGTGCAGTCTCACAATAGGGGTGAGCACTTGCGGTGTCGATTACATGCTCCAACGATGGTCGGTGTGTCCACCGACACATCACGCAGTGTTTGCCATTGGTTTCACGGACAGCATCTGCAAATGCGCCGGTGTTCTCGAACTTGGTGAGCATCTTACTTACTGATAGGCGAGGCTTCGCGAAGCACCCGGAAATGGTAATTAAGTTCGAGTCCGCGGTGCTTACTAGGTTCGAAAATTCTATGCTCTCAAGCTGTAGGATCAGTCAGAATGTTGCCCAGTACTTGTTACATAGTCACAGAACCTCTATGTAAGAGAATTGGTGTTCAGACATGGAGCCGAACGCAACAGAGTTGAGTAGGCATGGAAGAATTCCTTGGTACCTTTTCCTCAGCCACTCGGAGAAGTCCTTGGCTTTTCCGGCCCGCCTTCGGCGGGCAAAATCCTTGCAATGACCAATTTGCCTGGCTGAGCCCAACCTTACCACACTCTGCTAGAGCGAGATTGGCTCTATCTAGTACCAACCAGAACTTCCGGAGCAAAGCGAATGTACCAAAAAACAACGCAGCGGCACGGTTCTATTGAAAAAGCTGTCAGTGTCTCCCTTATCCTCGTCGTTCACGCATGTCTGACCGTATTCTCGCGTCTTTCAGACCGTCGGCAGAAGGACACACTTTACCTCATCTTGAGGAGCACACTGCTAAGTAAGAGACCTGAAAACTTGTGAAGCGACGTTGTTATAGACACAGAACTACTATCGAAGAGATGTGCAACCCTTCTTCAGACATTTTGGCAGGAACGTTGCAGGGGAGTAGCAAAGGAGCCGCGAGGAACCAAAGGTACAGTAGTACTAGCTGCGGCATTATAGCAGCGGTGACGAGGTGACGCAAGGACTTCATCTAATGTAACGCGTCGGGATTTGCAACGTCTCGCTCTAAATATCAATTCTCCAACGTTACTAGATAGATTCTACAACACTCCTTAGAGGTATCGACTGAATACTACGCTCCATCTTAACATTACATGCATCTCCGTCATTTCGAAAATTCCAGTATATACGTCCACTTCACCTTCCGAGCCACCTTCGTCACCAAACACTACTGGCCTTCAGTTACTGAACTGGACCATTCGGATGTCTGAATTGGCTGTGTTGTAGCATCTCCGGATTCCTCCCTCTCGGATTTGGGAGGTACAGGTTGTTTCCACTGCAGCTTGCTATCAGGCTTCTCGAAGTCGCGATCGTTGAGTCGTTTGATGAGAAGAGATTTGGACACCTCATTAAAAGCATCCACCAGATCCTTTGAATAAACAATAGCAAGTCTGGCTAGGACGCTGGCAAACTGGAAGGCTCCTAATGCCGTAGAGATGTCCATGGTACGAGTCTGCCGCTCGAAAATTTCTATGAACTAATGATGGCAAGCCGATCAGCAAGGACAAAGCAATCAGGCTGAATGCAGCTCACTCCACTGTTACTCCAAGCAGCCGCAAGTGCAACCCTCGGGCCATTAGTAAGTCCACTGAACACAGGCTTTTTGGTCAGCCCCAGCACATCAAGAAATGTCACCGCCGACGCGCAAGCCAGCCTGTGCTGATTTTCTCCCTTGCCGATGTCGGTATCCTGCTTCTTGTATTCCATCATAAACGCGGGTAGTTCCAGAACTGAGACAGGATTCTTGACTTTCGCATTTTTCCTCTGTCCCGCCGTCAGCACCTCGAGTCGCTTGGACATGACGTCAAAATTCTCGTCGAGATATGCACGTGCCTCTGCATTTTCATACAGGCGGTCGGTATCACAGACGGAGCTCGCGGCAATGGCATAATCGCGAGTCGGTAGCGAGTCAGTATTCGGAGGGTTTGCAGGAGGAGGAAGTTTCCCGGTGGAGTGTGGGATGCCCGGATTCGAAGGTAAAGCCTGGTCTGGGTCATCTACCTCCGGCACTGTTTCTAGGGCCGGAGCGGACGAATATAGTCGTTGCTGCAAGGGAATCGTCGGAGCTACTCCAGATGAAGTACCATCAGGCATATCAAGGGATTCCTTGGATTCGTGCATGCGCACTATGTATGGGGCTTTTGGCGATCCTGTGGCCACCAACTGCACTGCCGCGAGAGACTCCCGTCTCACTGGAAGATCAATCGAGACCGTCCCGAGAGCGTCGCAAATGGCTCGATATGGATCTTCTTTGAGACGCTCCAATGCGTATCCATTCATCTTGCGACGTTCCAACCAATCAGTTGCATGATGTATATTCTGGGCATATGCCTTCCGCTCCAGGTCGCCAGCTTCTCCAAGGAGATCCTCATTGGGTCCGATCCGCTGCTTCAGCATCTCATTGTCGGTTTCATCGGAGTCGGGCCCACTACGTTGAATGTAGGAATATAAGTTTCGCGCAGACCGTTGGTCCATACCAACGGCCTTGGGTAAATATATCATGCGTTCCGTTCTGTGCGCTTCGATTAGACAGAGTGCAGGTCAATGACGACTAGAACCTACGATGGAATGACCCTGTCGCCATCAGGAAGTTGAAGCTTTGGCGCATCACTCGAGCGACTGTTTCGAGAATACATGCTGATTGTTCCATTTAACGCATTGGTGAAGAAGTCAAAGATAAGAGAATCGAAATCATGACGCCAAACGGACTCCGACGGGGGAATCACTGAACGGGCCTTCCTTTGCGCCCGCTTCGCCACGGCAAGAATTAGAGAGAGACTTCCCTCCAGCAGTGGAAGGACCTCTGCGGGTACGTCCCGCGGCACTACGGCACTGAGTTCATGATGTTTCTGCGCTTGTGCAAATAACTCTTGTCGAAATGGTTCAAGGGAGCGATCGACCAATGGTATATCACTCTGCCCCTTGTCAGCACGCGATGATGAAAAGAAGGTGAGTTGCTCACAAGTGTTTTCCAATGCGACGGCCACGCGTCTCCTGCATGAATCTCATACAACGAAAAGATGACGGAGTTGTTACACAGTGCAGAGAGTATAACGTGTCTATCGAATAGATAGCCATGCAAAAGAAGGCTGTTTCCCACTTTCGCAGCTGCAGCGGCGAATCTATGAATATATGAGAGAACATAGCGGGTGCAGATAACATGCCGCTTACGAAGAACATGACATCGGCTTGTAGGCAGATTTCTTTGAGCCCTGACTCTTGCCTTCCTGTCTGTATTCAGGTGAGTATCGAAAATGATGAAGAGTCTGATGCTCACATGAATTCCTCCTCTTCTGGAATTGCAATCATCCTATATTGCAATCAGACATTGTCACGAAAATTGATCAGAAACTCACGGCAGGCTCGAAGGCGTAGAATCTGTAGATCTGGAGGAGCCCATTGAAGGAACAGACAACGAGTCCGTTGACCCCTTCTTTCTGCAGAACGAGTAAAGGTCACGCGTAGCAAGGGTGCAATGACCAATATTCGTACCTTGCCTCTTGTGCAGTCTTCTTAGGATCCGCCGTCGCAGTCTTCTTAGAGTCGGTCATCGTGCTTGTGTATCAAATTTAACTTGAGGGACGATGGACGGGGGCACTGGCAGAATGCACTTACGTTGCAGGGTATTTGTAGGCAAGGCCTTCTGCCCACGCTTCAATCCAGTCACGCTGGCCCTCAGACGAGTCAGCGGAATTAACGTCTTCTTGTGTATCCAGACGCCACATAGAGACGGAACCGTCCCGTATTTCCTCCGCGACCACCGTGACCGTAGCTTCTGAAACGCCACATGTTTTCGCCACTAGTCCTTGCAAGGCCAACGCAGCATGACACAGTGCAAACGCTCCATCAAGCGAGGCCAGATCCAGGGACCCGTCTCGCCCTAAGGAACCAAGATGTACACGAGGCTGCGACGAATCATAAATGAGTAAAGGACAGGGACACAGTCTAGTCATGTATATCCTCACCAATGAGTCTTCTTTGTCGGCATCCTCGTCCAACCATCCGATGTAGAAAGAGATGGAGGTATCATACTTGGAAAACCCGACACCAACGACAGGCTCGTGAATCTTCCACACATGTCGCTGGTAGAGAATCGCCATCATCACGAGGGGTAGATCGTCTTCCTCCGCAACGCACATGAACGGTAGAGGGACCCGTTTGGGCAGCGCTCTGGAAGGCGGATACACGAGGACGTGTGCATTCAACTCCGCTGGTGATGGGGGGTCATACAGCGACTCCGAGTCACTATCGCTTTCCTCAATGAGAACGGGCTTCGCGCAACGGGAGAGAAATGTCGACATAGACATAGGTGAAGCGACCGAAACCGGCCGAGGAGGTTCGGACGGTTCACGGGGTTCATCCTCACCTAACTCCATGTCCGGGTTGTGCGACCCTGCGTCAGAGTCGGCCTCGTCAGTATCAGGATCGTTCGCCATTGCATCAGATCCGTCCGCATTGGAGTTATCGTCGGGAATCTCCGCGAAAACAGACATCAAAAGCGGTACCTGGATGGAATTCGACATGAATCTCGTAGGTACGTTCAGCCCGCCGCCACGATAGCGTGGTAAGGCGACTAAAACGTTTTCACTTCACAAAACACGATGATCAGTTGAAAGGTGGGACAATTCCGAGGGATGCTTACTCTATGGAAAAATCTGCTGTCACGGAGGACATCACGTTGGATATCATGACAATCAGGAATGATTCCTTCGGATTGGCGCTGCCACAGAGACTATCGGATGACATGACATTCCGCAACCTGGCGCAATCACTGAGAAGGGTCCCGAACATGCCCCGTAATTGCTGATCGAAGACCGCGTCCTCGAGGGAGCCAGCATGTAATTTGAACGTGTTTTGCAATTCCTCCAGCAGGGGTTCCGTTCGAGGATCAACGGCAGGATAGGGGCCCTGTGTATGGAGCACTTAGAGCACAGAAAACCAGACGATATAGTAGGGATGTATTTACCGTCGTTACCCAAGCTGGAACACGTCGAGAATCTGTGAGTAGTCCGCCACATAGTTCACGCACGTTGGGCGGCCATTTCTGGCCATCGTCGACGAATTTGTGCCATGCGATGTCTTCTTTCAGGATATGAAGATATTGCTTGAGGGGATCCATCGAGTCCAGAATGAGAAAAACCAGTTATCGCATATTGGTGCTCATGATCAGAAGGGACCTTTTAACGCCATGGCAGCAGCGGGCGCTACGTCGCCGTTCGAGATCTTAACAACTCGGAAGCGCTGGCCCCACGCTGGTGCACGTGTAGCTGCGTACTGACATTGTAGAATAAAAAACAATGTATAAAGCCTGAACTTGTGACTTCAACCCTGAAGCATGTAGGAACCAAGTTAGTGATGCCAAAAAAATCTAGTATTGCAACACTATCTCTGCAGATCAGCGTGGTGCTCTACATACTACATAAGAGACTAGTCGCAGCTGAGTGATCAGGCATATCGTTGATCCTGCAGGTGATAGTGCCCCACTATACTGCGACTGGCATCGATGCTTAACGTAAGGAGTCTCATTCGGTACACGACTGTGCCATAATCGATTACCACCTTCAGCATGCAAAATGCTGATGAATCCGAACAGGAAACATCATCCACGAAGAGTCGCTCTGACTCTAGCAGCCTCCCGAAAGAGTCTAGGTTGCGCCGGAACACTTAGCTGCAGGTCGCTAATGCTTCCATTGAGGCACATGCCAGGACGCGTAAGCTAGTGATTCGAAGAATAGTAGTGAGCGGCGCACCTAGTACTAAGACGGAGCTTCGAATGCTTCGTGTCCACATCACTGGGAATACAATGGGTAGAGCCAATACGGAACCAGCGGATCGATCCATGGTTCTGAGTTAATTGGCATTGATCCTTGCGACAATAGCACGATATTCCTACTATCCCAGGAAGAAGTTCGCCACGACAAGTAGAGGAACCCGGTGATATGGTACAAAACGGAGAACCTTGTCCAGAACTATGACATGAGGCAAACATGGGGACGTTTGCTCGGCAGTTAACACGCGTACGTTCCTAAAATTTCGAGTCAACGGCGACAGCTGTCTGGCGATATCACAGCATGCACCTGGAAGCGCTGCAAGACAGATCTTGCGCGCAGATGGTAGTACGATACGCCCACATCAGCAAAACGTCACGATCTGAGATGGTCTGAAATCGTTCTGAATCCACCTGAACGTCTGAAAGTCCATCTGGACGTCTGAAATCTGTCTGGACGTCTGGAGCCCATATAATGCCCAGGAACACTCAGAGCGGTAAGGACAACCAATTGTCTCAGAAGTGCAGTTGACCTGTATGCGTCGCCATGTATCTACTACTACATACTGCAAATGCAATCACAATGTCTCCGACCTCACATGACCTAGAACGCTATCTCGTGAGCATGATGATCTGCATACTTGTTCACATAGAAGGCCTCGAAAGCGTCCAACGAGTCTGTGAATTCCAAGCCATCAGGGAGAAAGTGCTCCCCCGCGACTCCAATCAGATGGGCTCCGCGGACTATGCAGTCGAGATGAACGACAGCAGCAGATCGGCGACAGTCAGTGTCAAAATCAGGTGTGACAATCCACATGCCGGTTTCATCATCCGGTTCATCCCCAACAGGTGAGAACCATTCAACGAGGGCGCATGGCCACTCTTTCGCCTGCCATTTGAATGAGAAGAATAGTCGGGCACGTGCAACGTGCAGACCTCTCATCCCGTCCTGCGATGGGTCCTTGTCGGCAAAAAGGCAATCATGACGGGCCGGACCTGATTTCCATGAAGGCGTTGCACGAATCCGTTCACGATGCATCCCACCAACACCCGAGAGATCGCTTGGTGCATAGAAGGTAGCAACAACAGAATGAAACACTCGTACGCGGAGGTGCGCAGTGGAGAGGAGCGATGGGAGTCGGGGGCTATCGCATTGCGAGGGCATCTCCAGATGAAGCTGGTCTTGAAGGAATTGTCTAACGAGGTTGGGGAGGTGTGGATGATCGACATGAGCCCCTAACTCCACGATGGTGTGCGGGTATCCATGCTCTGCATGCCTCAAAGAGATTAGTTACATATCATGCACACAAAGGATGGTAGACGTACGAGATCGGCGTGCCATAGTCACTGAAGCAAGTACCCGAGGCCCTTCAACAACACCATTACCGTTCATTTCTTCTTCTCTGTCACTATCCTCGTCATTGTCCGCAGAACGGGAACCTTCCTCATTAGCCTCGTCAACCTCATCAATTGTCTCGAGCTTCTGCAAGGACAGCAGCACGTCAGAAAGACAGCTCCCCTCAAGCATCCCTCGGGCCGCAAAGTCAGCGCGCGAAGCACCCAGCTTGTCCAGACGCTGATTGGTCAACAGCATCTGACTGAGTGCCTCATAGCGACTTGAATGGCGCCACGGTTGCTTAACAGCCTTGATGTGCTTCGCCTCAGTGATCGAAGAGCAGAGCCCATTTGGAGCACCATAGTTCTCAATATGCCTTGGATAGTGATCCAGTGAGTGTTGTCGAGGCAAAGAGAATCCGTCTTCTCGAACACCAGACTCTTGAAAGATGACTCGGAAGTGATGAAACCTGTCAAGGGCACGCTGTACTTGTTGAATTGTGTCGTGAACAGAACAGCGAACAAGGTAGCAGAACTCGAGGAAGGCGCTGATTGCGCGCACCATATCCGGAGGCACCAGACCAGAGATCGCAGGTAAGTAGACCTAGTCATGTAGATAGATGTTATAAGTTTGAATCTGAATCGGCATCAATTCATGTACCTTCATGAGCGCCTTGGAGTCATCTCCAGTCCACTGCTTGAAATCACGGCCCTTCGGAAACCGGTGCAGACCAGGAAATGACGGGACTGCAGCTATTCTAGGCACGTTCAACGTTAGTCCAAAAAACTGATATAAATACTAGAGGGCTCACCTGTGGTCAATCTCGTCGAGATACTCTTTTCCGCACTCCTTGCCATGCGTAAGAAACAGATACTCACCAATCCAGGTCACCAGATGGTCTTTGAAAGTTCCCTTAATGACTTGATGCAGGAGGTCACCCGATAGCAATTCATGGATATCTGCACGGGGGAAGTTTGCAGTGAATGGCTAAGCAGAAGGTACAAGGAGTTAAATCGCTCGAACACAGCAGAATTTGCATCGAAAGACTTACAATGACATCGCTGACAAGGCCGTATTCATCCCACAATATGCCCGGATCAAACGTTCTGATTAGCTCTTCTGTGTGTTTGCGCGCACGTCGCAAACCTGGGTCTTCACTGTCGAGATTCTTCCTATGCTTCAAGCACCTGCCAAATCAAACAATGAGTACATGGGGCTTGCGGCAGCTTGGAGTACACACACCGGACACCATCCTGACACAACACATGAGACGAGTACCTGCTCTGGATAATCTGCAATATATGGTGCCAAACCGAAGATGACTCGCCGGAAGTGACCATCAGGACACCGCGTGACCTCAGGAGTTGACATTCCGGGGTGCAGACTATCCAGAATTGTCGCAAGACTTGAATGAAATAGTTGGCATCTGAATCTCCTGAACAGTGCACTGTCTGCATATTTACGCTCAGCTATGTCACCGTACAGTCTCAGTCAGACAAATTTGACACACAACGAAAGAAGTGCACATACTTTTTGGTATTGCCAAGAAGCCTACCACCATCAGCCCATCCCTGTGGGCACATTGGACATTGTTGAAGATGTTGCCGATGGAGAGGTAGAGCGGATAATATTCATTCTGCCCCGTTGCGACAGAAACAGTTGTTTTGTCACTGCCTAGGATCACCGGAATAAACATGGATCCGTGCGTAGCCTCATCCTTGCTAATGATGTCCTATCTTAGCATCAGCATCACGATCGGAACTTAAGAGACAACAAGTAAACTCACAGCTTGCCTCCAGGCCCACTGTCCTGACATTACATTGGTGTATTGACGCTTTCCTGAGCTGTCAAATTCACAATATGGGGCAGCGTTAAATTCATGGCTGAAGTCGGGATTTGCAAGCATGTTCTTGATGACCAGGCGGGGATCTCTAAACCAAACGTCATACGTCGTTGACATCCATGACGATGTGTCGTGAACAGGTAAGGCACCAGTGTAGGCTGCAGTAAAGGACCGCCATGGCACTCCTTCGAGTTCTGTCGCATCAATTACATTATACATATCCGCGTAGTCGGCAAATGGTGGTTCTCCACCGAACGGGAGAAGGGACGCCGCCCACAAATCCATGAGAGCGTTGACTTTTGATTGGGACATTTGGTCCCATTTGAATAGGAATTCGGCAGTCTCGAACTCGACCCGATTATCGTATGGTGTCCAATCATCCGGTGGAGCATTGGTCCTGGGTGGTGGTGGGGAGTCCTTCGAGATGAAATCAGCCCATTCAGTCATGTTTGTGAACTGGACTCCCATTTACCCTGACATTGTCATGAACTGGACAGCCAGCGGACGTCGGCCCATCGGTCTGTGTAAGGAGCTGTCAGCGATCGGCTCATGGCGATGAAGGGAATGCTGGAGCGATGGGCCCACCGCCATAGGAGTATTTCTGAGCGATCGGCCCACCGCCACTGGGGCTATTATAGAGCCGTCGGCCCACCGCCATATGTAGTGTTCTGAGCGATCGGCCTACCGCCATAGGTATATTTCTGAGCGATCGGCCCACCGTCACGGTGCTATTATACAGCCATCGGCCCACCGCCATAGGTAGTGTTCTGAGTGGTGGGCCAACCGCCATAGGTAGTGTTCTGAGCGATTGGCCCACCGCCATAGGTATATTTCTGAGCGATCGGCTCACTGCCACGGTGCTATTATACAGCCATCGGCCCATCGCCATAGGTAGTGTTCTGAGTGGTGGGCCGACCACCATAGGTAGTGTTCTGAGTGATGGGCCCACCGCCATAGGTAGTGTTCTGAGCGATGGGCCCACCGCCATAGGTAGTGTTCTGAGCGATCGGCCCACCACCACGGTGCTATTATACAGCCATCGGCCCACCACCACAGTGCTATTATACAGCCATCGGCCCACCGCCATAGGTAGTGTTCTGAGCGATGGGCCGACCTCCATAGGTAGTGTTCTGAGCGATGGGCCCACCGCCATAGGTATATTTCTGAGCGATCAGCCCACCGCCACGGTGCTATTATACAGCCATCGGCACAACCCCATAGGTAGGGTTCTGAGCAATGGGCCGACCTCCATAGGTAGTGTTCTGAGCGATCGGCCCACCACCACGGGGCTATTATACAGCCATCGGCCCACCGCCATAGGTATATTTCTGAGCCCATAAGCATGGGTCGCCTGAAATATCTGACTAGCCCGGGCATAGCTGAGTTATTTGCCTTGCCCTAGGTTGTCAACTGGGCTCGTATCGTGTCCGTGTCGTCTTGGTGAAGCATGGGTGGGTGAAGGAACATACCGGATGATTTATCAGGGAGTAGCATAGGTGGATGTATGAAACATGGAGATTGGTCGGGGGGAAGCATGGGCGGATGTATGAAATGTGGAGATTGGTCAGGGGGAAGCATGGGCGGATGCCACACCTTGTTGCCCGAGCCAAGAAGTAGACCATACGAAGTGAACAGATTGTACCCGAAGTCAACCGAAGAGCACGAAGTAGACGAGGATGCGGACGTGTGCAAATCAGCGTACGAGCCGAAGGACACCACAGAAGAAGGGGGCTCCGACGCCGAGTCGTTGCTCATGCGGCACCTCTTGCTCAGACCTATCGGCCCACCGCCATAGGTGTAGTTCTCAGCGATCAGTCAACTGCCATGGGCATATTTTTCAGTGATTGATCCACCGCCTAACAGGGCAATGATGGAGCTACCGCCAGCCAATAATTTCCACGTAATCCACCCATCATTCCCTCCAATTCTGGTTAGCTCACTATCAGCTCTCCTTGCAGTATCACACTCTCTCCCACTGTGGGAAGGGTTGGTGAACTGTGGCGAATATCCTTCGCCATCTGAACATGGAGTTCAGAATGACTTCGCCAAACTCTCCCAATTGGCATCGGCGTTTTGAGACATGCATCAGATACAATTTGGGATGTGCCCTTCTGGGTAGAGTATGTGGAGATGAATGGCGGTCCTTTCCACCGTGAGTAGGGTTGGCGAACTGTGGTGGATATCACTCGCCATCTGAACATGCAGTCCAGAATGACTTCGCCAAACTCTCCCATGTGGCATTGGCTTTCGAGCCATGCATCAGATACCATTGGGGATGTGCCCTCCTGAGGAGAGTATGTGGCTACTATGTTTCGCCTTACCACACCAGGTACATTGCCCAGGTTCAAAGACATGACAACCTTATATTCGACACACTACAGCACGAACGGACGCCTGGCATTGGGCGATTACATTCCTAACTCACGCAGCTGCCGCGTCGCCTCCTGCAGCTCTTCCAGCACCACATCCAGGTTCTGATCTGTCCTCTCGTGCAACCAACTAGTGAGGTTCGCGATGCGAACATGCAGCTGTTCAAGCTGCACCAGTGTAGACTCGGAGACGGTGTACACCTTCTCCTACGTTCTCGAGGTTCAGCAAGACTGTAAGGTGCTGGAACGTACCACTCACCCAGGGATCACCAAGTTTGTACCACCAGGCCTCCATAGGGCTCCCCACCGGCCCAACCTGACGATCCCATTTCCACCAGTAGTCGGGTGAATCCTCGAGTAGGTTCTTAGGACGAGGAACGAGGGTGGTGGGGCGTGGAATCGCCTTGACGTCAATGCTGATGGGGCGCAGAACTTCGCGATTGAAAGTGCAGACGGTGAGGACACTGGCGATAACTCCGCCATGGTCAATATGGTCAGCATGACCCGCCAACGCGAGGTCGCCACAGATACCCCTGACGGCGAACTGCACAGGACTCAGCAGGGTCAGGCGATATCAGCAAGAAAGGCGTACCATCTCCCGGCGCAAGCCTTCCTCCCAACGGACCTTGGTGAAGTGATCTGGGTCAGGCTCCAGTGCCAGAACAGCTTCTTGGATCCTCCAAGTGTAGACTTCCAACTGCAACCTCCCTCTGGAGAACAGGCAGGGGCGCGCATCTGATGTTGAAGACTGGGCAGACATGACAGTGAGTGGATGAGCCGAGGTTGATATCTGATCGACCTTATCTGATGTCTGATGTCATGCGATTGGAGAGCACATGCCGAGATGAAGCCCTCAGGCGAGGATGGAGGTCACTTCGCCAAATGTGATATTGGTGAGTAGGAATTACATACATGACGATCACTACATCGATATAGCAAACATGAATATGCGTACACCCCAGTGAACCCTGACTCAAAGCACATTTTCATCGCCCGCCCTTTCGTCCTCAATGTCCAGGGCGAGGATGTGGCTGAACGCGTCAGTGGCATGGCTGGCGAAGGTCCGCCACATACTCACTTGCCTGGCGGCATAGCAAACATGACCCCGCCAGGAAGGATCCGTCATCTCGAGCCAGTGAGCCCATCGTTCCGCATTCCGCTTGAAGGTGGCTATGGTCCAGGCCATTTCGGAGTGGACCAAGACACGCTCCTCCCTCCATCTCTCATATCGAGCTCTGGCACGCAGCCAATTCACTCTATAGACTGGAGGGTAAATTAGCAGGAGGCCTAGAGATCAATCGGACAATTACGAACACTCGTCCATCCATTCTGATGAACCTCGATCTCCAGCGACATCCATGGTCCAGAACCAAGCCAGGTTGACGTTCCTGAGCCCGGAGGTGCTAGCCTCGATGACGGCAGTCTTCACGTGCAGGTCCTTCTTATCCAAAGGGCGATAGAGGGCCAAGTCTTCATCGGTGGTGCCCAAGTGCATAATGGCGCGTCAGTTGGCAGAATAGAGCCTGGTGCAGGCCAAGACGGTCTGATCAGCAGCATGAACCTCCGCCTGTGCACGGGTCATGGTTCCGACGCTGTTGGCGGGACGAACCCTCTTGCAGTAGAGGTAAGACTTCAGTCCAAGCGCCATGCGAAGCTCGTGGAGGATGTCATTCATCAGGCCTTTGCGCAACTCCAACTCTTGGGCCGCCAGGGTCTGGAGCCCGTTGGCGACGGCGGCCACGAATCCGATCTGCGAAGGTAAATTCAAGGAAGCTTGCTCGGGTGGAATCGCATCCTCGCCATACTCAGCGTCCTCTGGGTGTATTTGAAAAGGATTCTCATCCAAGGAATCCCAGAGCGCACCATCGTCACGATCTTCCATGGCGGGAACGTCCTCCAACCTTCCCATGAACTTCTCAGAGCAACGTTGGAATGTGAGAATGCTGACTTCGAGGCGCTGACGGCGCTCGAGAGTCTTGAGGTCCTCCACCACGCTCGGATTTTGACCCGCCTTGCGGATATCATTCGCAAGCTTAAGCCTGAAGGCCGTCAGAGCTGTATTTTTGTAAAGACGAGGCAAACTCACTGTGCTTCTTGAATTCTGAGGCCAGTCGACAACCATCCGGCGGTGCCCTTCTCCAAGCCCTTGGCGGACTCCTCGCCCGCCAGTCTGAGTTGGGTGAGGTCTTTACCCGGGGCTTGCATTCACGTCAATTACATGCCACACGACGATGGAAGGATACTCACCCTTCCTGAGCTGGACATCGAAGGTGTCCATAATCTTCGGATCATTTTGGCGAGCCTCCATAGCGTCGTCGTACTCCTTCTGCCATGCCTCAAGGACCTCCTCATCTGTGGATGCAGATAAAGCTTCAAAGGACTCCTTGCTTCTTGGGAAGCCCAGGAGCACGCGTTTCCACTTTGTCATCAAGGTTGGCACTGTAGGCAGCATAAGGCAGGTGGCAAATAGGGAAGGAGGAACCAGGCTCACCCATGCGAGTCGTCTTCTTCCAGTTGGAGTCATTCATGTGATCGTCAAGGACTTCTTGGCAGTGAGCTTGGGTCATGCCCCTGGTACTGCCTGAGACCTCATTTGTGGGCGCCCACAGGGTCTCGATGACCTCGCCATCGACCATACCAGCGCCAACTATAAAGTTGGGCGAGAACCGTTGGAAGCAGCAATCTTGGTGTCCGTGCACATGAAACAAGCCGATGCCTTGGTCTATCTTGAGCTCGAAGGGCATCCTCAGATAGGCGCTGTGGCGGAAACGTTTGCGGACATGGACGCCATACTGGCACATGATGTCGTACATGATGAGGACGAGGGTGATACCGGTGAGGGTCAGGAGCGCATTGCTGAGAGAGTAATCCATATTCATTTGTCTGCAGAGGGTGCGTCGGTGAGAATGAATCATGACAAGAGACATATGTGAACCTTTCTCCCTTCTGGAAATTGATGACAGTATGAGGGACGAAGAAACCATGTCTGGTGCAAGCAGTGGCCCCGATTCCTGTGGCGTCGAGGTTGGCGCGATCCACATTGGCCTGATTGACAGCACGGTGCTCATGACAAGTGGAGCGCTGGTGGGCTTAGGAGTCAAGGGCGGAAGAAGAACGTGCAGCCAGACACGCACCTGATGGGACTCCATGGCCACCGCCAGATGAGCCTTGTAATCCTCTTGGCCGACCATGAATGCCTGGCCGTCACTGAGGGCAACGTCCTCCTCGGGGTGCTTCATCTTCATGTGCTCTGCACTGAAATTGCCATCTATGACAAAGCCGCATTTGAACTTCCACTGCACTGGATCCGCTTGCCAATCGAAAGGCAGGTTGAGCCCAGGCTGGGGACAGGCGGGACAAAAGATGGCGAGGCCACCCTTCTCCACAGGATGGAGGGCATCGTGTGAGAAGCCATGCCACTTGCGATATTTGAGTTGGCGCCATTGGCGGGACACCCGCATCAGCTCACGATAACGGTCCTGGCGAGAAACTGGCATGAACGGTTGGGCCATGGGAATGCATGTGAACACTTACAGGAACGGTGCCAGGGAAGGCATTGCTCGTGACCCGTTTGAGCTTGCTGTAGTAGTTCAATGCCGCCGTCTTGCACTCTTTGTTCTCCAGAAGGAAATCGTCGAGGACAGCGAATGTGAAGGCGGTATGGGGATCCTCGACGGTACCAGGGTAAAGTCCCATTTGAAGAAGCTGCATGTCACACTCCACTGCCATCTCACACTGGCACCAGTCAACGCCGATATGGTGAACGCCAGAGATGTCGACAATGACTATGATCCGATTCCCGTAACTGTCACGGCGAGGTGGCCGGGAGAGCACCAGTGGCACATCTTCCTCCCAAGTGGGATCGGGAGCATCATCGGTTTGCCTTGCTTCACCATCAAGGGTGCCTGCCAGAGGTGCAAAGTTGAATGGGACCTCGCCATCATCTGAGACCTCGCCATCATGTGCATTTAGGTCTTCATTGGAGGCATTCCAGAAATCGGACCCCGGGGCCACCACCGGCGCAGGGTTGTTATGTGCTGTGAAGGCGCCCAGAGGGCAGGGATCTCCGCCATGCCCCAAATGGATGCAGACGCCAACCCGATACAGTGATGCCGGCTCAAAATACTGACCCTGCCAATGCTCTATCCGATGGAAAGGAGCACGCTGATGGCCATTACGACAGCAGTCGGTACAGGTGAGCGGTCTGCCCATACAGTCCAGGCATCGCCACCATCCCTCGCCAACCTTGCATTCCGCACAGTTTCTGGGCTCAGGCGGGGCTTCCATCTCGACAATGGCATGAAGATAGTCATCACAGTGGGGTATCCAGTCCCTCATGAAGTCATTCTGGGTCTATCGCGCATGGTCAGACCGTCAGATGGTCATGGCGGGAGTGCCCACCTTTGTCTTCCGAGCCGCCAGATCCAGCTGAATCGGCACACCTATGTTGCCCAGGATGTCGCCATCATCCAAGTTAAACAAGGAGCCTGAAGCTGGAGCCTTCGATGGACTTTTGGAAGGCAATGGCACATTTGAACCCGTGGGCATGGGCAAAGGTACGTCCACATAGCGTACTCCCCTAGTGGTCTGCTTAGCTACCTTGGTCACAAACTCAACCTCGTCATCCAGGTCTACAACGAGCCTGCTTTTGTTGCGTCTGCTCATGGTTCAGGTCAGTGGGGAGTCGTATTCCAAGCCAATCGATGAGCATTGTGTCCCTATCGCACAACACGTGCAAATCACACACGGCCTTGCTGCCCATCAGACTACTCATCAAGGTGGTTAAGAATGGCTGCAATGCCTGGGCCTTATCACCTCGTGGTCTCTTTAGGCACCATATCAGCGTTATGCAGATAAGGATGCCATGTTGGTGAGAGGTCCGCCAATTGTATGTCGCTCTCAGTGCTAACTTTGCCTTGACTCGGAGTAGCATAATGTTCAAAAGGGAAACGTGCACTTGCACCGCGCGCTCGCCAACGCTGCCGCCATCTGCCCCACTAGCACTCACAACTTCTCGACCGAACACATTTCACCACCATCTCCGCCAACTTTGAGGTCCGCCAACCATATGCTGCCATCAGTGATAACTACACCTTGAGCTGAACACTGTCGAGATGTGAAATGCGCACTCGTACCGCGCGCTCGCCAACCTTCAGCTAGGATTCGGAAATTCGAGACTCCATACATTTCGCCATCACCTCCGCCAACTTTGTCCCACCAATGAAGCTGCCATCGACAGTCTCCATCCCCTGCATAGTGTTCTCGTCTCCATCAGTCTTTGGCATGATGTCCCTCTAATAAGCGAGCCAGTTAGGACCTGTTCTGAGTTAGGAATGCAGACTCGGTGATGAACTGTGCACATGCCAATGTGTGAGGCGTAATATGAAGCTTGCATCCAGTGGGGCGCCGGAATGCCTAGCCTGTTCTGGACACCCTCTCGCATAAAGTATGCATAGACGAGCCTTTCGCCATCTGCTCGAGTGACGCCATGACGAATCGCCTTTCCACAGAAGGCTATGACAGTTCCAGGACTATAATCGATGGTGACATGCATGGCGGGGAACTTCAACCACGCGCAAGTGTAGTTGCCCAACGTCGCCAACAGGTCGTAGAAGGTGTATCTTGTCTTGCTATCTCGGTGGAAAGGAGTTTCCCGGTTGGCGATCACCTGGAGTGCATTGAATGGCGACGACCAGTTCAGCGCCATCTCTCGCAATTCTGGGTCTTGCTGGATCAAACCTAAGCACTGGCGTCCTGCGGCATATAGTGTTGGGTGAATGACGGCCAGGATGGCACCCAGCAATGCGGAGGAGTCATGAATATCACGCAGCCAACTTCTTCCACCCTCAAGCTTCAGGCTGGCGGAGGTCTCCAGCCTCCCAGACTCCATATGCTGCAAAGGCTGTCCAGACGCAAGGCAAATGGCGTGGCGAGGAGACCCACCTCTCTTACTTGTTGGAACCAACCTGGCGAGAGACACAAGGAGCCCGCTGGGAATTGGGCACACTCCTCAGGAGGCAAGAAGTACAACGGGTTGTGTCGCCAACTGGCGGTGGTGCTGGAAGGCTTACTGGCTGCCATTGCTGGGTGTAGGGCCCTGGTCGCTTGGAGCATCTTCGTCTGACAAATTTGTCAGATCACAGCGCAAGGCTGGGCAAGCCACTCACCTGGCGGTCTGGTATCAACACTCTTGGAAGTATCCAAGCCAAGATGCGTCCGTGCATGTCCACGAGGGTGGCAGGCTGGTCTATGCGTATTTCGCTCTCACCAAATGGAGGAGGCCACTTCCGTTCCAGTTCTGCCTCGAGGACTTCATTCTGCCCCATGGGCTGAATCGAAAGGCTGTCGCAATATCTATCAATGTCCCACTGCAGCCTTACTATTTCAATGGTGTGATCAGTGTGATCAGACCTGCAGCAAGACTAATGACTACCAGGATTACGGATGGCCTTCACAAGAGCATCTGCAATGCCATTGCACTCCAATAGGAGGGCGGATGGCATGGACGGAGGCACTTCTATAGATGGCGCAGAATGGGCTGCATGAGTGGCCAGATGGAGCTTTCGGCGGAACATGAGCTCCAAGACTCCTGCTATCTGATCGGTCAGTGGCATGGGTGACAGATTGCTCATCTTGATACTATCTGCCAATCAATGGGACGATTACAGCATGCATCAGTTGAAGGAATGCACAGGTGTATGGCGGGCTCAGGCGGTTGGCTTGCAGATGCAGGGGAGAATGTAGGAGGGGCCAGAATGGCAAAGAACAGTATGCATTCATCTGCCTGCATATTGCTTGCAAGCACGCCCCTTGCACATCTCACATGTTCATCATGCCGCCGAGCCGGACTTGATGCCGCCATGCCAGATCACGGGCTGGGTGGTCCGCCATGTCTGGGCCCTTCGTCACCGCCATCTAATTGGCTGAGCCTAACTCCGAGGAAGCCCTTTATCCCACAGATTGGCATGCAGATGATCGCCAGATTGCCTCCGCCCAGCATTCGCGAGATGAAGTTGGCGTGGTGTGCTCTGTCATAGAAGCGGCATTCAACATTGCCTTTCACCAGGCATGAATGCTAGTGCATACCTACTACCACCTCCCGCCACTGCGAAAAATACACATACAATGCTTCAGCAGTCACCACACACCATGGCAAGGAGGGTAATTGGTGTAAGCCCAAATGGGCCATCAGCACGTGCATGTTGAGTTGTGGGCGGCCGACGAGGAAATGGACAGAGCGCTGCCCGTTGAACTATCGACCCCCTTCACTGCCCCAACACAAAAATCTCATCCTCGACATCGAGAAAGCATGCCAGCGAGATTTGTAATTTTGACGGAGCATCAGCCCATACTCTCTGAGAAGCTGCGGTCTTATGACACGGCAGATGCCAAGGGACGCAAGACTCTGGTTCAGAGCTTGCGCCAGAAGCTGAAGACACAGTTTGTCGACACGTCAAATTATGACGACATCATTGTGGAAACTGTGAGCAGTGTTTCATGTCTGTGAGGTCCCCACTAACTCTCACTGCAGAAAATCCGAGAGTGGCTCAATAACCACGCCCGCCATGCGCAGGAGAAAGCGACGAAAAAGTGTATGCATGTTTCTGGCAAGCCCAATGCCTTCAAGGTGTGGGATGCGCTGGAGAGGGACAAGGTGACTGAGGCCGCACGAGCACTCGCGACAGATAAGGGTTGCAATGTCTCCAAGGTGTGGAGAGTCGCACGGAGTGCCGAATGGACAAAACTGTCCAAGGAGGAGCAGAAGGTGTATGAGGAAAAGGCGGAAAGTTGGCGCAATGGCACTCTGGATGATAAGACGAAAATGAAGTGCGTACCTCCTGTCACGTAGCATAAGGCAAATCCTGACCTAAGACAGGCTGAGGGAGCAGCGAATGATGCAATATCTGAAGAAGTTTGCCAAGACTATGTGGGACACCATGGGCATTCGCATGGCATTCATGCTAGCATATCCGAAGGAAGCGGGGAGTCTGAAGGTAGAGATGTGAGCGTAGACCGTCCGACTGTCGCCATCTGCTAACCCCCGAGTGAAGGGTGGAGGTCAACCACGCCATCACCAATGGAACTCCATTCGGGGCCTATCCTGGGTGGCTGCGTGCTTACCAGCCTCTAGCAAAGGTGTTCTCTGAGTGGGCCAAAGGCGAATACGGTAAGAAGACCTCAGTTGCATTGTCGCTGGCACACTGACCTGATTCCTTAGGTGTGACTGAGACTACGGTGACGGTGAAGAAGACACCTGCCGATTGCATGCGGGCCATGGACAAGATTCAGTTGACGGCCAACGGTTTTCCTCTGCTCCCGTCGGTGCCCGAAGGTATGGCGGAAGTGCCTCTCAAGGTGATGAAGGTACAAGTTCGAGACTTCATGAATCATCACTACGGTATGACACTCCCACTCGGTGTTGAGAGATGCTGACCAGTTTACAGCATTGGCGAAGGGTGTTCGGAACTGCAAGTCGCCATGGACGAAGCTGAACAGCATAGACGACATCAATGAGGTTATTCCAGCGGAGATGCTACCTGAGAACTTCCAGTGGATCGATCCCTCAAAGATGACAAGTGTTCCCGTTCGTGCCCTCCTCGACCACTGGCGGGCACGCCAAGAGGAACATGGACCTGAGCAGACCATGCGATTCACCCAGTACTTCGACAAGGATGGCGAAGCTGCTCCCGCCAAGTATGATCCTCTTCCACCACTTGACGGATCAGCACAGGCATTAGAAGAAGGATCTGAACATGAGGTCCAAGAAGCGCTCACACCGAAGAAGGCGGGGAAGGCGAAGAAGAAGGGTAAACCTGTGCGCAAGGTCACGGGAAAGGCGGCATCGAAGGCGACAAAGGGCAAAGCGGCCCCTGGCGGAGCCAAAGGCGGTGGGCGTAAACGCAAGACGAAAGATGCATACGACTCGGAAGATGATGCCAGAAGCAGCCAAGACTCTGATCGGAGTTCGTCAGATATACCCAGCATGGCTTCCGAAGAAGATACGGCCAGCGATGAAGATTCAGGGGATGGCGAGAGCGTGATTGCGAATAAAGCGAAGGGCAAGGCAGTCGCCACCACCAATGGACGTAAGGCTAACAATGGTGGTGCACCTCAAGCGAGTGGTAGCGGCGGTGCCAAGATGAAGGCAAAGCGAGGTCTCCAAGACCTTCCTCTGGGCGAACTGCACAGATTTGACACAGAGGAGACCGATGAAGCATGGAGTGAACTGGAGCCCAGTACAAAGGAGCTCAGGCTTGAGCTTCAAGGCCGAGCCCCGCGTCTCACTGGCGGGAATACTGTGGGGAGTACTGTGCCCCACCTCGTCAAAAGGAGAGACGTGTTTCTCGCCACCCTTTCTGTCGAACCGCGATACCAGGATATGCTGAAGCAAGTCAAGATTGCGACTGTGGTGAGCTCCTTTCGTGGGGATTCATATACACTATTGATCATCCGTCATATAGCCCCAGGTGTATCGTTTCGCCAGGTATGATCCGATTCCCTGGAGCGAATGGTCGTATGGCCAGCGCTACCTCCCGCTGTCATTTCATGCGGTGGACAACTTTGACATCGTTGAGAACTGGTTGGGCGACAAACCATGGCTGACAAAATATCGGTTCTTACATCCACAGGGCGTACAACAATCTGCACTCATGATTGGTATGGCACTGAGGGACCTCACACGATCTCAGTTCATTGAGGAGGGCGAACCGACCAACCTTCCCGACTATGTGGTAAACTCGGCGATCTCATTTGACGCAGTAGAGCAGCTGCTTCGCTGTTGCGAGATCATTACCTTGGACATGGTGGAAGGGAACATCACCCATGCCATGGTGAAGCCAGTGAGCAAGCCTGCCATACGCGGTGCCCCACAAGGTGGCGATGGCCTTGGGGGCCAGGAGGAGCAGGAAGGTGATGCCTCTGCAAGAACTCACGATGGCGCTGCTACTGCTGCCAAAGTTCACAAGGCTCACCAGCCTGCCCCCATAGCTGACAAACCAATCATTTCAAGTGGAGGAGACGAAGGGCCGAGCCAGGAGACCAGTGGTGGGGCCTCTGACGATGGTGAAGAGGACGATGCACACTTGTCCGTACCTAGCAGTGGTGCTGAACGACCGCCACCGCCTCCGTTTATACCTAAGACGAGGAAGGCGGCAGCCACGGAAGATCGTCCGTCAGGTCAAGCCAAAGCGCTCCAGGGAAGGTCGATCACCGATGCCCTTCAGAGTAATATCCCCGGCAGGATCACTCGCAGTCAGCATCAAGCGATAGATGAGTCGCCCGCCAAGAATACCCGCAGTCAGCATCCACTAGGAGCTGTGAAAGATTTGAAGAAGCTTCCTGATCCAAAGCGGAAACGTCAACCAGCACGTCCCGAGCCCGATGGCAAAGACAGCTCTGGCGAAGACAATCCGCCACCTCGGAAGCGTGGACGTGGTACTCGGGATGAGTTGGTAGTGGCCTCGCCGAGGAAGAAGAATGCGAGGGCCGAGGACTCGGATGATGGTGACAAGCCTCCCGCAAAGTGAAGACGAGCTCTGCCTCAGACCCCGGAGGTCAAGGACAAGGGAGAAACCAAGCTGAAGCCGGTCCGTCTGGGGAAAGCAGCCGCCAAAGTGAAAGAGAGTGGCCAAGTTGGCGCAGGTCGCAAGACCCGCAGTGGCGGCACCAGACCTTGACAATATAACTCCAGTTCAAAGTAGACTCATAGGCTTCCACATTGTTTAATGTGACCCATAGATCTACATAGGTAAAGCCATGGAGATGGTGGCAATGGCGAGGGGAGTTGGCGAGAACTTCAGCAGGCATTCAGTTGACTTGGAGTGGCGGTGGCGAATCGAGTGCATGGAGATTCCATGCTAGGTTAAAAAGCATGTATATCAATACTCTAATGACTACACATTGTGGCTATCTGGGCGAAAGGCGGTGAAGACCATGGCGGAGTCGACCTTCTCTCGGAATGCATCCAGAGACTTCGCCACCAGCGAGGTTTCCTCTCTCGCCGTCGCCACCTCCTTCCCCACCTTCTTCGCTTCATCCAAAGCGGACGTCGCCACCGCCATCGAATCCTCTTTGGCGAGCGCCAATTCCATCTCCAGCTTGCTCGCTTGAGCGATCGCCTCTGCCGCCGAAGACCTGAGCTCCTTCTCCATGCTGTCTGACCGCGCTGCCTGGAGCTCCATCGAATGACGGAGGTCGGCCAATTCGCCCTGCAGCTTGTCGACGTCCGCTTGGCTCACCGTCTGGTTCGCGCCTTGCTCCAACCTGTTGACCTTCTCCTTGAGCTCTGGCAGGCAATGTCACTTGGCGACGAGGTCCGCCACCGCCAACTTCACGCTCTCCTGAAGCTCGATGGTGACCGGCCTGCGAAACTCCTCCATCGCCAACTTGACCTCTTCGTGAATGCTCCGGGCATTTTCTTGAAATGCGGATGGCGGGTTGATTCGCTGGAGTGCCGCTGTGATCTCTGCCTTGACGGTGTTGAGGTCCGCCATCCTCTCCTGGAATTGGACTTCCATCCCATCCTTGTGCGCCAGGAACTCCTGTCGCAACTTGGCACAATTCGCGCAGTCATCGTTGGATGACTGCGAGGTTTCTTCGCCACTGGGGGTGTCGCCTTCGTTCACCGGAGCGGGACTTCCTGTAGACACTCGCTGGACGTCGCGCAAGTGGGGTGCTGTATCCCTGGTCAGCGCTGTATGGATTCAAAGCTGTGGCGGGCGCACTTACCCTTGCTGGTCGGAGGCACTGCTCTGAGGCGGTTCGCCTTCACGTCCCTTTTCGCCTCCACCTCCTTCTTCGCTGCCTTGCGGTCCAGTGGGGCGCCCCTCTTAGCTGGCCTTCGCCCTTCATCGAGATGTCCTGCCTTCGCCAATGTGGAGGACTTCGCTCCCTTCGATGCCTTGGATATCTCCAGGGAGGGCGTCACCTCCTGTGCCACCTCGGCAGCTCCTGCGCTCATCTCGTGGGGCATCAGCAGCGAACGCCGCCGATCGTCGTGTGGCCGCTCCAAGGACGCGCGCTGTTTCATGGTTACATTGACTCCAGCTACGACAAGATGTCCTGCTTACCTCATCCTCCGCCACCTCTGCCTGATACTCTGGCGCATCCTCTGGTTCGTCGGCGACTGGTGTCAGCATGCGCTTGCTGCTGCTAGCTTGCGGCGGAGCAGCTGGCCCTGTTTGGAAGGCCATAGCCCGCACCGCCTCCATTGCCAGCCTGGCGGCTTCCTCCATGCCATCGCCTTCCACCAGAGGCATCTTGGCTGCTGCCTTCGGAGCACTCACCTTCACCTTCCTGGTGATCACGGGCACCATTGGGCCCGAGCGACCTCCCATCGCCACCCTTGTCGTCTGCCCGCCCTCCTTCGCAACAGACTTGGCAGGCGGGACCTCATCCGGCTCACGTACTGAGGTCCTGGTGACCTCGCCACCATCTTGCGCACCTGAGTTTTGGCTCCTCACCGGCTTTGCCTTGGGTCCTGATTTCTTACCTTCGCCAGGTTTGGCGACCGCACCAGACTTGGCAGGCGTGCCAGACTTGGAGACCTCGCCAGAGTTGGACAGAGCCACAGCTCCAGTGGCGGTGGCGAACTTGGGGGCGCGCTTGGACTTCGACAATTTCTCCACCGAGGCCTCGCCTTCAGCGTTGGCTTCATAGGGCGTGACGGTCGCCTTCTGCTTCGTCGCCTCGACCTCCTCGCCACCCTTGACCATGGAGCTGGATGCTGCAGCATTGCGCGTCTTGGTCTTCTTCAGCGGCTTGCGCTTCGACGCTCCCATGACCATGGGTTCTGCACCGTCGGGCTCATCGGAGTCGACCTTGACGTCGTATGGAGGTGGCGACGTGGGCAGTGGCTTGCCCTCTACCACCAGCGCTGCGCACATCTCTTGGAACTCACGCTGTGCGGTGTGTGAGTTTCCTCGCAGGGGCACGCCGTCCATGTTCCTCGGCGCGATGCTGCAACTGACGCCTCGTGCTGCACATTCGAGGCAGCGACCGAAGTTGGCGGTGTTGAGCTTGCATGGCCACTCTTTCTTCTGGCAGCCAACGCAAGGGACGAGCTGCAGGAACATTAGCACAGGTCAATGTCTCACAAGATCGTTACTCACCGAATCTGTTGCATGTGCCCACATGAAGTCAGACACGCGGGTGGACGTCTTTTTCCACATGTCCTTCTGCGACACTGTCACCTTCGCCTTCGCCTTCACCATTGCCTTCCCCTTCGCCATCGCCTTTGCATTCCCCTTCGCCTTTGCCTTCGGTGCGACATGAGGCGTCGCCGTCATCCTCGTTGTCTGTTTGACAGGTTTGGCAGGGGCGTTCGTCTTCGCAACACCGTCGTTAGAGTCCCCTGTGGTCTTGGCAGGTAGATTGGAAGGCGGTGCCGGAGTCTCGTCTTCGCTTTCGATGAACTCCTTGCTCTTGTATTCCTTCGTCGCACGCTTCTTCTTTGGCGGCTTGACGGTCGGTACTTCCTCTTCATCGCTTGACTCCTTCGCCTTCCTCTTCCCGCTCTTCTTCGTGCTCACCTTCGAGCCCTCCACCTCGGTCTGCACCATCCTCTTCTGCGCACGCTGCGCTCAGCCAGAGGTGGTCGGGGCCTCGCCTTTCTCCTTTGCAACCTCGATCGGCTTCATCCGCTTCGTCTTCGGAGCCACCTCCTCATTCTCACTCTCCTCACTCGACTCTGTGATGACCACCTTGCGCTTTCGGAGTGATGGGGCAGCTGGTGAGATCGATATTGGTCTGGCAGTTGGCGGAGGGGGCGACGCCGCATCGACCTCAATGGATTCGGGCTGGCCTGCACCCAGCACGTCTTCCGCCATCTCATCGTCGTCATCTTTGTCGGCATCGTCGTCCTCGTCACTGTCGGCATCGTCGTCATCCTCGCCCTCCTGCTCCTCTCCCTCTCCCTCTCCCCCATCCTCTTCCTCGCTCATCGCATGCGCCGCCTTCCCCTGCGCCTTCTCCTTGCTCTTGCCCTTTCCCTTGTCCTCCCCCGCCTCCACGTGGATGATACGCTCACCCACCATGCCTGTCCCGATGTCATTGTCAGCTCTCTTCTTGCCTTTCCCCTTGGTGATGAGGTCCCCGGTAGCCAGGTCCTCCTCGCCACGTCCCTGGGTGTCGTCATCGGCTGGCACATTGCCCCAGCCCTCCGCTGGCGTACTCTTCACTGGTGGCAGCTTGCAATATGGATCTGGTGCAGTCAGTGTGTCGCTCGACGCCTCACAACGCTTGTGACTCACCTTCAGTCCACCACTGCCTTCCCAGGTCCTCACACTCCCCATACTCGCGCACAGCCAGAGGGTACCTCTTGTATATCCTCTCGTCGTCGTTCGATATGTGGTCCAGCCGCGCCAGGGCCTTCTGCTGGTACGCCCGGGTGAATTCCAGCAATGCACTGATGACGATGCCAGGCATCCTCAACGACTTCAAGGGCTGCAGGAAACTCTTTTCAAGCCGACTCTGTGTGGCATATTCGGTGAGGGTATGCCAGACCTGCGACCGATGACTTACCACTTCGAGGTAAATCCTCGCCTCCCAGTCCGAATAGCGAGGGTCGTCCTGGCGAGGCGCTGCTGCAACAATGGCCGTCAGTCGCGCGGCCTGCAGAACATAGTTGGGGTCGATATCCAGAGTCATGGCGAGCTTGGCAGAAGAAAGCATGAGGGTGTTTCAAAAGCAGAGGTTGCAGTACAGCGGAGGCGGAGCAGACGACGCTATGAGCTGGCAGACGCGATCTGCACCAAGTTCAACTTCACACGCCACGCGACCACGTGCTTTGCACGTGATCGCTGGACTTGCGCGATTTCTCAAGTCTCTCAAGGTCAGTGTGACCTGCTGCAAGTTCTCATGGCTCCCAACAGTAAGTTCTATTGCTCTCCTTGTGGAATCTGACTCTTTTGTGATGTTATCTGACCTTTCTATGTCATATCAATCCCCTTTCTACAAATGATCTCCCACGATCCAGGACTGATCGAAGACTTGTCTGCTCGCCACAATCTACCTGCCATGGCCAGTGACGCGGAACCTCCTGACACGCTGGACATTACGATGGGCGAGTCGGATGAGGAGGATAGTATCGCTGAGCCCCGTCGTCCACTCATTTCGGATCTCCTTGACTCTCCTGGATCTGCCCAGATCTCCTTGCCTCTCCACTCTGCTTCTCAGACACCCCTCACGCCCCGCCACACTACCCCGTCCCTGGCGGCTCCATTTGCACCATCCAACTCGCCACATGAGCATCTTCACCGCCACGCCTCGCCAAAGGTACAGGCGTCATCTGGATCTGTGGCGCCTGTGGAGGGAAGTCGCGCACTTATTCCTGACCCTCTGGCGCCAGCTTGGGATGAAAGTCGTGGCAGTTCGCCAATCCATAGGCGTGCACTCATCTCAGATTCCACCCCCACCGCGCCCGGTGGAATGTTCGACTTCGACACTCCTGGCATCTCGCCAATCCCTCGACGCACCCTGTTGGAAGCTACTCCCCTTCCTCCACCAGCTCACACTTTTGACTTTCGCACTCCTGACACCTCCCAACTCCCTCGACGATCACTCATCGCTGAGCCCCTTGACGCTACACCACGTACATCCATCCACTTTGATAGTCAAGCAAGTACGCCGATGGCGAGGGGTATGCTGGTGGACGAGACACTTGACGCGGAACCAGTGCCGAAACTGCTGGACTTTGACAATAGTCCTCCCGCCACGCCAGGACGACGGCGAGCTCTGGTGATAGACAGCCCTGGCGCGATGCCTGTGCGTAGCCAGGTCCGGTGGCTAAATAGTCCCAGCACTTCGCCTCCAAAGAGGCGGCCTTTGTTGGACGATGTTTTAAGTCCACCGCCTCTGCCATCGGCGCCCTCTCACTCGCCAGCTCGCACTTTCGATGACAGCAATTTCCGCCACGATGCGCCTGTCATTCACTATATGAAAGGCAGCATCGAGCCAGTCACTGTTACTTCCAGGATGCCAAGTCTGGCAGCACTTCCAGATGAGCTGCCAATCTATCGTCCCACCCATTGGAAACAGGTTCCAGGCTTATTCCCAGATACCACACAGCTGCTGCCAATGGCAGTCCCTGGAAAGACGAATGCCACTTCTGGCTCACAAGTGGCCCGCCTCAGTAGATCGTTTGCGCAGATCGCAGCAGAGGCAGACAGTTCCAGTGAGTGCATCCCTGGCAACCTTCAGTCTGATGTTGACCTTATTCATAGTGGACGATGACGAAGGTGATAGCTTTGCGGTTAGTTGTCGTCGCGCCATGTTGCGGGAGCGCATTGTACGTCTTCAGCATGAGCTCAACCTCACTGAGGATATGCATGTTGCGAACCTCAATGCCAGCTCGACCGTGTTCCAAATGGGGTACATTCTGAGGGACATTCGTGGCGAGGCGTATCGCAGCAACTGAACTAGTATCTTTGAGCGTTTTGGTGTTAGCAATATATGACCGCTATGTAACAGCTTGTATACCAGTACAAAATGGATACATTCACTTCTGCATCACTAAGCTCTAAAGCCCATCGCTCCTCCAGTGTACTCTTGAGATGGGCGGACTGCGCTCGCCATCACCAAGGCATGTTGTTACCAGCAATTGGCCCATCGCCAAAGGACCTGAGTGAAAGCTTCACTGCATGGGAATATCGCTCCGCCAGCAAAGGGCCCACTGCCAAGGGTCAGAGGGTTGGCCATCGCCAAGCCGTGTTTTCGCCACCAATTGGCCCTCCGCTATGAGTGCTGGTGAGTGATGGGCCCACCAGCAAAGGTCAGAGGATTAGCGATCACCAGAGCACGTCATCACCACCAATGCGCCCAGAAACTGCAGGGCTGTATGTGACAATGGGCCCATTGGTGGCGATGACATATCCTGGTGATCGTCAACTCACTGGCCTTTGGCGGTGGGCCGATTGCTGGCGATAACATGCTCTGGCGTTGGCCAACCCACTGGCTTTTGGCGGTGGGCCGATTGCTGGCGGAAACATGTCCTGGCAATGACCTATCCCATGGGTGCTTGCAGTAAGGCCCTCACTGAGGGTGCTTTGGCGATGGGCTGATTGCTGGCGATAACATGCTCTGGCAATCGTCAACCCTCTAACCTTTGGCGGTGGGCCCATCCTTCAGGTTACACTCTGGGTGATCGGCCCACTGCTCATTCGTCATACTTTGGCGGTGGGCCGATTGCTCAGACAAACATGCTCTGGCCATGGCCAACACTCTGACCTTTGGCGGTGGGCCCATCCGTCATCTCATTCGTCATACTCTGGCGGTGGGCCGATTGCTCAGACAAACATGCTCTGGCCATGGCCAACACTCTGACCTTTGGCGGTGGGCCCATCCGTCATCTTACACTCGTGGCGATGGGCCCACTGCTCATTGATCATACTTTGGCAGTGGGCCCATCGATGGCGATAACATGCTCTGGCGTCGGCCCACCCTCTGACCTGTGGCGGTGGGCCCATTGCTTAACGGTTACAACACTGTAATATGCCCTGCTAGTGGGCCGAGCACTGGGATAAGAACACTAGCAGTGGGCCCACTGCTAGTATCCCACACATGAAAGGTATGGGCCCACTGCTGGTAGAGGTCAACATGGTGACAATGGGCCGACGTCCGCTGGCTGTCCAGTTCATGACAATGTCAGGGTAAATGGGAGTTCAGTTCAGGTAACATGACTGAAAGGTGTGATGAAATTGCCATCTTTGTCGCATGGGCTGCCTGTTCAACGTCAGCAAGGCACAGCTGAGACATAGAGTACAACGTACCATTGAGTATTGAATGTTCAAAAATCCGTGCAGCATCTTCATTCACGTCTACATCTCCATTATCTTCCAGGGGAAAATCTTCATGTCCTAGGAGATGTGGACTAGGCAGATGGCTACTGGGTTCATCTTCGCAGGGGGGATGATGTGAGCTGGGTGGAGCACGATGTTCCTGGGCAAGTGCATGGACAGCGTTGAAGTACTGAGTCAGGCCTGAGGAATTGCGGCATTCCCTACCACAGGATGGACAACAGAGACAGCTAGAATTGTACTTTTTGCGAGGAGGATGACCTTGCATCCTTGAGAATGAGGAGAGCACTTGAGTTACAGAATATTGACCATTGTATGAGCTGATACATTCAAGGTACTAGCAGTAACGATAACGAACAACCACTGATTGTCGCCCAGCTACAAGTGTGACAGATCAGTAACCAGCTTTGCAACTTGAAGTCTAGATTTACCTCAGACGTCTCGGCCACGGGTTTCGACCTTAAACCTGTGTGGTGTGTGCTGGTGCTCGTTCTTTCGTCTAACTCTTACTCAGCGCAGTTTGATCAGTTTCACCATGGAGATCAGACCGGTGGGCCCACTTCTTGTCATATATAAAAGAAAAGGTGATTTCTCAATGGTAACCCCATTCCAACTCAACGCACTGGCGCACTCTTTGCATTGCAACTACACTCCCTTTTGCCCATAAAATCTCATTTGTTTGCTCACCTTACACACTCTGGTTTTACAAATATGTCTGGCTATGCCACTCGCTCACGCAATGGCCAGCTGAACTATTGTGTCCTTGCTGGTATTCAAGCTGAAGGTCAGAAGCCTCGTCGCACTTCTGCTCAGGTTGTAGAAGAGCGTCAGCAAGTAGATGCTCGGCGTCGTGAAGCCGAAGTTAAGAGGCAGGCAGTAGCTCAGCGGATTGCCGAGCTCGAGGAGGAGATGGCCCATCAGGATGTGGATGACCACGAGGATGCTGGACGTACATTGGCATCCTTCACAGGCTTCCGTGCTGGGCCTAGCACTGCGGCAGATGTTGACGCTGCGGGTCTTCGCGAAGGGAACAGAATTGGGGCTAATGGCGGTAAGGCCAAAAAACTTTCACATGCTGATGTAGAGGCGGCACACAAGAGGAAGGAGGTGACCACAGTTGTCAAGAAAGTGGGACAAGGGAAGGAGAACAGAGCCCCAGTTATTGGATCTACAGCACTGGCGGCGACGCGCAAGCGCAAGGCTGAGTTGCAGGAAGTCGTGGGTGCCACAGAGTAAGTTTAATATTTGATTTTCATCCTCTGAAATGATCTGAATTTGAGAATTTACCAGACATCATGTGAAGAGGTCAAAAGCTACTCACACTGGAGTTCGGTCAACGTGGACACCGCATTCATCAAAGAACACTACCTCGACCACTGCCAAGGTGAAGACGTCTGCAGCCTCCAACGGAGCAAGCATGGGGGGTATCATCGTCAATGCTGGAGCAACCCTGGTAGAGGACTCTGACGAAGATGATCTGGTGGAACGTGTAGCTGTAGGTGATGGCAAAGCTATACACCCTCACACGACATTGGTAAGTACTCACATTTACTTCACGGCTGTCCTTACAGTCATTCTCGAAGGGTGTTGTCGAAATCAATCCCAGAGCTCGAGCAGTGGACTCTCAGCCTGTAGAGCGAGGGCCAGTCATTGCCGTTCGTCACCCCAATGGCAGCAGGAAGTTCACAAACACCGATCTCCCAATCCCAAGTGCATCGATGTGGGTATGGCATCACCAGCTGATTCTGCGTTACCTGGAAACCTTGGGCGAATCCGCTTCAAATCCGTGGAACTTTACAGGCTTTGACTTGGTCGCCATCCTGCAAGAGTTGTGGGATGAGTTCTTCCCAGATATCCCGCTCGTCGTCGTGCCTCGTGAGCCAGTCTATGACATTGTAAGCATTTTGTTGCTACCTGAAAAGTTCCTTGCTGATACCGATTACTACAGGCTCAACAGAAGGTGTACGAGTGGAGATACAGCATAGCGAAGGCAGGTGTTGCTGCCGTTTCTGCATTCTTCGAGGACGAGGACAATGGACTGGTGACAGAGGAAGAGAGGGCCGCGTACATTCGTTATGTCATCGGGCCCAATTTGCCATTTCGGTATGCTGGTGCGACAATGAAGGGTCAGAATGGCAAAGCCCCGGTACGTATTTCTGCTTCGTTTCAAGTATTGCCACTGTCAGACCTCATATATCATATGCAGAGAGTCTCCGTGAAGGGTGCATTCCAGTCAACGTACGTGCTGCGTACGCTTGGATGCCACTTCGCAGCTACGAACTGTGCTCTTGATTCCAATGAGCCGCCTTGTGCTGCGCTTGGCTTATGTCTTGCCTCCGTACATTTTTCATATGTTACTGCTTGCGATGAAATATCCACGCTCATGCTATCCAGGTTGAGCATGCCTTGAGGCAGTATGAGAGTGGCGTGTTCATAAAGACTGATCAGAAGTTTTCTCAGGATATCCATGGCCGGTCGACCGACTACTACATGCTCTCGATCGCGAGCCTGAGGGAAGCGACCTGGAACAAAATTATAAATGCCGCTGCACCTTTGGCACGCCTGTCAAGTATCATGCCCGCTGACCTTGGTGGTGATGAGTGGGATGAAGTCGTTGATGCCGAGCATGGCAATATTGACGATGAATCCGCCAGTGACGGCGACATGGAGATTTAAACTTTAAGGGTAATTGCTGTTGTCGTTCCTGTCTTCTCAGATTGTGGCTCAACTACTGGTAGATTCTCTCTGTGAGGTTACATATTCATGCGGACCCGCTTGCTGGCCCACCTCAATACCCTTGTCCATGACCCTTTGCGCTTGCTACACCCACCTACCCTGATCCGTATCCGAACTCTTTAGTATGTTTCTGTTTGTTCACGAACTCACCCTAATAGTACGACTTCACGTGTTTATATTGGTTTATTTACTTTCCTACCCATACCGTAGCCCAGCTACAGTACCTGGTACTAATCCTCCGTTACCCTGAATTCACGTTCATTTTCCATACACGTCTGAAGCTTGCCTGAATCCGTCTGAAATGCATCTGAATCTAGCTGAGAGCCATCTGAAATGCATCTGAATCTAGCTGAGAGCCGTCTGAATCTAGCTGAGAGCCGTCTGAATCCTCTGAATTCAGAAAGGGACCTCATGAATTCAGACGACATCGTCTGAAGGACTTAGTGTCTGGAACATCTGGGGCCAGATCAATCAGACAGATAAGATGAAATTGCCGTTTCCCTGATGCATGTAGTAAGCACTGCGTTGGCGAAGATTGAAAGAGTGAAACAGCTGGCAAAAGCCCAACGGAAGTCATGGTGCTGAGAGATACATGCGGTCAGAATGAAATGAGATCGAAGGTGGCAGAAGATCGTAAACGGCTTAAGCTTGCACCGCAGGGTACGTACCTATGAGGCGCTTCAGTCCATCGAACGTAAGTGAATACCCGTGAAGTAACAATGTCATTTTGCAACAGCATATCGTGTAGAAGTACATCATAGGCGATTAAGTAAGAGAAGGAGACAAGGGGTTAATACCGCAGTGTGGAAGAAGCCACATCATGCCCAGCATGAGACCGAGTGCCGTACGAAGGAAGTATCCAGTACCTAACTGATGACGAGTCCGTAGATAAAAGGAGAGTGAAGAGTAAAAAAAGGAGGTCGTAGAAGAAACGAGTGGGCAGACGGGAAAAGGGATAAGGATAAGAAGAAGTCATAGAACAACTTGAAGAGAGGAAGAAATGAGTCGGCTTCGGGATCTGAAGAGCGGATGGCATTTAAGCATTGAGGGAGGGGGAGAGGTTAGCCTTGAGACCGTGCTCCAACATGCACTTGAGGAGGAAGTTGATGGAGGTAAGGTAGGTGCAGTCGGACTCTTCAGTGACTCTAGCACCGCCAGTGAGCAAGCCAGCAAACCTGCCCTTGCCATCGATGACAGCCGAGCCAGAGTTGCCAGGCCTGGAGACGGCACCAGACTTGTAGTTGTGAGGCAAGACGGCGACCTCCTTCGACATCTGACCGGGCTGGCCCTTGAAGTAGACCCTGGTGAATGAACGAATGGCGTTGAGGCATCCGACAGTGAGGTCGGAGGCGTAGCCGCGCTTGATGACCATAATGCATGGGTCGTTGTCGTGGTCGAGGGTCTTCGGGCTAGGCTTCCACATCTCCTCGTCCGAGATGGTGCCGTACAACTCGAGGAGATGGCTTCCCGGATACTCGAATGAAGGCGGGTTGGCGGGGTGGGGGATCATCCAGGCTGTGAGCTTGTCGACGGGGGTGGTGGTGCTGAGGTCGATGACGTTTCTGATGAAGTTGGTCAAGTCGACTTTGGAATCATCGATCTCAATCACTGCCCAGTCCTCCATGAACCCTTCCTCCCTGACGTCGAGACCGATGGGGGGAGACAGAATGATGTAGCCGAGCACACAGTTCTCCCGCTTCTTCCAGTCTCTGGAGTCGTCCGCGAGGAACTTCTCGAGGGCTCCGATCGCCTTCCACGCCTCCTCCAACTGGGGCAGGACCTGATTCCACTCCACCTCAGCGTCCTCCTCATCCAGCTGCTCAGCAATCTCCAACCGCCTCTCGAGCTGCTTGATGATGATATGCTTGCCACCGATCTCGGACTCGATGGCCGTGATATGCTTCTCGATAGCAGTGTCGCCAAACAGCAAGATGTTCCTGCAGCACTGGCTGGAGTCGCAGTGCTGGTAGAGCTCATTGGAACCCTTATCAGGGTGGAAGACGACGTGTCTGGCCATGACGAGGTAGATCTTGCTGGGGTTGCGAGGGTCGGAGATGAAGAATCCACCAGTTCCCTCGATGGATGGGGTAACTTCGGCGCAGATGGGGAGACCAAGGGCAGTGGAGAAAGGCTCTCGGGCCCGGGTGGTGGCATTGGAGGTGAGGACGGGCTTGTACATCTTGGGACCGGCGGAGCGGATGACCTCCGACTCGCGAATTTCGACGTGGACGTCGTCAATATCGTGAGCAGAAAGGATACTCTTGCAGTGAGTCGCGACCTCGACATCATCCTCGGCAGAGAGGGAGCCAGGGACAACTCCTATCCATACGATAATGGGAGGGGAAGACTCGCCAGCGTACCCCATGTGAACTGGGTCCAGACTCGTACATTTCACCCCCTTGGAGTCCAAATAGTGAACCATGGCGGGACCGACCGTGGCCTCCCAGATCTCTCAGAGAGGGTGCAAACCGATAGGACTAGACTCCTTGGGATCAAAGTATGCTTCGGGGCCCGTCGGCTTGACCCAGACGTTGGCGCTGGAGCGAGTGACCAAAGGGGGCTGAGAGGGTATGCCGTAGTAGAAGTACTTGGCCTCGACAGGTGAAGGAGGGTACGGAGCAGTCAGAACTGCAGCAGGGACAGTGTAGCCGGACAAGCTGGCGCGAATAGTGGGAAGAGAGTTGGGGTCGTTAGTGGCGGCCACAGCAACACGAGTGGTGACAAAGTGGTGGTGCTAGACACTGGAGAAAAAGAACACGAAAGGAGAAATTAAGATAGGGGAAGCAGCAAAGGAGAAACGGAACTCACTTGACAAAAGAGTTGAGCGGTTTGATAACAGCACTGGGAACTCGGTAAACGCAGTGCAGAGAGTCGACATAGGAAGCTGTACCCGCACCTTGTACGGTTATGCGTGAGCTACCCGCCCTTTCTTGCCCCGTTGTGGGGATAACCGCCAGTGAATATACGGAGACAGAACTGTCCCCCTTATAATGCGACTGAACCGTCGCCTGGATGGGAGACGTCTCCTGCCTTCCTCATTCGGCGATAATGTTTGTGGAACACGTGCACCAAATTCTCTAGTCCCATCTTCCCTTATGAACGAACCTCCCTCATCGTCATCCTCCTATTCGACGGCATCGTGCTGCTCGACGCTGCCTCCGTCGAGCTCACCTTTTCTGGTCTCCGTCTACAATCAGCCCGTCATTTCGGCTTTTGTTCTTCCTCTTCAACCTGACTCCCCTCCCGTCATTATTTCTCGTAAACTCCTCCTCATCTGTCGATCAATACCGATGCCCACTGCCACGTCCTTGTGTCCGCTCCTGCACAGCGGAGTGGGACTCATTCCTAGAGTGTTAGTTTTTGTTGCCTTGAGGCCATCAGTACTTCACACTTCCTGTGCTTCGTCATCAGTAGCTGTTCTGTCCGATTTTCCATGCATTTTTTGTACTGTAGGATCTTGCCTTCTTGCTGACATTTATATCCAGCGTTCACAAGACGCATGGTTGAGTATTTCTCAGGGAAAAACCCTGAAAAAGTACATAAAGTAAAGCATAAGAAAAAACTTTGAAGAGAGCATAATGAATTTTTATGGGAAATACTGTGATTGTTCAATCAGCAGCTTAGAATCACAGTTTTTTTTGGAAATTATTCTTTATTCCTTTTTCATAGTTTTTCTGTAAGCTTTACTTTAACCCTTTTTCACACAAAATACTGGGCTATACTTGTGATTGTTAACTATAGCTTCAATCTTGCATTGCATTCAGACTTCTCATACACGAGCACTGTATTAATTACCTTTGCACATTTATTGCTTTCCTTCACTTCGTGCCTCAATCACGTTGCATATTTTTCATTGAATTCTCAGTCTCTTTATTGTTCATATTGCACCCTGCATTATCCTATTTCTCATAGATTAGAGTTATTATCTAACATCCTACATTGCACTAATGCCAGCAGACTGAAGAAATTTGTATCTATCTTTGATACTTTTAGTAAACCTGCTGAGTCTTCTTTTGCATCCAGGTACTATTCACTGCCAAAAAGGTTGTCAGAACAAAAATGGCAATGCCCCCTAGCCTAAGAGGGCACACGTGTCTGTGTAGAAAATGCAAGGTTAGTTTGTATTTGCATTGCAACAGTCTCTTAATATGGATGTCTGCATAGTCTTCCACTGTTGTGATACCCACCACCACTACGAGCTCATTGTGACCATTGGAGAACTCACACATTTCTCTTCTCGAGTCTCAGGATCTATCTTCAATTATCCTGATGTCACATTTTTCTCAATCTCCTGTACCAATTGAGCCTGATCTGGGCATCATACTTCTGGATATTGTGTCAGCCACACTTGACGAGATTTTCGCATCTGCTCTCAATTCAGTGGCCACACTTGACTCTGACATAATACTGGTGTTCATTGCACCTCTCTTGCATGACTTTGGAGGTATGTCCACATCTACAGTCTTATACAGGTCCTTCGGCCACTGAAATCTTGCTGTAAAGAGCCTAGGTCCTTAGGCTCACCAGGGCTGTAGTGGACTCAATATATAGCCAGAGTAAGCTAAGACTGAGTAAGTACAGCTAGATGGTGAGTGTAAAGGATTAAAAGCAACTTGCTTATGTAAGTAGTAAGCAGTCCATAACGAGTAACAGTCATCAAAACTGACTTGTTACACCCTCCTCTACCAGAAACAACTTAAGGGAGAAGAAAGGGAAGAGAAGGGGAATAGATGAGGATATGGTAAGGTAAAGTGTACTACATATAAGGGAAATAAATAGAATGTATACCATAAAATAAATGTGCGATGCGCACACTCCCTTCCACTCCAGAAAACCCGTTAGATCCACCTCAGGTTACAGTTTCATAGACAATGACCGGGGGTGTCTGAGGAGACTGCACACAGTGGTTTGGGAGGCATGGGTCCTGTGGGCGGGCCCACTGCCAGTGCTAGTCGATGTGGCAAAGTTTACGATTCCTGAGGTATGAAGGAATCATTCTTTATGGGACAGGGCTTCTGCCAAATTCTGAGGGACAGATGAAATGGCCCCTATGCATGAGAACGACTTTTCAATACAAATTTGTATGCATCACATGCACCTAGTCCTGGGTTAGGTCTAGGGTTTAACTACAAACTTTGTAGTGCCTTTTGTTACTGTACTACATCTTGCATACAGTCAGTCTTTCAAACTAATTGTAGTGAAAACCAACACAACTTGTACAAATAGTGATCAATAAAAGTGCCACAGCAGCTACAAATGATCAATGCATTATAGTTAGTGAAATTGTAGAAGCACAAACTAATTCCAACACATAAAAAGCAGTACCATTGAAATCTGTGAGGGAAATAGAGCATAATGCTTCCTTAATTCAAGTAAATCTGAGTAAAACTAGCTGAGATAGCTCAGTTTTGAATTAGAATGCTCAGTGTGAAGTGTAGAAAATTGTCTAAATGCCAGGAAAATTTGTGAATGATTCTAAAATGCACATAAACATGTTATATTGGGCACCTTATTTTTTACAAGCAGTGTACATTAAAGACACAAGCAAAAGTGAGAGAAAACTGAGAAAATGGATTCTACCACTCTAGCAAGTGATCCTGATATTCTAAGAGTAACACCGTCAGATTCAGCTTGAAAATTCGGTCAGAATGGCTACCGGGTTTATTCAAATCCAAGCAGAATTGAGTGAACTACAAGCCTGGCAAATTTGGCTAGATGCGTGAAAACAAGTGCTTTGAGCTAAAATGGATTGTAGCACTGCAGAAAGTGATTCCTGTATTCTGAAAGTGATACCATCAGATCCAGCTCAAAAAACTGGTCAGAATGCCTACTTGGTTCATCAAAATCCGAGTAGAATTGAGTGAGCTACAGGCCTTGCAAGTTTGGCTGAAAGTGTGGGAACCAGTTGCAAGAGACTTGCCTAAATTGGTTAAGGTTTGAGCAGACAACGAAAAAAGCGTCGATGTGATCCAAAAAATCGAGCGCGTCGACACTTTTTTCGTTCTCAGCGCTCTGGTGGCTGTAGATTTACTAAATGCAGAAAAATATTCAAAGTCAGCACTTCTGTTTCTGGACTAAAGAGCCATTCACCAGGTATACCCGGGACCACTATAGAGCTTGGCTTCTAGGTTATTAGCTTCATTAGTAACTGTTGTAAGGCAGCTTTTAAGCACTATAGGCTCGGAGTTTTGATATAAGTACAGGTTATGACAACAATTGTGAGGTCTTTACAAACTCATACTAGGTGACATTTTAAAGTTTACCATTATAAGGCCTTTACAACACAAACTAGATGACATATCAGAATATTGTGAGGCCCTTACAAACTGATTCTAGAGGGTGTACTAAAATTCAATAAACAGTATAATAACACATTGTAGGAGGCTTACTAAGTGTTACCATACAACATGCTAGAAGTCAATATATCCCTTTGTAGGCTACTATAAGGCCCCTACCAATGGATACTAAGTGGTATACCAGACTATTGTAAGCATCTTACAAACTGATATTAGATAACATATCTAACTATTGTAAGGCCATTATAAACTTGCATACTAGGACATTTACTAGAGATTACTAGACACTATTGCAGGTTATTGGAGTTTTTTCCCAGTGACATCTGGTGTAAGCTCAATACTGATACTAAAGAGTATACAGATACCTTGCTATAGGCACATTTGTAACAGTTTCTAGTCTCATTTTTTGTACTGATTCTTATAAGCAAATTTGTGCAGTTTCTAGTGTCAATTTTTGTAGTGATTCTTATAAGCAAAGGTTACTGAAGGTTCTTACAAAATGATGCCAGGTAACATTTCCGACTATTGTAAGCTCATTACAAACTGATACTATAGGATACATTAGGAGCCAGTATCACAGGGTGTTGTTGACTTGCTGAACATTACTAGATCATCTACTAAGAGTAAGTAGGCAACTTTGTAGACTATTTAATAGTACAGCCCTTATCAACTCACACAACTTATCAATATATAGTGAGACATTGTAGGACACTTACTACACATTATTAAATGGCACACTAGAAGTTAGTAGAAAATACAACTTCTCGTATACATTTTACTATATTGTCATTTTTTGTAGTGGTTCATATAGGCACATTTGTAACAGTTTCTGGTGTCCTTCTTTGTAGTGATTTGTATAGGCATGTTAGTAACATTTTTTGTAGTGATTCTTGTAGGCACATTTGTAACAGTTTCTAGGGTCATTTTTTTAGTGATTCTTATAGGCACATTTGTAACAGTTTTTAGTGTCATTTTTTGTAGTGGTACATATAGACAGGTTGGTAACATTTTTTGTAGTAATTCTTGTAGGCACATTAGTAACAGTTTCTGAGGTGATTTTTTGTAGTGATTCTTATAGGAACATTGGCAACAGTTTTTAGTGTCATTTTTTGTAGTGATTCTTATAGGCACATTCGTAACATTTTTGGTAGTGATCCTTACAGTCACATTTGTTACATTGTAAATTGTTATAAGACTCCTACAAACTGATACTAGGTGAGCTTTCAGATTATTATAATGCCTTACAAATAAATGTGAGATGACATACCAGGCCATTATAAGATCATTATAATACTGAGCAACTTGCTAAAAGTTAGTAAACTATGTAGTAAAATATTGTAAGAGTTTACTAGACATTACCAGATCACATTATAGGACATTGTAAGGCCTCTATTAAAAATAAAATGTAGTATGTCAGACTACTGTGAGACACTTACAAATAAATATTAGATGCCGTACTAGAAATCTGATGACATAGTAGACTATTACATATATAAAACTTTCAGACATTTTTTGGATGATGAGAATGATTTGGGTCATATGAGACTCTACTCTACTTCTTTTTGCTATTAAATAGATGCCT